GTTTTGGTGCTCTCGGAATCCACATGAGCTTCAACGTCCCGTTTCAGAGCTCATGTCATGAATTGATCTGGCTGCCTGGACTAATTCAGCTCTCTTCGCTTCTGCGCTGCTTTCCAACCAACAATCCTCCGGGCGCTGACCGGAATCAAGCATATTCTGGCATTGGCTACCATGCTCTAGTCTAGCTCTTTGTAGCTTGGACGGAGGGGGGCAAGGCTAGCGCTGATCAACTTAATATGGGGCCTGAATAATTAGAATAGGGTTTTGGGGGATATTATACTATAACTATATCAAGGAACCCCTTAAATAGCCTCCATTATCGAACAAATCCGTCTGGGCCCGGCCGGCTTAGGGCTCAAGGTGCGCAGCCTCGGGTTATGGTTTTGGGGTTGGCCTTATCTTTTTAATCCCAAGCCCAGGACCTCAGCATTTGCGAGTTCTGTTGTGTTTTGGAATGTTTTCCAAAACCATACGGTACCATAAATCGCAAAGGAAGTACAAAGCTTGTTCTTGCTTTCTCTGTCTTGTTCAAACTTAGCCGGAAGATTTCCAGGTTGTCTTTAACGTCTTTACATGCTGAAGACGTCAACCGTGCACTGTCCTCCTGCCAGTACGTTTTCCTAGTTTCCAATTTTTTCTAACACTGACTATAGAGCTCCGGTTTGCAGGTTATGGGCTACGAGCCGAAGCAAGCCGCAAGACATATCCCAAACCTACAAGTCCCACGACCTTGAGGCCTGCGTTGCAACAAGCGTAGTGCCACAGCTGTCGAAAAATGGCATAATTAAAAGGCTCCACGGGTGGGATCAAGGCAGGTCAAGGGAAATCTGAACCCTACCTACCATCATCCACCTTCTGAGGCCCTGAGTTACACGAAAGTCGCGCCAAGAAGGCCGCGACAGCGGGGCCTCTGCCAAGCCAGCTGCAGGGTTTCGGGCTACGGCTGGGGTTTAGGGTTTAGGCCTGAGCATCGCGCAAAACCTTGTAGACGATGCTCCCTAAGCAAAGCGCCTCAACATGTGGGGTCTCAATCTTAGGCCCCCCAAAAGTGTACACTTTCAGTGTTATAGTGGATAATATTATCTCAAAAAGTGGAAAGTGTATCCACTCAGCTACTAAGCAATGTTATACCGGAGACCCTGAGAGTTGTCAGGCCCGTGCGATTCAACAGTCTGATCTGTTGCCATGACCACATTCATGCCAGAAACATCTCACGGTCCAAATCCAGATCTTCTGGGCTGCATCATGAGATCCTGGTACTTGTATGGGGTACCCTACAGCCGAAGGCCCTAAGCCTCATAATGCATCCTCGGTAGAGGCCCTAAGCAATGCAAAACGCCAGGTAAGCAGCCTCTCGTGCTTGGTCACTTCAAGGCAACAGTCCCGTGAGAGAGAGAGAGAGAGAGAAGGTAGAGGGCAGTATGTACGGTATGTACAACTCATGATACACAAATAGATGGACAGACACAAGTAGATGGTGAGATTGATAGATAGCTAGGGTTAGATCGATAGGTACATGGGCCGATAATGACCGATAGCGTCGTAGTCAGATAGGCCTCGCTGTGTTCGATGCTGTTGTGATATGTTGTAATCATACCAAGAGTGGCTTACTAGTGCCCTACAACAACTAGAAGTTAACATCTGTTTATGGGTTTTGTATTATTCCAGAGCAGGGACGCATAAGATTCGAAACTGACTTTGGGAAGCTCCACCCGGAACTCTGGGTCGCCTCCAGTTTAGGGTTTGGCTAAGGCCGCTAAAACCCTACAACTCCGAAACCCGAAGCCCTAAGATTCGGATGATCCGGGGGTTTAGGGTTCCTTTAAAGGGAACCCATAAGGGTTCCTAAGAGTTAGGGTTTTAGGGTGTGCAGTTTTAGGGTTTAGTGTTTAGGGCTTTAAAGGGAGGGCTCTTTCCGGATCTTGTTCCACTCCTGGTACTTGGAACGGGGGAAATAAATACAGGCCATGTTTTGGTCGACATGGCAAGTCGCGTTTGTTTTTTGGAGCATCCTAGGGTTGAAGGGTCTACCATTCGACTCCTTTATACTTGATAAACACAGGGGCCTCAATAATTACCAATAGTATTTTGGGGGTTCGTTATTATAAATACATAGTACAATAGACCCCAAAACACTATTCTAATTATTGAGGCCCCTATATTATCAGTTTCGAACCACAGGCTACATTGCTTGATGTGGCAGTTGCTCGTCGGGCTGGTGCCGTGAGGATTGCGCTGTAGCGATGAGGATTCGGGGTCCAGGCGTATTGCGGATTATAGGGAATGACAACCAAACTTGCAGCAGCTTCAGATACAATGCAGCCTTCCTTTGTAACCAACATCATTATGCCTCTCCCCGCCATGCAGAGTGTATGTGGAGCTTCGGCGTTCCCATGCTTGGACGCGGAATCTGCGAGCTTTCGGGCATACCGCTGCAAGCATCTAGCCTAGACGTCATCCTAGTCCTTTCGCGCAAATCCTTGCAATGCTTGCGCAAGACCACCTGCAATCTGATCAACGTTTTAAACCCGGAGGACGCATGCCAAAGTTGGGTTGACCAGCAGCACGATTTAGAAAAGTAGCGGTCCTGTTGGGACCTTGCAAACAGCAACCTGCGAGAAAGCAAACCGTGTTCCCACAAACCGCTATCCACAATTGAAAAAACCGCAACCACATGTCTCTGAGACAATATTCCACATTCCTCGGCACCATATCCTGTCACCCGCAGGTACCTGAAGGCCGGGACATTGTCGCTGCACGTCTCGGGGGCAAGCTCAATCAGCTTGCATCAGGACCCTCTATGCACCCGAAAATGACGAACACAGGGCTTCTTCGTATTCGATTTACACGACGGTTTCCGTAGTTATGTCACGGCCCGAGTAGAGAACCTACACTGGTTCGATTCTGTGTAATGTCGGAGGACCAAGAAAACTCACTGCGCCAGAAACACAACATGGGAGTTCCCGAATTAAATAGGGGGCCCTAACACAGTGCCCTAAATATAAGGATCCTTGTTACAAGGACCCCAAAAAAATGTGCCCCTAATGTCGGAAACTCCCACATGTACTAGGGAGGGTAGGCCGACTAAAGAACCGGACTTTCGGTCTTGCACACTGCGATCTTCAGTCTAAAGAAGCTTCACTTGGGCTGGACCTGTGGCTGGTGGTGCTGGCGGTGGTGGTGGTCCTGCTGTCGCTGCTGGCGGCGGCGGTGGGTGGTGATTGTGGTAATGCTTCGTGCGGGTGATGCTGTTGTCGTGGCGGCTGGTGCTTGTGATGGTATTAATGGTCATAGTGACCCATGGTGTTTGCAATGGTGCTTATGTCTATTTCGTCTTTTGATAATGCTGCTGTCTAGAATGATGCTGACGACAATGATTGTGGGTGTTCAGAAGAAACTGATAATGGGCTACTGCTTTTTGTTATTTCTCTTCACCCCCATCGTCGTAGTTCTGGTGATTGCATTGATGCCGATGCAGATGCAGACTGTGATCAACACGACAACGCTACGACGATTGCAGCGATGACGATAAGGATGTTAACTGCGATGGCGGGCAGGAGCAATCATTGCCTTAGGAGCAGCATGAGGAATCGAAGCGAATGTAGCAGCAGTGGCAGCAGTCGTCGCCGAAGGTCACCTGGCAGTCGCCGTCGCTGTCGTGGTCAAAAGTCGGTGGAGCCAGAGTGAGTGTCGTCGTCGCGGAAATAGCTGTTCATTCTATCAGTGCTGCATTGTCACATCCTGGGCTGTAGACTGTAGACTCTACTGTAGACTGTAGACCATCGTCAACAATCTTAACTGTACTAGTAGTTCACAAGTCGCTAACGCGACACCAAGATCCCAAGACGCGTGCCAGTAATAGCTTCAACATCTTCTTGTCAGCTTTCAGGAACATCTCTGAGTCTGCCCGGCGTGCATGCGGACACCACGTTGCCTCCAGCCTACACATAACGCATCATAACACTAAGTGGAGTCTGATGCAAGATCTGGTCTGGGATGGGCGACTAGATTTCGCAGAAGATAAAGGCATGGATTCGTAGGAGATCCCAGACGAGATCAAGGAGACCAGATTGCAAAGAGAGGCAAACAATTCAGACAAGGTGCGCATTCGTTATGAGGGACTTTCTCAACTTAAAACGGACCCGCCATCGAGGTGCCGGAGTTCAGACTGTGTGCAGAGCTGTCGAGACTTTTAGCAGCAGGATACTTTTGACCTTACGCCAAAACAGGAGCCTCCCTCGTCTAGTTTAAGGCTCGGAAGTGCAACAGAAATTGAGCCTCAGGGGTGAGGTTGCTAAGATTCTAAAACGGAATGTCCTACACGAAACCCTAAACACCCTAAAATCTCAACCCAAAGCCCTAGAACTCTCAAGACCTCGACCTTACGACACAACATCCAACACCTAGGAGGATCTCCGAAGTCTGAGAAAGTCCCCGGCCTTGTCTCACAGCTCCCGCCCCTAGCAGCTCAGCTCTAAAGTCTATATTACCTGCAGTCTCCATTGTAGTCCTTTCTTTCGGTTGCCTCGTCTTTTGGATGTAAGCTACCTAAACCGCCCCTAAACCCCAAACCCTAGACTCTAGACCCCAAACCCTATACCCCTAAGCCCTAACCCGAAAAATCCTCCACGAAGGACCATAAGCACAACAGGTCTTCGGTCTTCAACCGTGCCAACGGCAGTGTTTCAAGCGCAGCATCTTCCACGTTCTAGTCTCCAGCAGACCTCAGAGAACGCTAAACCCCCATAAGAGCCAGTTCTTGAATCTGAATGATTAGTAGGAGGATTACTGTTAAGACCTTTCCTACTAGTACTCTTACTGTCTTATTGTGACTGTTGTTTTCTGTTCGTACTAGTTGTGTCATGCTGCTGTTTTGGTCGAGAGCAAGGTGTCCGGGATGCTATCCTGGACCATGCGCACTCCCGTGACCTTCTCGGGATGAGAGGCTTGAAAGCACTCCAAAACAACTGCGTCTGCGAAAACCAGCAGCCTCAAATGGCTCAAATGTAGATCCGGAGGAGGACTCCCAGTGAGCCTGAGAAGAGCGTCCCAATCACATAGACCTGTGGGAGCGGATTCTGCTCCGTCAACAGAGGTTCGGACTTCATGCATGGGGGGTCGCATTTAGCATCAGTACCTGGCCTAAGCGATGATGTAAACCTAAACTAACTAGCACGGACACAAGCAACGCAAGGCTCTGACGTGTTCGGGGGTATCTGTGTCATACACTCAGCTAGCTCAACAACAACATCTTCACGGGAAGCCCAGTCCAGACCAACCAAACCCTCACCACTGTAGGTTCGGCTATGATTGATTAGCACAGTTTGGGCTCATTTGAGGGAAGCTGAGGTGGAACCACTTTCCCTCATCCGCTTCAAGAGTCAGTGGTTATCGTTTAGGGTTTGGGGGTCCAAGCACAGATTTTGCAAGGTGGGGCTTTAGCGTTCGAGCCTTAACCTCATCAACTGATCCCTGAATCCCAGATAACTGGATTTAGCCGATAGTAAATCCCGGAAAGTTGAAACATGGATTTAGGATGATTGATGCTGGGATCCCCTACAGTATCTTCGATCTTCAGGGCGTCAGGATAATGATGTTCCAACTTTTTGTGTCCTACTTACTTGATAAGACTCAGGATGAGAGAATCCTACTTGTCGGGTATCAAGGGGAACTAAAGGTTAACCTTTTTGGTTATATAGGGACTATGTAGGGACTATACTACCCAAAAAAGGATAAAGTTAAAGGTTGTCTACTCTATACTACTAGGGAATTGAAGACGGCCTTGGGGCTTGGCAGGCTGCGCTGCTACAGCGCTCGAGAAAACACGAGCCCAATACACTGAGCTCCAGAAGGGGTGGATTTGTTTCATACAAGAACCAGCCTCAAAATGGGACTCCTATTTTTCGAAACCTACATTCGTGAACAATCTTTCTTTCGCATTGGAAGACATGAGCCCTAGCGCAGTTCAGCAGGGGTCTCTATCAGGCCACTGTATAATGCATTGCAAGGAGGCCATGTGCAAAAATGGCAAAACCGGTGAGCCTGAATGATCGGACCTCTTGAGGCCGTATAGATGCCCTGTACAAGGCATAGACCACAAACCCTACACCCTGAACCGAATGACACATGCGCGCTCACTCACCTGGCGCTGGAAGGTGGCTTGCGTTAGGGTGACACCTTTGAGGATGAACCCCGCCGCGCTGTCAGAAATGAACCTGACCTGACGTTTTGAAGGGCTTGGGGTTTAGGGCTTTGGGGTTCGGGGCTTCAGAGCTCTGTAGGTCAGAGCGTTAAGTATAGGGGGGGGGGTTTTAGATTTGCTGTGCTTGGGGGTTTTAGGGTTCACATGTTCGGGACGTTTCGTGGTGGTGAGCATAGGCTGTCGGGTTGGTTTGGGTTCGCGTGATTTTTGAGCTACTGCTTCAAGCGATGGTCATTGGGTCACACAGAGCATGAGCAGTCAACTCCTTCCGCATCTCGTCCCTATAACCCTTTTGAGCTTTTGAGGTACGTATTGTACATCTCTTTCTTACACTTACAAAGGCAACTTATCATAAGGGCAAAGGTTTGCTGTTGATTTAAGCCGCGCCTGTATTAGTCGGGGAGCCGTTTCCGTATTGCACCAGCTATAGCAGCAAGCATGAACGGCATACTTTAACTTATCGTGCTTCGTGGTTTTATTTTCTCCATCGGAATTCATCTGGGCCCAATCAAAGACCCTAAACACTAAACCCTAAAGCCCCTAAACCCTAAAACCTCCCAACGGACCCTTTGGGAATCCGTCAGTCTGAGCGGCCAAGTACTGTCGGCTCGAGTCGACCGGCTCCCCTGGGATCTGATTCACCAGTGCCTTGAGAAGCGAGTTTAGGGTTAGCCATGAAATCTCGAAACCTTTAGGGTTTAGGGTTTAAGGCAGATTTGGGGCGTAAGGTTTAGAGCATATCGTGTTTAGGGGTTTTCGTTCCAAGATGATGGTTTATGAAATGTTTAGGGCTGTGGGGCGTAAGGATTAGGGCTTAGTGTTTAGGGCTTTTGGTTCCAAGCTTATGGTTTATGAAACGTTCAGGGCTTTGGAGCGTAAGGGTTAGGGCTTAGTGCTTAGGGCTTTGGGTTCCAAGTTTACCTTTTGTGGCTTCTGAGGTCTGACAAACTTAGAACTTGTTCAATGTAAACCGTCAGTAAGGGCCAGAGAGAGGAAACCCCAGGGCCTTAAATAGGGACCCCCAAAAGCACATAAGCATAAGCATTTTGTGGGGATATCCCTCCATTGGCCTTCATTATAATGGGGGTTATATGGGACATCCCTATTCCTATTTTTGCTGATGGGAGCCCTATTAAACCAAAGCCAGGGTGTTTTGTTTTGTTGGGGGGGGAAGGGGCCGGCCGCAACCCTGCAACGGCTCAGAGGTCCTAAATCCTAAAACCTCATTTCAAGTGTTGGAGCTCCACCTCTGGGAACCTGCGTGTCGGGAGCTAGGGTGTATGCAACAGAAATTTAACTACAACGTACGCGTGAAGTGCTTTCATTTTTCAGGCCCTAAAAGGTTTGTAGGCCTTGAATTCGGAGTTTATCGGGTTTCGTGAGAGGTTCAAAGTTTTCAATATACAAGGGCTCTGGTTTTTGGGTGTGGGTATCTCAACGGCACTCGCAGTGCTGCCCACTGCCCACGATGCTCAAATCAAAACCTGACTGACTGAACATTCAAGTCCCTCTTTGTTTGAAGACCTCTAAATCCTACTCCGCCAGACTCCTACACCCTCAACCCTCAAAACCCTGTTGGAAGGAGGCTTGCAGTTCGAACTTTGCCACTGTGCCAGGGTTGAAACACAGCTGTTCGATGCTTTTGAGCACGAAGCCTCCGCTCGCTCATGGTTCTACTAAACCCTAAACCCTAAGCACTAAACCCTAAACCGTATGCTGCTGTGAAATACTTGATCTGCTCACTGCGGCGGCACAATTTCGATTAGCGCTGCTACTCATTTCACTGTAAGGAGTATCCCGGCCTCGGATTAAAAACCCAAGCCCTCGGCCCCAACACACAGCCTAAGCTACGATCATGCATGAACATGACGTAATATAGTACTAGTGGAATGTATGTGGAGATGTATGTATGCATGTGTGAATGTATGACTGGCTGAATGAATGAATGTATGTATGCAGCCATGTGCATGTACATGTAGATGCATCTGTATTTGTATCTGGATATGTATGTGCATATGTATATGTATATGTAAATGTACATCTTTATGTACATGTATATGTATATGTAGATGTATACCTGCATATGTATACATATATATATATATATGCATGAAAACATACACTCGTACATGCGTATACACATCCATACATTCATCCCTTCCCCCGCCCATCCCTCCATACATGCATTACCTTACATTATTCTGAATTGCCCTATTGTACAAAAATATATACATACAGTTCAACGTACATACATGCCGACTTGCTTACTTATATTACTGACGTACTCTACATTCATGACATTACATTACAATTCGTTCCGTTACAACAAACTCTGCGTCGGGGTGGCAAGGCGTGAGTTCACCTTTGATCGGACATGGGGTTTTCGGTTGGGGGTTTGGTATTTGGGAGTTTCCGAAAATACGGGACCCCAATAGTACCCTAAATAGTAGGATCCTTATTATAAGGACCCCAAAACAAGGCGGATATAAGATTCGGGTCTAAGGTGTTGTTCGTCTTGCGAGGGTCGAAAGTTCTGTCCCGACGAGGGTCCAAACTTGCAAACATCCTATCTGCGACGCTTCTGACATTCATACATATACTTGCACATACCCTACCTACATACTTTGGGGTCTGAAACCTCTTATCTCCACAGTTATACCCACTTGGGGCTCTTTGGCATGTCAAATTGTATGTTTTGCTTGATCGATTGGAGGCAAGATGCCGGAATGTTTCGGCACTTCTCCGTCAACGCGGCACCATGGAAGCATAGTCGCGTTGCGATGAGGAACAGACCTAGCAACACACGCGAATGCCCCAACAAAAACGAGCATTCAACACCAAAAGCCCCTAATCAATCCCTGAGCCCCTAAACCTTCGCCATCCTGATGCTTTAGCTCGATCCGGAAAAGAAGTACTTCAAAACAGAACAGCCGCTTACTCTATGTGCAACCCCAAACCAAGGGCTGAAACTTAGGTTTAGGGATCTTTGAACTTGAGAGAAAAGCATCAAGTTTACGGGTTCAGGGTCATTGAGTTCAGCTGTTGAGGTCTGTCTTGCAGAGTGGTTTGTAGGATTCAATCATTTCAATGGGTTTCAATTCAATACTACCATGTGGACGATCGCTGGTCTTCAACTCATAACTTAGTCTTTGCGTGCTAAGCTTGCGATTGACCAATCACGACATCGGATAGGATGGTTGCTAGAGTGTTCGAGATCTAGGCTGCAGCAGTACACGCTCATCCGTAGCTTCTGAGCCCCGCAATCAGGATTGAGATACCAGGATTGACATGCGATCATTGCGCAGCTAAGTAGAAGTAGCAGTAGCAGGAGTGGCAGGAGTGGGCAGTAGCAATAGCAGTAGCAGTAGTCGTCGCCTAGTAACCTAGTAGTAACAGTACTATTGGAATAGCAGCAGCAGCAGCAGCAGGAGCAGCAGCAGCCGCAGCCGCAGCCGCAGCCGCAGCCGCAGCCGCAGCCGTAGCAGTAGCAGTAGCAGTAGCAGTAGCAGTAGCAGTAGCAGTAGCAGTAGCAGTAGGAGTGGGAGTAGGAGTAGGAGTAGGAGTAGGAGTAGTAGTCGAAGAAGAAGAAGAAGTAGTAGTAGTAGTAGTAGTGGGAGTAGGAGTAGGAGTAGGAGTAGTAGTCGAAGAAGAAGTAGTAGTAGTAGTAGTAGTAGTAGTAGTAGTAGTAGTAGTACTATGGTACTATGGTACTATGGTGCTATGGTACAATGGAACTAGTACTATAGGAATTCAAAGTGTTAGTATCATGAACCAGTAGTAGTGGTAGCTAGAGAAGGAGAAGGAGAAGTAGTAGTAGTAGTAGTAGTAGTAGTAGCAGCAGCAGCGGCAGCAGCAGCAGTAGTAGTAGTAGTAGTAGTAGTAGTAGTAGTAGTAGTAGTAGTAGTAGTAGTAGTAGTAGTGGTGTGGCAGCAATCTTTTGAAAGGTCCGTACAAATTACCTATGACGGTCATCACTTTCCACCGTGTGGGGGTTTAAGGTTTAGTGCCTTTAGGGCTCACAGTGTCGGGTTCCGGGCTTAAGATTATAGGGTTTATCACAACTCTCACCTAAGCCTTAACCCCTAAACCTCAAACCTGAAACCCTGAACCCGAATCCTTAAAGCTGTAAACTTAAAACCCAAGACCCTCAAACCCTCAACCCTCAACCCTCCCTAAACCCTAAACCCCTAAAATCCAAAACCCAAAACCCTAAACCCTAAACCCCTAAATCCTAAACCCCAACCCTAAACCCCAAAACCCCAAAAGCCTAAACCCTAAACCCTAAAACCTAAACCCTGTATCCTAAACCCTAAACCCTGCTCCTTGCTCTGCCAGGTGCAAATGAGGGGTAACGCGGAAGCGCCCTCGATCGCCAGAAGCACCGGCCGCACGTCGGTCCGCCAGATGAAGGTCAAGGATCCTAGGGGTTCCCTTTAAAGGGATCTGTAAGTTCCTTTGATGGGATCTATAAGGTTTAGGGTTTAGGGTTTTTGGGTTTAGGGTTTCAGGGTTTAGGGTTTTAGCGTTTAGGGCTTATGGGTTTAGGGTCAAGGATCCTAGGGGTCAAAACCTAGCTTTTTCGGTAGGGGGTCCCTATGGATTCTATATGAGGGTTTATACTAAGAACCTACAAAACATAGGTTCTGCTAGCTTGAGGAAGGAATTAGGTACCTGCACATCCAAAACACAAAAGCGCAGCCCATGTTGATTTGAGGGTGCAGCGTCGTGGTGTGGAGCCCCACTCTCTTGCTAGAACCCGCGACAGAATCCCTCTCCGTATCCCTAAACCGCTCTAGTTCCGAATCCCTCTTGTTGCAGCCCCAGGCCTGACTTGTGGGTCTTATGAGACACCCCACAAAATAAATCCTTAAGGCTCTAGGAGCCTGCAAAACTTTGCAGCGCAGGTTCTGGGGCTTCAACAGGGTACTGGTTCTATGGGTGAGGGCTCAGTGGTCTATTGATCCAGGCCTCTGAGCTTGACAGCGTGGGAGTTCGGTAAAGCTTTCTTAGGGCTGAGGATTCAATAGATCATGGGCCTGAATTCAGGCTTAGAGACTTCGCCCCGATTCCCGGAACCCTTGAAGTTGAGCCTTTAAAGATCCAAAGGCTCAAAAAGCCCCTGAAGCCCCCGGAACTTCGTCTCAGAACTGATCGCTGAAAACCTTTTTTCCTCAAGGGATATCAGATTGGGAACGGCGGGAGTTTAATTTAGTCAAAGGTCTACAGCCTGGATGTATTGGGCTCAGGAGCGGACCTCATATGTTCAGACTTTGAAGAGTGGTGTCTAGGCTCCCGGGGAAGAGATGCGCGAACCCCCTATATAACTTCCCGCCACACAAGCCCTGGACTTCTTAAGTCTTGATCCAGGAGCCGCGAACTGAACCTCCTTCCGGTCCACACACTTGAATCCCCAAAACTTATCAAACTCCCAACCGTCCAAATCCCAGCCTCCAACTACTCACAACCCGGAAATACCAAAACTCTATAGCCTAAACCTATGTACCGTAAACCTATATACTCTAAGCACTATACCTATATACCCTAAACCCTATACCGCCTATACCCTAAACCTAAATACCCTAAACCCTAAACCGACATATATATATATATATATATATATATGTATATATATATATATATATATACACATAAATATATACCCTAAACCCTAAACCCCGATACCCTAAACAGTACATATCCTAGAAAGCTCCACCCTCGCAGCCCAGGTGCCAGTCAGGAAGACCATAAGCCCAAGGGAGCCGAAGGCCTGGAGCATCAAGAAGCTGCCTCAAGGCGGTTGAGGGCTTCCTTTAAAGGCTCAGGGTTCTCGGGTCTGGGGTATAAGGTTTAGGGTTTAGGGGTTTAGGGTTTGGGGTTAAGGGTTTGGGGCATTAGGTTTAGGGTTTAAGAGTTTAAGGTTTATAGGGCTTAGGAATGTTTAGGAGATTTGGGTGTATTTCATTGCCAAAACGCACAACCGGGTTTCCCAAATGTGGGTGGGGTCTGGCAGGCAATGCCACGGTTCGTCGTGCCTTGGAAACGTCACTATACCTCGATCACTCCAGCACCCAGGGAGGTTTCCCTAAGAGACTTGGCCGAGCCCAAGCCCTTCCCCAGCCTAAAACCAAACCTGAGCGTGTGCCTGGTAAGAGCGTGAAACCACATTCCGAAGCCACTTCCGCAAACGAAACACAGAAGAGATGACCGAAATCAAGCCCACTCTGTCTGCGCCCCAAAGCCTACCAGTCGAAAGAGCCAAACCCTTTGCCCATCACCTCCCAATCCATGAGCAGCCAAAGCCCTAAAGTCAAGTCACCGCACTATTCCCCACCATCATGTAAAACACTCCGCTACCCCGAAGATAATCCCTACGGATCTAAGGACTCATATATTAAGGCTCTTGGGCCCGAAGACCATACTATATAAGGCTTTTGGGGCTATTTTGATCCCCCAAAAAAATGCAGGATCATCCGGAGGAATCCGGGAAAATGCTCGTTGCAAACTCCAGTGGCTCGCCAGCTCCCTGCTGGCACTTTTCAGCAGCGCCTCTGAGGCAGCAGGGCTTCAACATTCTTTAGGGTTTAGGGTTTAGGTACCTAAGCCCCCTAAAGTAGGTCAAATAATGGCCCCAAAACCCTGTAAAGGCCATTATTCTACATACTTTTGGGGTCCAGGTAACAGCCTGCATAAATTTGAAATGGGGCTTTGAGGCATATTTCAGTACGTCAGTACGTATACATGTTGAGAAGTTAGCCTAAGGAAAGCAACTGTATGAGCTAGAGGGGACTCCAACTCGACGAGAAAAGCATGAAACCTGAAAAGTCGCGAGGGACTCAGAGGCACATGTCCGGAAATAGAGTTTTTCTTCGTAGGGTTTGGGGTTTGGGGGTTAAGGGATTTTCGGGCTTGAGGGTATGTACGAGGCTCTTTTGGTGTGTTGGTTTGGGGCTTTAGGGTTTGAGGGCTCAAGGCTTGAGGGTTTCAGGGCTCAAGGCTTGAGGGTATCGGGATGCAATACGTACTGATCATTGCGGCTTTGTATTTAAGGACGGGGCCATGGGGTTGTCGTGCGACCTTTGTCCGGGGGGCCACGCTGCTACACTAGAGCAGAACGCCTTCAAGAGCTACTTCAAGAATGTAGTGCCAGACCAACAACCCCAAAATCCTGAACCTCTGAATCCGGAATCCTAAACAGCCCTGAACCCTAAACCCCTGTAAACCCTAAACCCACATAAATCCTAAACAACCCGAAACCCTGAACCTGAACGTGTGTCGGGTTTTCGAGTCCGTGCCTTGGGGGCCGAAGTTATAGTAGAAACCCGCTTACCCTAAGGCCCCATAGTAGTTCCTTTTTGGGATTACCTTGTAGGATTCTAAAGATCTTAGGGTAAGGCTCTAGTTTCATCTGCATCCCTCTGCCTGTAAGCAGCCAAAATCAGGGTTTAGGGGAAAGTTAAACATTTAGACACCAACATGGGTATGACTTTTATACTTGGAGCCTCAGGGTATGGGTCAAAAAGGGTTCAGTCATTCGAGTAGGGATTGGGACACGGCCTTGCGCATTTCTTGATCAGGAGCCCTGCGGAATGATGTGGGTAGTTGTTCTGAGCCCGAAAAACCTTAAGCGTGTAAATACTCATCAGCTTAGGACATTGGGGTCGTTTAGATTTTCCAAAAGCCACAGATAAGGACTACATGAGGACCGTTAGGGAACTGCACCATTTGGGTTGCTGCCTGAATCGAGTTCCAGCTGCTGACGCCTTTGATAAAATCTGACGTCTCGACCTGAAGGCAAAAACATGGGTCGTCACTTCGGGGCGGGCACTGCGGTTTAGGGTGGCGTAGGCTTGTCCTCATGTTGGCGTTTGGAGATGAGACTTGTAGATGGTCGTCCGCATTTGTGCGTATCTCTATATGTATAAATATATATATATATATATATATGTATGTATGTATGTATGTATATGTATCTCTATATATGTATATATATATATATACACACACATACATTTCGGCTTCTCTACTCCAGAACCCAGTTCCAATCATCAAGGCCCCTACGATGGGGGGTAGGGTATTGCCTTTCGAATGATTAATTAGGTCTTCATGCAGAGAAGGCAAGCCAGACAAGAACTCTCTACTTTGGAGGATCCAGGGGAGGTCTGTTCTGTGACGAAGATCAAACTATCCAGGAGCTCTCTTACAAGGGTCCCAGGGACTTTTGCACAAGGGTCCCAAAACAGCCGTGAGCATGTTCCAAGATCCAGGGCTAGTCTTTCCTGTCGACCGATCACAGAAAACTCGACTTGCTACAGAAAACATACTGCACCGCTACTACACTGCAAACCCCCCAAACAGCCTTATTCTAGTCACTAAGACCATACATAAAGCCCGTCTTGACCCCCCCCACACACACACACCACAAAACCGTATACAAAGCAACCCTTACACAAACCTTATAGCGCCTTGATACCCTATAAAAACCCCAACCCCCAAGCCCATACCTTGAACCCTGAACCAAAAACCCGGAACCCCAAGCCCCATACCCTAAACGCTCAACTAAACCCTAAACACAACACCCCGAAACCCAAAGCCCCTATACCCTAAGCCCCAAACAAAACACCCTATACCCTATACCGTAATCCTTCAACCCTATACCCTCCCCAAACCCTATACACTGATCCCTCGATAACCCGACACACTGACCTAAACCCCAATCCCACAACCCCAAACCCTAAACCCTAGATCCTAATCCCTAAACCCTAATCCCACAACCCTAAACCCTAATCCCCCAACCCTAAGCCGTCAAGAAGCGATGTCGGCGACCCAGCAGTCCAGGATTCGATCCAAGCCCAAAAGCCTCACATCACATGGGAACTTAGGGTTTGGGGTTTAGGGGTTTAGGGTTTAGGGTTGGGGTTCAGGGTTTAGGGGCAGGGTTCAGTTTTTTAGGGGTAGGGTTTTAATTTTAGGGGTAGGGTTTAGGGGTAGGGTTTAGTGTTTAGGGGTAGGGGCCTTAATCCTACTTGTCAAGTATCTGGGGGAACTGAAGGTTGATTAAACAAGAATTACAGTACCTCCACGAGGGAAAAAGGTTACCTACTCTACTACCAAGTTTAGGGTTTTGGGGTAGGGGGCCTGAATAACCCTAAAAGAGGACCCGATCTTTTCTTGAACGGTGAAGCCGCCCCAAGTTGCTAAAGCCTGAACTAGACCGTGGCGTGAACCTCAAACCCATAAGAGGTTAAGGGCTTCGGGTTTTGGGTTTCGGGCTTTGGGTAGGTTCTTTTCTCTGCAGAACCAGCACCCTAGACCCGAAATTCAAGCAGGCAGATAGGTCAAGCCATTCTGCGGCCTAGCTACGTCAATATCACACCAGAACTGGGCCTGAATGGCTACTATGGGACTTCGGGGATATGCTACACGAATTTTGTTATAAAAAAAGGAGCCCTCGGGAACATTATCAAGGCTTCTTGATTAGATCTAGGATTTGCGGGTTCATGGCGTAAGGGGGATGCGAACACCTCCCAAATGGGAGAGTACTGATGGCAGGATCGAACCCTAAGGGTCCATGTACCCAAATAGTATACACTTTGGGCCCAAATGTGCCTATAAAAGGGAGTACTTTAAGGCCAAAGTATATACTATTTGGGTACACGGACCCTTAGGGGAAGGAGGAGCTTTAGCTTCGATAGATCACAGGTGCCTCAGCCAGGAATCTCAAACTGCAAATGTGAAGGATACCCATAGGCTCCATAGTCGTTACTTTTTTTTGGATTACCATACAGGATTCTAAATATGAACCTCCAAAAATCCCCCAAAGGGAACTAATTACTATGGAGCCTCTGGATAAAACATTAGCATGCTTGTAAACATATGACCAAGTAGCAGTAAATGGCTTTTGTATATAAATGATACGTAAATCTCACACGCCAAAACTTTAGCCCACAAACTGCCCTCTGCATCGAGCGTCTTATTTGATACCTTGGACGACGGAGAGACTCTCTATCATACAATCGCTGAACCCCTAACCCCAAATCCCCACAGTAAACCCCTAAACCTCTAAACCCTTATAGACCCTGAACCGTAGCTCGTCCTAAACTCTGAACCCCAGCCGAGTGTCAAGTGCGAGTGGATGTACGCCAAAACAAGTACCATCCCGCTCGCCGTGGCAAAACCTCACTCGTGATTGGATCGATGGTCTAAGGGGTCCTTCAAGGCTAAACCCTAAACCCCACAGCAAGGCATACTTACCACTCAAACCCTCAGGGGTGCAGCGTAAAGGTCGTAGGAGCTTAGAGCCTTCGGGCGTTACGTTCTAGTTTAGGGGATCCAGGGTTCTGTATGTCAGGCTGCCAGTCTTCCTGTCTATTCCATCCCCATACCTTGTTTGATCCAGCTACGTCTACCTAAATTTCAATGCCAGAATTGAGGTGCTTCGAGGGTCATGCCTGAGCGCTACATCACAGCTCGACATCCTCAAAAAGTTTCATTCCACTTGGGCCTACAAAGCCTTTGAATTGTCAGATTCACTCCCGTTTTGGTTTTTGTCTGTCTCTGACTGACTTTGCGCAGGCATCTCTCTCTCCCTCTCCCTCTCCGTCTCCCTCTCCCTCTCGCAGTCTCTCTCCTCTCTCTGTCGCTCTCTCTCCTCTTTCCTCGCTCCTCGCCCCTCTCTTCTCTCTTCTCTCGCCTCTATTCTCTCATAGTACACACAGTCTTTTGTACACTCACAAGATGTACCAAGTATTTTCTATGTGCACATCGCACCCTGAACTCTAATTCAGCGTTTCTTAAGGATTGCAGCTTTCGGGGTTTGGGATTTACGTTTCACAGGTTTGGGACTTGGGGTGTAGGGCTTCGACCGGCTGTCCTGTAGGACAGCATCGGGTTTAGGGCATTAAGGTGGGGCATATGCAGTGCAACACGAAACCCGAAAGGGAATAACATGCGCAGACTGGCTGCCGCCTACAAGCTGGTGTGAGAAGCAGAGCCTGCGAGGCTGGTTCAAGGCTTATGATGCCCTCAAGACCATTTGTTCGAGTTCGTATGGCTTGAACCCACCATGGGCCCTTCCAGCATCCCGGTCGAGATGAACATGTTCCAAACAACTGGGCCTGTGGGCTGAGGGTGCTACGGCCTGACCAGAGGAACCTTGGAGGTTGGGTTTCAAGTCCCGAGGCAGTATAGTCCGCGGAACAAGGACGCGGGGTCACCCTACATCCTGAACTTCTCCAAACCCTAACCCCTAAACCCCAAATCCCAAAACCTACATCCCCAAACCCAAAGCCCTTCGCCAAAGAGCTCAGGAATGAGACTGCCGCTGCTGACACGAAGATCACCCAACGTTGCATGTCATCCTCCTGCGCCGATTTAGGGTTCACTTACCTTTGGCTAGTAGGGAATGGAAGAATGGTAGTAATAGTAGTTATAACTGTACCCCATTCCTCCATTCCCTACTGGTCGAGGTAAACCCTTAAACCCTGAAACCTTAAATCATGAGAGCCATGGCTGAGGGCTAGATATAGGGGCCTTAATAATTAGAATAGGGTTTTGGGGCCCAGTATACTATACTTGTAATAAGGAACCCCTCAAAATAGTATTGGTAATCATTAAGGCCCCTATACTATAGGGTTTAGGTACGATGAAGTGCTGTGCTGTATTTCGGTCTACATGGTGCTACAGGAAGTCTTGAACCTCTTGAACCTTAGCATTCGAGCTGGGCCTCTGTTTTTGCACTGCTTCTTGGGATACCGATATCTGCAATGGCCCCTCAACCCTAAACCCTGAATCCTAAACCCTAAACCCTGAATCCTAAACCCTATGTCAGGCCAGGGAGAATTGAGACAGCGTTGCTGTTCGTGGTTCTTGGATCGGTCGAGCTGTGGTTCCTTGACCCTTACCCTGTGGAACCATGCACCTATTTAGCATATCTATATAGAAATATCTATAAATAAATATATATATATATATATATATGTATGATCCCGGTACGGCCGACCCCCCCTCTCCCCCCCCCCCCCCCCCACAATGGCTGCCCCTCCCTGTGGTGTGGTGCGGTCCGGGGGTGGGTCTGCTTGTTGTGATTCCCCCCCCCCCCCCGGTGACATGGTGTGGGTTCGGGTTTTCTTGCGGGTTACCCCCTGCGTCTTTAGGTCTGCTGTGGGTGTTTGGTAGACTCATCCCTATGATGATAAAGATGGTGATGGGGACGATGATCACCATCTTCATCATCAACTCAAACATGAATCCTTCTTTGGTTGGTCGTCGGTGTCTTCTGCCCACGCCTGCCTAGTTAACGATTATCGCTTTGTTGATCGTGGGGCCACTATCTTTGTAACAGTTGTCGCTTTGGGGGCAATTGCCATGAGGTTGCAATGGGCCAACTGTCATAGGGATCGGGCCTGTCGCGGCCTCACGTGTGAATCGTGCCGCAGAAATTTGTACTGATTTGTACTGTCACAATCTCTCACACGGATCAGGCGTCTTTGGGACGCGATCCTCGTGACAGATGACGGGTTTGGGGCCCATGCAAGGTGGGTTGTCCCGCCGCTGCTGGGCTGTGGCTTAAGGCCTCCAGGCCATAGGGTCCAATAACCTGCTGGTGTAACTTTTATGGGGTTCAGGGGTCATAACCTAGTGATCTGTAGGATTTGGGGCTGGCCACAGGTACACCCTGAAGTCGACCGGGTACCTTATTTTGACTTGCGGCCCTCTGAATACCCATCCAAGCTCTGCAAGCCCAGCTAAGCTCGGTGTTCACGGCCTCCAGTCCCGCACCCGGAGTGGGATCCATGCACCTTCTCATTAGTGGTGAAAGGCTTTTCGGCTTCAGGGTTCACAGCTTCGAATTTAAAAGGTTTGGGGCTTGGCCTTTGGCTTGATCATAACCCCTTTACAAATCCTGCCCGAGACCATACTGAAAAGATTGACAACCAGAACCCCGTTGCTCTTCGCACGAGTTTTGGGCTTTTGGTCTATACCCTGCCCTAAACCGACCTTTTTGGGTGCCTTGTCAGGATCTCCTCAGATTTTTCTGATTAAAGGCAGGTTTCGTAGGGTATCTTGTAGGGCAAACTTTGGAGCTGGATGGCCCGCGTTTGGGATAACATCTGGCACAGTGGCCGGCTCTGGCCCTTCATGGGCTGATGGCTGTTTACCGATGTTTAGGGTTTAGCGGGGGATGGGACGGGCTGGCACTGGACGGCTGCACCCGCAAAACCCACAGCAACTGCATCATCCAAAACCATCACCTTCAACTGCTTTCACTGAAGACCTGCACCACAATACACCTTGAACATTAAACCCTAAGACTCTTAAAGCAGCCGAAGTGTTGGAATTTTCGTCGAGGCACGTTGTGAAACAGATCCACACATCCACCGACCAGACTGCCAGAAAACCTTGTTTCGAGCAGACGACGTGATGGCTCTGCAGAGTTTAAAGTTTGAGGTTGGGGTCAACATGTATAGTTGCATTTGTAATCCGGCGAAGCTTCAGAATCCAGTTGCAGTCGCTTGTTCTACGTGTTCGTGCCAGCCCGGCCCGTCCCGCAAGAAGCCACCCAACCCCACTTGGCGAGGGGACACCTTTCTCACAGCCCTCATCCTTCATGACCCTCGTCCTCATCCTGATTAGGTGGCCTAATTTGTTAATCAAGCATCCCCGTCCTCATCCTTATCCTCATCACCCTCACCCTTCATCTTCAGCCATCCTCCTTTCACCCTCGTTTCCCACTCCCGCCACCTGCCGTGGTTCCTCCCGTTTGGGTTTGATCTTCGCTCGCCCCCTTCCCAGTGCTACCCCCGCTCTTTCGCTTCCAGCAGTTTGCTCCCTGCAAGCATGTTCCATTGATGTTACTACGACCACGACTACGACGACGACGACTACTACTAGACATGCTGCTGCTGCAGCTACTACTACTACTACTGCTGCTGCTACTACTACTACTACTACTACTACTGCTACTGCTACTGCTACTGCTACTGCTACTACTGCTACTGCTACTGCTACTGCTACTGCTACTCCTACTACTACTACTACTACTACTACTACTACTACTACTACTCCTGCTACTACTACTACTACTACTCCTCCTACTACTACTACTACTACTACTACTACTACTACTACTACTACTACTACTACTACTACTGGAGAGAAGGAAAAACAAACACGTAGAGAGGTCGATAAGTCGATAGAAAGATAGTTCGATGGAAAGACAGACAGGCAGATCGACAGACGGAAAGACAGAGTGGAAGAGAGGTCGATAAGCAGTTGGATAAGTAGATAAACAGGCAGGCAGATACACAATTTCGTAGATAAAGCAACGCAAGGCAGATAGATAGCTAGCTAGAAAGATATGTAGACAGTTTGAGTACGACTTGGTGACCCGGGCTATGTAGGGTTGCGGACTGCCGTATCCTAAACCCTAAGCCCTTCCCTACACCCCGAACAGAATACCCTAAACCCTACACCCGAGACCCTATACCCTAGTATAAACACTAATAGAATGGAAGATCGCGGGTTCAAGATCTCGGGACATGATCTCAACACCCATAGGCTGAGGGTTTAGGGTCTGCGGTTTCGGGGGCCAGCGCATAAGATATAGGGTTTGGGGATACGGGTATCGGTATAGGGCTTATGATAGTCAAGCTGATACGCTGAACTTATTAAAAGCCCGGATCAAAGCCGTTCAAGAACCCCTGAACCCCAAAACCCTCATGCCCAAATGACTCCGTTCAGAAAACCTCCCAAACCTGAATTCCAAGAAGTGCTTTGATCTCAAGACTGCCTGGTGCTCAGTAGGGAATGGGGGAATGGATCCCTATAGTAGTCCTTGTATACTTCCCAATAATAGTCTCCATAATCCATTCCCCATTCCCTACAAAGAACCAGACAGAATAGGGTTTAGGGTTTAGGGTTTAGGGTTTAAGGTTTAGGGTTTAAGGTTTAGGGTTTAGAGGGAGCCCGAGGAGCAAAAGTTCAAGACCAACCAGGAGATTGCATACTTCCACCGCTCCTGCCAAACGGTTTAGGATTTAGGGGTTTAGGGTTTGGGGTTTTGGGTTTAGGGTTTTGGGTGTAGGGTTTAGGGTTTAGTGGTTTAGGGTTTGGGGTTTTGGGTTTAGGGTTTTGGGTGTAGGGTTTAGGGTTCAGGGGTTTAGGGCTTAGGGCCCTTAAGGAACACAACAAATATGACAATATGAAGAATGTGCTGGAAACATGAACATTGGTAAACAAGGTTTCCAGGGCGTTCCCGTATCGAAGGTGTACGTCTAGACCTGAAACCTATATGGACCAAATAGGCCTGGACTGCCCACGCTGTACTGCACCAAACAAACTAAACCACGCACACGACAGCTTGGGAGTTATGAGTTCAGGATTTGGGTTGCCCTAGGATTCCCATACCCGGACATTGCAAAGAGTGTACTTCTAAACCCCTAACTACAGGTTAAACAGTTCGGCTGAGTAATATCATGAAAGGATGCACAGGTTTTCAAACCCCTTCCGGATGCTTTTGGTACTTCAGCTGTGGACATTGGACCCTCGCGGCCGCAGGTACCAAGGTTCCCTAAACCCTACACTCGACGGTTTACTGCTTCGGGCCCAATGCCTGACCTCGTCTGCCTGTATTGAAGCACCGTAGCAAAATTTGCTCGCGGCCCCATGGCAAACCAAGGGTTCGTTCTGAAACCGAGCCAGCACGTGAGACTTAGAGCCCTAGCTGACATTACCTGTACCCTACGCCCAAAATTCCAAGCCTTCAACCCTGAACCCTCCTGGCGGGACCATCGATGCCACTCTGAGCCAATCTCGTGCTGATCCACAAACCGAGTCCTAAGAACGGAGGCGCCTCTAGGGGGTGTCTTTCTTTCGGGTTTAGGGTTTCGGGTTTTGGCGGTTTTAGGGGTTTCTTTCTGTCGGGCCAAGGCTAACGTTGAGTTCCGGGGTCTGCGGTTCAGATGCTTTGTCAGGGTTCAGTTCTTTGGGTTAGCGCTGGGAGTTTATCAGGCATTGGGCTGCACAGTTATTTGATGGCTGAGGCGGAGCGTAAGGTTTTCGGCGACGCTTATATGGCACCTAGAGTAAACCCTAAACCCTATTGTAAATTACTAGAGCTAGTATTTCAGACCTCTGACTTTCGGCTGCGGCTCCCGTGAGGAAACCGGAAACCTAGCCAAGACCTTATGAACTCTCTCACAGCTTGCCGCTCCAATTGAAAGTCACAGGAACAAGGTTTTGTTCGGGTCTAGGACTTTAAGGCGCATGTTGGGTTTCGGGTCGGGGGTGTTTCCTTGACATCTGCTCTGCATCGTCCAGCACTTTTCAAAACCGATCGAGAGCTCTTGAAGCTCTAGAGCTTTTGCAACGCACTAGCACTTTTACAACAAAGTCCGAAGCCGCTCTCCAATTACAGCCTGATGCACACCTCTGGCCAGCCTTCCAGTGCAGCATGTGACACGAATCCCACGGATACAAACTCGCCCGCTCCCGGCTCATGAAACTCATGCACATAAACACCCTACACCTGCATAGCGGCGACAACTTGAAGTTGCTAAAGAGCTCATTAAGGCATCGACGAATGATCATTGCAGCCCTTCATCTTCCCAGAAGCCGTGGCAGATGCTAAGCTCAACCCCAATGTCTCCACAAGAACTCGTACAACTCGAACAACGTCCTTACATAACCCCGTCACGCCCTTCAGTTTCAGAAACCCACAAATCCAGCCAGAAAAACCCGTCACAAACCCCCATCCCTGCACACAAACGACCCTACAGGATCTGAGACCCTTAAGCCATTAAAGAAATACAGGCAAAGAAACCTTTTGAAGCACAGAAACGCCAGAAGGAAGGCAATCCCTAAACCCTAAGGCTCTGAAGCGATGATCTACATCTTGCCCTCCCTGCATCTGTGCTGCAGCTTTGAGAAGGCCAGTTCGAGATCTTCGGATAGGATGGCACTCCTATCCGGTGAGGATTCGTTCGGATTTAGCCGTTGGGACTTAGCGTCGGTTACCTTCTTGTCGGGTATCCTGGGGAAGTAAAGGTTAACCTTTGCGCTACTGCCCCAAAGCGGTTAAAGGCTACCTACTCTACGACTAAAGGGTTAGTGTTCTTTTAGCATTTTTCACGGGCAGTCTGTTCAGGGTTGTGGATGCAATAAGGGACGAAGTAGGGTTTTGTGAGCTGTGTAGCGGCTTTATGAGGTCGAGGGTTTGTTGGCGTTTTACGATGGCTAAATGCTGCAAGCCTCCCTCCCTACAATAAGGCGCCCCTATTTTGTGCATTAACTGAAGGTGCAATGGGAATGACCAGAAATGGTACGCCCTCGCGTCGCTGTAGCAGTCCCTATATAACTAGAGTCCCCACTCCACAGTGATCAAGGGCCCTACCATGCTTGGGTCGCAGGCTCCCGGGACAGAAAAAATGGCCAAACAAAGACGAGACGACGCTGTGCAAGTTCGGAATGTTGGGGTCTAGTCTAAGACGCCAACCCTAATTTGTTAAAGCAAAGCCTTCGCCCTGATTCCTGTAAATCCTACGCTAAACCCGCACCCCTAAACCCCTAAGTCTGTAGGTGGCCACAGTTGACCCAATTATCCAAATAAGCCCGTATGCCGCTGCCCAAGTCACATCCTCAACTTCAATTTCTTACTTGTTCGGGTTGGGGTTGAGGGGGTGGGGGGAGGAATGATAGCAAACATGTTCACGCACTTCTTGTACCTTATCAAAGTGAATGCTTGTTTTGCAGTCATGCGGTTCCAGGCGCTTGTCGTCTGGGAGTGCCGGCTACTGACAAGCAAGTTCATGCAGTTGTTGCTCCCAAATTTTCGCAGACGATGTGGACGCCAGCTAGACAGGGTAGACTCAGTGCAACAATGACTTTTGCGTCTGTTGTCTAGGTGACCACTTGTTTGATAAGAAATCAAGCACCATATCCTTCAATTGGGGATGCCTTGCAACTGCCGCACAGTGGCATGGTAGACAACGTGTGGAAACAGATGCAAGAAGTCATACCTAGCGTCCACACTGCGAGTTTTGGCCCCTGACGGCGAGATTAAAGTCGACCCCGCCTTGCCAGAGTAGTTGTACCGGTTCTCTTTGTGCTGGCATCATGAAGGCAGCTTCCAGTAGAAGCCCCTTACAGGTAGGTAGTTCCTCTTCCATAGTACTCCCATAAGACCCCCTTTACCTTATAGGAGCGGTATGGGAGGCTTATGGGAAACTACCCACCTTCTAGCTACCCACCTGTAAATGTCTTAGATCCAGTGTTTGAAGCAGAAAGTCGGCACCTCCTAAAAACCAAGGCTGTGAAAAGGCCCGGCCTCAGTTTAGTCAAAGGGGAAAAGGAGGGACCCAAAATGGGGACCCCAACCCTATAATGGGCTATATAATGGGTATATAATATAGCTATATATTAAGGGTATAGACCTAGGGGTCCTTATTAAGGGTCCCTCCTTTTACCCTTGGGCTTACATGTCAATGAATGCTGGCATGCACAGCGAAATCGGTAGGGCAGCAATGGCCGTGCCAGGCCCGAAACCCCTAAAACCCTAAAACCCTAAACCCTAAACCCCCAAACCCTAAACCCTAAAACCCTAAACCCAATCCTCAGGAGTCTGCCGCAGCAGATCGCGACGAGGCAGTAGATGGCGTTCGAGGCTACCAGGAATCCGTAGCTCGCCTTTCTGGGGCTTGGTTTCAAGGTTTGCTTTATAGGTTTCATGTCTAGGGTTTAGGGGTTTAGAGGTTTAGGGTTTAGGGCTGTAGGGTTTAGAGTCTAGGCGTTTAGAGGTTTGGGGGTTCGGGGATGAGGGCCCACTGCCACAGCAAGTGCTTGCATGGGTTCAGGGCGCGGGTCCCGGCTGCAGGGGTTATCGGTCTCAGGACTTAGACGCGCAGGGTTGGAGGGTTCAGGGCTTCAGGCTTTTAGGATTTAAGCCCTGAACCCTAAACCCTACATCCTAAAGCTTCCCAACAGTGTGTACAGAGTCTTCAGGATCTGGGGTCCAAAGACTCGAGGGACTAAGTAGGCAGGATCAACCAGAAATGCAACTACATGACTAGATTCTGGACATCTAGATCTCGATGTGCCCTACTCTCACAGCCCCGATTCCAAAGGCCGCCCAAAACATGAAGTTGGGCATGGGATCACTGAAGACCCAACGGATCTCTAAACTCAACTGAGAGTCCAACCACACCCTGCATGTTCCAATATACTTAATGTAAATTTTTAGACATATATGTATAAATATAAATAGATACATATATATATATATATATTACGATGGCAAGTTTTTCATTTTTTATGGAACACTTCAGGGTTCAGAATTTAGGGTTCCGGGTTGCTTTCAACTGGATACTGTACACCCGGGGCGCTTGCTTCAAATGGCTGAGGTTGAGCACCCAAGATTGGTAAAGCATTCATGATTTACGGGTCAAACTGCACATCGAGCTTAGGGTTTAGGGTTTATAGCTTGATATTGGAACTTCATGGGGAATGCACTGAGTCAAGTTCGGTCAGGACCTGGATCCTCTTAGAGTGCCCACAGGGACAAGAACGTGAAAGCACCACCCTGCACTACAGCCCAAACCACAGCCGATGGTGCCAAGGCACGCTGAAAACGTCCCCCCGCACATGTATACCTATCAGCGGGAGAATGCCGAGGAGGGTGAAGAAGGCAGTCAGCACATAGGCCAGACCTCCAGTCTCCGAAGGGGTTTGCATCTGGGTGGTTGTTAAAATTATGGTCCTTTTTGGGTCCTTATTATAGTACGGCACCTAATAACCTAATATATAGGGTACCGAAGAAGGGACCCTAATTTTGACAACCACCCATCTTCCTGCAAGCCCATGCATCCTAAGACTGTGGGGGGTTCGGATTTGCATCTAACCTGGTGAGGAGCGGATGAAGCAGGAACGAATTGTCTGTTGAGACCTGATACACCCTAAACCCTAAACTGGAAGCTATATGGAATGGTTGCCGACCTCCGCCTTAGAAACTGTAGGTATGGTTTAGGGTAATATTTGCTGGGATCCACGGCGAAGCTTAGACCCTTAACCTATATACTACTGTAAGCCCTAACCCTAAACCCTATAATCCCTATAAGTTACCATAAACCCCTAAGCCCCAACAGCTGCTACAAAGAATACACCCCAGAAATTATTATAAACACCCGACACTACCTCGCAGATTCTGAAAGGGGACCCTGATATAGTAGCTCAAATAGTAGGATCCTTACTATAAGGGACCCGAAGTAAGATACCCTTAATGTTCGGAAACTCCTACCTAAAGAAGACCCATCTCTCTGCAGGCCACGCGACACGGCATCCCAATCAGAATCCGGCAGCCTACATCCTTCTCCAGAGCGCCTTCCTGCACAATGTCTTTGAATTTGAAGCCTTCTATACTGTTACGTTTAGGGTTTAGGGGTTTAGGGTGCGGGGGTTTGGGTTTCGGGCTTGTTACAAACCTGTGTTTGACAGGGGTTTCACAAGAGTATATGGGTAGTTGTCAAAATTAGGGTCCCTTTTTGGGTACCGTAAATAATAGGTGCACTATATTAGGGACCCAAAAAGGGACCCTAATTTTGACAACCACCCACATGATGGCATTATGGGGTTTTGCTCTCTCCGGCATCTTATTGGGTAAAGGCATTTAGGGCTCAGGGATGCTACAGGTGTCTGAATTATGGAAGCGAGGTTTTGCGGTACCTTATACTATGATACTGTAAGTAAAATTAGGCACCCTTCGGTCAATAGTTGTAACTGTAGAATACAGCATATAGGAATATATTGATCCGGGTTTAGGAGTTTAGGGTTTTACAGTAGGCATCTTCAAGGACCCCTACCTTTTTTCAATGAGTTCGTAGGGTCAATTCTCCCACCTCATGGAGCAACAAATATCCCTGCAAAGGGATCTCAGGTGGTTAGGTGGTTTGGTGGTTCAGTGTTGAGGATGTAGAGTTTGGGGTCTATTGCATCCCTGAGTCGGGGTCTATACAAGCAAGCAGAATGCTAGTGACAGCCCTGTACTACTGTTGTTGCTATTCCTGTAGCAACCGGCATTCTGCGCAGCGTTTCTGGAATTGCGTCTGTGGCGACTGTGCAGTCTGCCACTACCCAGCGGCCCCATAGTAGTTCCTTTTGGGGATTACCAAATATGAACCCCAAAAAGGAACTACTTTGGGGCCTCAGGGTAGGATAAAGGTTACAGTGCCCCAGAGGCCTTTATCAACAAAGGTTTCGGATCCAGGGGTTCCTATACTGAACTTAGAACCCTGGCAAAAATTACAATTTTAGCTGTTTCTTAGGGATTATTATAACCAAAAATTACAGTTTTTTCTAAGTACCCCTAAGGTTCAGGTTTACGAGCTTAGGGCTGAGGGTTTCTTGATCTTCGTGTTCCCACTGTCCTGCACAGAGAGGTGCGTCAAGCTTGGAGACGCCAGAATAGAGACATGCCTCATGCAGAGTGAGCCAGAAACCCCGCGTGCTTACAGATGACCTGAAGAGCGAGTGTCCTACACACACACACACACCAACAAAAACAGACTCTGCAAGATGGTGGAGACGGAAACCCAGAAGCCCGATATTACCGAAGCCTTACATGATATCGGCACACCATAAACCCTACAACAAAAGAAAGAAAGTTGGAACATCATTCCAGCACCAATCGTCCTAATCCCATGTTCCAACTTTCCGGGCTTCACTTTTAATCCTAACCGCTGCCTGGACTCCAAAAGTATGTAGAATACTAGCCCATATAGGGTTTGTGAGGATTGGAAGGTCACGATGCCGGGCTGAAAGCTCGTGGCTCCCCTCCGAAACTGGTACGTTCAGGTGGGAACCCAAAAGGGTTTAGGGTTTAGGGCTCGCGACGCCGACCAACCAAGGAAGACCCCTTGTCGTATAGGGCTTCTGGACATTAATATGCTAGACACCACACAATACGACACAAAGCTATACTATACTTTGCTATGCTGCACTATACTATTTGTACAAGAATTTGCTTTAGCTTATACTAAAGACAGACAGCTCGACAGTTTGCTGCTGAGGGCTTTGGGTAGAGAGTTCGGGGCTTTAGCACGGATTTAGGGCTCTCAGGCTTTCGCCGGCTTTTCGGATAAGAGGTCCAGGGCCGAACTTGCGGAGGGCTCGAGAGCCTAAGGAGTTAAGGCGCGTGGTCCAAAGAAACAGACATAGCATGGTAACTGGGCTTCCTGGGAGGGCTGGTACCTTAGGCATCTATCTCAATTTGAATCCGAAAAGTAGAGACTGCTCAAGGGCAGTGGATCTATCGTCGTGATCTGTTTTTCACTGCAGACGAAAAAGGGAGGTTGGTTTCGCTGCGTAACTTAATGCAACTAACAACTCAACCCAGACGTTTCCCTGAGATCTACACTTTAAGGCTAAGCCTGCAGCGTTTATTCGCCCGAAGTCCGAGTGGCGACACCCTGTCGATGACTCGCATGCTCGATGCCCTGGACAGGCAAGGATGTGCAGCAAGTCCCTCGAACGTGTGGTAATTGACGGCATGCAACACCAACACGGGCTTCACGCCACGCTTTTCGATCGTGCATTGATGGACACCTAACCACCGCAAGTATGGAAAGGCATATACATATGTAGTCGAGTACGTGCATGTGTATGTGCTTATGCATGTGCATAAACGTGTGCATATGTATGTATGACTGCCTGCATGCATGCATGCATGCAGGTATGTAAGTGAGTGTATATATGATATACATATATGTATATCTTGTATATCTGTGTGAGTGTGTGTGGGTGTCTCTGTCTGTCTGTCTGCCTGCTTGCCTGCCTGGCTGGTGGCTCCATGTGCACAGAGTCAGAGAGAGAGAGGGAGAGAGATGTATAAAGAGATCGATAGTCAGATAGATAAACAGATAGATCGATCGATAGGTAGATAGATAAAAAACAGACTCGAAGGTAGCAATGCAGATAGATAGACCGAAAGAAAGGTGAAGACAGAGAACTAGACCGAAGCAGAGAAATGTAGATAGACAGGTAGGTAGATCGTCAGATAGACCGTCAGCAAGACGGATAGCTCGGCCGATCGGTAGATTGGTAAATCGATCGACCGACAGATACATAGACAGGCCAACACATGAAGTAGGAATTTGGTATCCTGGAGATCCCAGAAGCATGAGGAGTTGATGTCAAATGTTGATTGACAGCCCGCAAGCCTAAATTCGCCTGTGTACGTCTCGGCCTTGATGTGACAAAACCACACAAACATTACCAACAAAGGCACCCCATATTCCGAGAACCTCCACGCTAAACCCTACAAATCGGAGTCTTAACTTAATAATGCTGGACCGTCTGTGATAATTGGTAGCCCGCTTGAATGTGCGCCGGCCTTTGGGCATTTTTCGGGCGCCACTCTTTAATGTGCTCCAGATGCGGCAAAACTCTTGTTCTGTTTCCTGCTAATGGTCTATCTTACTTCAGTAGAGGATATCCAGAGGCCGGAGGCATTTCATTTTAGTAGTTTTCATTGCTGGGCGGGGGGGGAGGGGGGGGGAGGGGGTTGCGGCGGGATGAAGGAGTACGCCTTCACAATGAAGGGTCGCTACTCTGAATACTCTGAGTAGTTAGTCATCTTGAAATGATCGGGGCTTGGTTTCGAGGCTTTGGGGCCCCGACCCACCCCCATCAAGCCCCCCTAAGCCTCCCGAACTGTACCGCAACACTGCTGTGGTACTATATGAGTACCGTAGCACTGCACTACTACTGCACTAATACCGTACTATTACTTCTGTATTACTACTACTGCAACAGCGAAGCAGTACCGTACAACTCCTCGTATACTCCGCCCTTCCATTTTCTACGACTGTACTACCAACCACCCACACCCCATTAATATCTATCTCCCACTACAGTGCCGGGATGCACTGCCGCTAGGGCGCCGGAACAAAAGGGCCGCGGCGGGAGGGGGGGGTGTTGACAAGGCTTTAAAAGGTCTAGCGCTTTGAAATTGACAGGCAGGGGGCGAAGTGGCCGCGCGCGTTTTGCTGCGCCGGGTCTGCCTCGGGGTCACTTCGTCGAGGTCCTTTGCATCAGACTAGGGTTTAGGGTTCAGGGTTTTGGGCTTTAGGGACTGCAACAGCCCTCGGTTGCTGATTTTAGCTCACGATACAGAGAGATCCTGGATTGAACCCTGGGAACCCTCGAGGCTCTTTGCATGCATTTTCTATACTGAGATTTCAGTTATCCCCTGAAGCCTCAAAGCCGAAACTTCAAGCATTGAGCCCTCTCAGACTGTTAAACAGCCCCTCACTTCAAAGGGCAAAAGGAGGGGCCCTTAATGTGGATCCCTACCCTATAACGGGCTATATAATGGGTATACAAGAGCTAGACTAAAGTTAGAAACCTAGGGGTCCTTACTAAGGGTCCCTCCTTTTACCCTTGGATCACTGCCATGACCCTCAGAGCCGCTATCAATTGCTATCAACTGCCACGAATGGTCAGACCAGAAGCCCAAAGACGAGCCCCAATGCGAGCCACCAGTTACTTATGCTCTTCTTTCAGTCATTCTGCTACTTAGATGGAACTCTAAAAAATGAGGTGCCTAACTTCTACAGCTTCTAGGATTGACGCATTAACCCGACACTCCAGAAGCGAGAAAATCATAGGAGAAACTTCGCCAAGCTCCTTGTACCTTGCTGGTAGGTTCGGACCCCAATGCTACATGGTCTATATCTCTTTCCCCATATGTATGTACAGTACATATGTACATTTATGTAAAACATTGGGATGTATACGAGATACTGTATAATAACATGATGCAATGTGATGTTATGCTACATTAAAGTACATTATACGGTACTATATTAGGTTACTTTATACCATATTATAAAACATTCTATGGCAGCATATTATAGAATGTTATATTCTATGCGCTATACTGTGTTACATTTCACCATATCACACGATATGGACTTATAGTATACAATATTCGTGTTATACCGTATAATTAAGTGGGTAGTTTGTTCTGCTTTTGCGTCATTTTTTGCCGTGCTATATGTTCCTATAGTATTTTGTGTGATGTCATATGGTTGTAAATTCCAGTATTTTGAATTATCGTACGCTATACTGCGGTGATACTGTATTGATTGATACAGCATGACTATCTTATACTCTTCTGTGGCATCTTGCCTTATGCTATATTGCACTCTGTAAATATAGCATACTTTATTGTAGATGATAGCATATGACGTTGTATGTTCTTCCCCTCTTCTCCATAAGTCAAGTCAGTTTACCTATAATCTCACTCGGTGGTACCTATAGTCCGACTTACCATCCTTGATAAGTAAGACCTGAGGTTCGGTAAGAGTCTCCTAAAAAAGGTTTAGGGTTTTGCTAACCTATGATGACGCACCCTTTCTCCAGAACGTGCCGGCTCAGGGTGAGCCCACAGAGTGAGACTGCCAGAGGCAATGCACTACTTACGAGTACACATCCTCAACAGCTGGAGACGAGTTTCAGTCCCCACATTCATCATCCCCATTCGTCGGATCTGCCGTCTCAGCCCTTTCGGTAACCACCTCATGACTGATATTCAGACCCGACTCAACCCTGTCTGATGCCGTACTCGCCGATGTGGTGACCAGCTCTGGTTCCGCCGACATAGAAGGCCCATTCCCCGCAGTTGTCTCGACCCCAGGCTCGACCACCTCATGGTCAACACCCTCCAGTTCACCGTCGGCTGCAGGTGGTGACTCAGGCAACGGTTGTACCATTCCATCCACGGTCGGGACCTCCTCCTCGGCGCCCTCAGGTGCTGGTGCAGCCTCCGGCTCATCAGGAAAAGGCGTCTCAGCATCTTCGTCCGACGGGAGCTCCGTACGTCCCAGGGATCCAGGCCACTACATCACGGGAATCGGAACGAATTCTGAGCCTCACGGTCAAGCAACTCTGCCTCAAGAGGCCAATCACACTACCACCAGACCTTTAGGCGATGGTCCCCAAAGGCCTGAACCCTAAACCCTCAAACGCTGTAACTCTAAGCCTCTAGGGTTCACAGCCGGACCAAGGCGTATCTTGCACAGGTGCCTTCCAATGGACAACCGGCCTGTCACCAAAGGGACTCACTTCAAAGTCTGTCAGTGTTGATGGCCCGGGCGTAAAGTTAAGGGATTGTCATCACCGCCGGCTCGGCGTCCATAGTCACACGAACACTGCAAACAAGGTGTTCACTTCTAAGTGCACAGTGCAGGAATCACTGAGACAAGAAAGCGGGAGCTGCAAGCGACCCGATCTTGTCCGTCAAGCTTGCTGGAACACGAACAGAAATTGTGTCCCAGGTGCACGAGCCACTCTTTCAGTTGAGATGCTACTATCATGTAGGAACAACCCGAAAACATCGCAGCTCATTGTCACCGGCTCGCTCGCCCCCACGAGCGGCCCCAAAGTAAAGTCGTCGCACCGTCAGGCATGACGGCAACCTGTCCGGTGGTATCCGGGTGGATTTGCTCCCAGACGATGGACGACGGTCTGCCTTGCTCCTTGTAACGGAGCCAGGACGCGCGGGACTTCCTGGCCTGCACGTGCGGTGACCGGCCAGCCAGCGGGCACTGCAATCGTGTAACTCGGCATGCGGTGCGCAACGCCCTGTGGAACGATTACCGCAAACTGCATGGGATGCGGAGCGCCGAACGACTTGCTGCTGGATTTGCTTCGCCTGAGTTCCGGCCACAGCGCCAGGAGCCGCAAAAGGCATTGCGGTCGAAGGGAAGCGGACTGGAGCTACACGGGTACCATCGAGCAGAACCAGAGAACGGACCGGTGCGATCGGTGAGCACGAACTCACTCACGGTACAGTGAAGGGAAAGGGAGCTGGCGACCTGGAGCACTCACCGGGCAGACTCCCCGGGCTGCGTCTTCGTTTCTATCTGCTTCTCCAAGGTGCGCACACGCTCAAGCCAGGCCAACTGTTCCTCTGTTTGCGTTGCCTTGTCGGCAACCTCCAGCCCAGGCCAGTCCTCTTCAACTTCTGGTGCGAACACTGGCTCCATGTCGCCGCTCGTCCGCTTCTCCATAGCTTTATGGCGGCCAAATGGTTAATCATCTTTTTTCCGCTGTGTCTTGCAAGGCCTCTGCAAAGCCACAGCTCATTGTACTGTGCCAATGTCATTCTACCCCTCGGGTCTCGGAGCTGTGACAGGCTCTGGGTTGAAGATCACTGCTTCGAGTTGAACTCACGAACCTTGTCTGGTGAAAGCACGATGACAAGCATTTAAGACGGAGTCTTGAGCCAAAATGGCTACGAGGGTTTAGGGTATGGGGAACCCGAACCTCACACAAACTAGCACAATACTCACGATTGAAGTAGTCATAGCCCTCCTCAATCTGCTGAATCAGCCAACGAGAATGATTATCAACTTCACGGCCAGTGTACTGGCCAGTGTCCTGCTGCGAATGCTCCAATGATAACACTTGTCGTGAATATGCAGAATGTGCATGTTGGTCTTGTTGGTATTGCAGCATGCGGGCATGTCTGCAACCCCTGCGCGAGTCAGCCGAAATTAGCTCATACTCATCATCGGCACGTGCGAGCTGTGGGAGTGCAAAAGCTGCTCATAGTCGCACTGGTATTGCCATGGCTGAAATGCTGTCGGCACTGCTGCTGCTGCTGCTGCTGCACTATACTTCAACGACGACCACCACTGTTGATGCAACTGCCTGTGCCACTGCCACTGCTTCGCACACGACGACGCCTACCACTACCACTAACATAACCTAGAAACCACAGCCACGAGGCCAACCAAGCAGCGCACAGCAACCGCATCAGCGTTATTATCATTGTCATTATTGTTAAAGTTGTTCTTGCTACATATTGATGGAGTCTCTACTAGTATGGTTCGTAGTCTGCGGAACTTGAGAATCCAGGCCGGGCCGCCTCATCGAAAGCGTCCGTCATGTGGGGAAGCAGCGAAGGTGATCCCGACTGAGTCGTCGACTTGGTCCGTCCCTTTGTCTCTTCCTCAGCGAAAATGGGTGTAAGCCGGCGGCATGAAGGTTTCGAAAGTACTATGATTGCGGTATTGTTGTTGCTCTTGTTCCTCTTCTTACGATGAAGAGTCTTTGCGCTACTGCCACTGCTGGCGAATATTGTAATGCAGTATATTACTATTATTACTGTTACTACGAAAACCGTAGCTATTATTCATTATTCTTACTAGTGTAACCATAATTGTTGTTGCCAGTTAACATCGCTACTAGTATTATTATTCAATGTTTAGGGCCGTTTAGGTTTATTGTTGCCGGCATATTTTGGGTTAGGGAAAAGGAGTTCAGGTAACGCCTCAACACCAACCTTACAGCCCACAGGCATGAGTCGCTCGCTTGCTGTCACTTGCATACAGGCCCTGCGCCTGGGCCGGTACCAAATGGGAGTTTCCGAAAATAGGGGACCCTAATATAGTACCCGAAATACTAGGATCCTTCTTATCAGGCCCCCAGAATAAGGTACCCCGAATTTTCGGAAACTCCCAAATAAATCCTATCAGCCCTAAACTCGAATACCTGAAGCGAGTCTTCAAGGGCTGCTGCAAAGCTTGTATGGAGGGATTTGTCATGTCTTATAGGTTTGACATTATGTTCTATGAGGATGTGTATTTAAACTTTCACACGGCTCTTTCTGTCGGGTTTTGTATATGGGTTCGGATTTAGATCGAGACAGCCCCGCAGAGAGCCCAAAAACACCCAAGCTGCTTGACAGCCTTAAAACCGAGGTGCCCGTGGCGATTGCGGTGCAGGAACGACGGACAGGTGCCAACCTCCCAGTAAAACCGACACATCCTAAACCTACATGTTTTCATACCATCCATCAACTCTGCCAGCATCTCCAGAAACGCCGATATGGGCTGTGGGAGTCTGTAAGGGTCGTAAACCATGCCCTCTTGCAGTCCTTATACAACTATACCATAGTATAGCCCAAAACCTTATTGAGGCCACTGTACCACGGCTACAGTCTTGTGTCCAGTGTTGGGTCTTTCAACTTGTTGCAATGGGTTGAAGAGTGGCCACAGAACTCGCACACCGGCCTAGGTCGGCTCCTGTACTAAACCTTTCCAGCAATAATATAGGAGCCTGAACACTAAGTGTTCAGGCTCTTCTAAGTCTTAGAATAGGGTGTTGGGGGTCCATTCTACTATCATTTTCATACGGAACCCCCAACATAGTATGGGTAATTATTTAGGCCCCACACACAATTTCCCAACTCTTCCGAAGCTTAATGCTGGACCGCAGAAGAAACCCTAGGCCTATAACCCCAAAACAATAGGATTCATATAAGGAACCCTAGTAAAGGCCCCAGTTTTCTTAAGTAGGTTCCTACATTACCTATCCAAAAGCCATGGGCTTTGAAGCTTAGCCGTTTATGCCACAAATCACAGTGCTTGAGGGCTTGAGGGTTTAGGGCCCAGGTGCTAGAATCAGTACTGCAGCACTAGCACTCGTGTTGCGCAAAAAATCTCGTGAAGCTTGAACATTTCCTTACACAAGCCTGTTCAAGCCTCCTTAAACAAGGTGAAACATTCTTGAGTGACTTATGCGATTCAGCGTGTACGCATTTCGGCGTTGAGGCTCGGAAGTGTGCGAAGCTGTGGGGTTTCAACACATTTTTCCTTTGGGGACTCGTTATCAAGAGGAGCACGATCCTCAAGACGGGTCGGCGGGAATGATGCATTTTCTGGATTTGGGCGAAGGGAATGAGGGATAGAGTCGGTTAGAGTTCAGAGTTGCAAGTATGAGTATTTCAGGTCTTCGGGTGTCTGGGTTCGGGTTTGAGGGTTCCGAGGTGAACCTGGCTACAAAGGTTCGTAGGATTTCACAGGGTGCGGAGTCAAGGATAAGGCTATAGGTAAGTTAAGGATAGGAACTCATATACCTGCTCACCATGCCAATGAAGAGAATAATGACTCCCCTGCCCCTCTACCAAGGACTTTCAGCCATCACACATGCTCTACCGAAGCACAAACGACAAGTTGCAACCCCAATAAAACAATATCCTCTAGCCAAGACAGACGTTGAATGCAGTAGCTTAGGGTATTGCAAAGCACGCCTTCTTCTGGCTGCTTTCTCCGAGGTTGCAGCGACACAGACTTTCTTGGCACCACTTCCTCATCTTCCTGTCAGGGTCACCCGTAAGAAGCCGTGCGTTCAAGCATATCTTACAGGGGAGGAATGAGGGAAGGGATGTGCAAACTACGAGGAAAAAGCGCAGATTTGAGGTGCGATGGACGACTTCGAGAAGGCCGAAAACACTGTGAAGGTTTGGAACTTATCGGAGAATGGCTAGCACTGTGTGATCACGGGTTTGTTTGGGGGGACCGAGAGCTTTCGATTCTTGCAGTTCGCAGGGCATCAAACATGCCCGAGACCTTATGGCCTGAACACACAAAACCTGTAGATCTATCGCCTTTATCCCCTCCTTAAGTGGTGTGCTGTCCATTTGGGGTCTGCCGGCACCATATCAAAGTTAGTTCGTTAGTTATCCCCTTCTTAACCTACTAGAATCTACTTGCGGTTGGTAGGGTTTCAGCCCCAGAGGATCCAAATACCCCAATAGTATTGGGGCCCATTATACTATATCTATAATATGGAAACACCAAAATAGTATTGGTGATTATTAAGGCCCATACTAGACTAAATCCTCATAATGGCTATCATAGTAGCCCTTATAGGCCCCTTTAAAGGCATAGCACTGGTAAATAGAAAGCCCCTATACTAAATCGTTATATCGAATTCTGAAGGCCCCTAGACTACATCCTCACATAGCCCTTGTAGACCCCTGTAATTGAACCCTATTCGAATTCTGAAGGCCCCTGTAGTACACCCTAAACCCTAAACCCCTAAACCCTGCTCGAATTCTGACGGCCCCTGTAATACACCCTAAACCCTAATCCCCCAAACCCCGTTCGAATTCCGAAGGCCAATAGGTCCTATAGTACCCTTACAGACCCCTTTAAAGGAACCCTTTAAAGGGACCCTGTTGGAATTCTGAAGGCCCTGACTCCATCTTAGCCTGCAGCTGCGGAAGCATCGGGGCCGATCGCGAGGGCGGTGGAGGCGAGGAGGAGTCGGTAAGGTAAGTAGACGTCCTCACAAAATTGGGCGTTAGAGATTTTAAGGGGTTTTAGGGCTTGTAGGGCGTTTAGGGTTTTTAGGGTTTAGGGTTTAAGGGTTTAGGGCAAAATTGGGGGGTTAGAGATTATGGGGTTTGGGATTTGGGGTTTTGAAGGTTTTTAGGGGCTTAGGGCTTCAGGGGCTTTTAGGCTTTAGGTTCAGCGCTTCAGGCTTCAGGTATCGGGGTTCGGGGGCCCGTAGTTTGTAGATGTGCTAGGTGCTGACGGTTTAGGGTTTAGGGTTTAGGGTTTAGGGTGTGCTACAGACTCTGACCATAGCTTCGGCCAAGTACAAATGCTGCTTGAAAGATTCGGGGAAGCGTAGTCAGTAGACTCTAACATCCCTAAACCCTACAAACCCTAGACCCTAAACTCCGAACCATTATAAGCCCCTATGACCCCGAGAGGAAATGAAAAAGACCCTAAGTTGAACCCCGGCGAAGTGGCCTTGAAGCTTCCAAGGCCCCACAGCGGGGTGTTTTGGAAAGGTCCCCGAAAGAGGGCTTTTGGGTTTGGGGCTTCGGGCCAAAGGGCCAAGAAAGAGAGCATTTTGGCAGATTTTTGAGCCAAATGTCAGCCAAGAGACACATCCATATCAGACCTTGGGTGAGTGATTACTCCGGTGGTTCGGCTTTTAGAAGGATTGTCAGTTTCAACTTGTCGTCGAGTCATCATTGTTGGGCATGGGGATGATGGGATCCCCTGCATTGGGATTGGGCTTTCTGTGCCAGGCAGGCTCCTGTTTCAGGAAAACGGAAGCTTCTAAGCTGACGGGTGGAGTGGGACCATTATATGCGATATAAAACGATGTGATATACTCTAAGATGCATTTTGACCATGCGACATTACACAAGAATGTGATATACTACAAGAGTACGGTTATTACTATTGATCCTAGCGTTGCTACCACTACTATGATTACCATAACCCTAATTCTTATTCTGCTTGTTTTAGGCTTCTGCAACCGACTGGGCATGCGGAGGATGCATGCTGCGAAGCTGCTGAGCACGAAAGCCCGAAGCTTGCGAGGAAAGAATATGATGTGAAGACCGGCAGGCAAGCCCAAGCACTACTATCACTACTATATAGTCATTGTGATTACTATGATCAATATTCTTACTCTTATTACTATTACTAATATGATTACTGCGATGACTCTGATTGTTGCTTGTCATTATTCGTATTCTTATTGTGGCCATTAATATTACTAATAATTACCATTATTGTTGTGATTTTAACGACACCTGAACTCCCAAAACAGCTAGGTCCTGAGAGCGGCAACCGCCGCTCTAAGCCGTTAATTAAGCATAATCCTCAGAGGCAAAAGCCCTACACGTTCCGCATGCAAGCCAGGGAGCACATCTGGAGCGTCAGATATGCGAGAAGACAACTCCTGCACGGCTCACAGTGTGTAGCTTCCGACTGAAACCCCGAACCCTGAACGCAGTCTGAAACTAATTACTGAAGTAGAAACTTAAAGGCCAGAAATTCACGGTAGTGTAGGCTGTGGGGTCGGAGGTCAATGCATCTCTCTGAACCGATGCTAGTCCTGATGCACCGCAACATCGTACACACAGGAAGCACGAAGCCCTGCATATCGCACTGAGCACCAGAAACCCATACAGCCTGGCAATTCCATCTTCCAAGCGGCATTCCTGCCCCAACCCGCCAAAGACTGGAAGTGCTTTTAAAGGCTTTGAAAAATAGTGGTAAGACCCTCTTAAGGCCAATTCGAGCAAATCTGAGATGTCCCAAAGCCCTACCTAGACGGAACGCAGACCTCAAGCATCTGCGTCACCGTCTGCTGGAATTGCTGGTGGCTCCGGTCGAACCATAGGTCCAGCTGCTGTCCTGAGCACGAGACGTGGCTGTGAGCTGTGTCGCAGTGGCGACGGCGACAATGCGAATGACGACAAGGGCCGCAGAGTCACAGGGACGTATTAGAGGAGGAGGGTAATGCTGATGCTGCTGATGATGATGAGGAAGATGACCATCGGTGGCGATTGGTTGATGGATGATGCCCTCAACTACGCTGATGGTGGGTATTTGTTGTACCATGCAAGGCATTAGATGTAGCTTTGTTGCCTTCTGCTTTTCTTGCTGATGCTGTTGGGGTTGGCGGTACGAATGCTGCTTGTGGAGGTCTGCCGTGTCCCGGATGTGTTGTCGTGTCCTGCTAAAGATAGAACATTTCTTTTTACATGTTTCGGTGTCGGGTGCCGCTGCTACTGCCTTGTGGCCAAAATGATCAAAATAGTTCGTTAGGGAATATGACTGCCTCGATCTTGGGCCCTCAAAGCCCTATCCAGGTCACCCGCCTACCCTTTGAATGACGACCTGCAGAGACTTTATGCCGAGTGAAGACTTCAGAACGTATAGCAAGACAACAGCCTGATATAGGGGCCTTGATTAGAATAGGGTTTGGAGGGGGTATACTGTACAATAATTACAATAGGAAACCACCCAAACAGTGTAGGTAATTATCAAGGCCCCTATGTTACTGTCATGGTGGCACAACGGAAATGGTCATGAAACGAGAACGATGTAACAGTAGGGTTCGACTACGTGATGTAGATCCTGGATTTCCCGGTCGGTCATGCTGCGTATTTATGCGCTAATGCTCGTGATCAGGTTTCCTTGGTACATTTTTGCTTTGCAAAAAATAACCCACAAACCCTAGTCTAATCATAATCATCAAAGGCTCTTGATGCTACCTACATTACATAGTATGTAGAAGTAGGGTCTCTTTGACAGGAACTGCTATTTGTGGTTTGGGCAAGGGTACCCCCAGACATTTTGAGTCAGGGCTGAGGGCTTAAGACATAGTGTTTGGGGTCGAGGCCCAAGCTCCGAAGCCCCAAACCGTAACCCTTAACACAGCAGCAGCAACGCCACAAACCATCTAAATCCTAAAAGCTGAAAACCCTAAAGCCTAAAGCCCTACATCGCCTAAACCCCTGCAAACCCTAAAACCTGAAAGCCCTGAAGCCCTGACCCCCTTAACCTCAAGCCGACTCGGTTCTACCCAGACTCGAATGATCGGTGCCAGCAAGTCTTGCAGCTCTTTTTCTTGGTGGGCCACCGAAACCTCGATGCTTGAGCTGTCGCCGTCCTGAACGTTTACGGGAAATATGGACCACTGAAGAACCTATCTTTTGGGGCTTCTTAAGCTGATTCTTTTGAGGGTAGGGCTATTCAGGATCCAGGTGAGGTTGACGTTGGGAACTTAAGGGTTAGGAGTTTGGGGTTTAGGGTTTTGGATTTAGGATTTTGAGTTTAGGGCTTAGTCTGATGATCCCAAGCTTTGAAGGAGGTACTGTAAGCCACAATCTCAGAGCGGTCTTCACTGCAAAGCCCCAAAACAAGCAATGTCATTCTGACGACGAAAATCATGGCGAGGACAGGCTTGCCTACAGAACTTTGAACTACATACAATTTGCCTGTTCAAGCATTTCCTGCAAAGTCGAATGTCAAGCTTCTTAAAAGGAACTCCAGAAAGTTGGAATATGGTTTCAGGGTAGGGTACCTTATAGTTTACCATAAATGGTTTAGGATAATCATATTCCAACTTTCTGGCTTTTAGTTTAAAGCCTAACTGTTGTCCTTCCCGAACCCGAAGAAGCCCCTCCACGGCAAGCCCTGCAGACAACAGCCGCTCAACCCGAAGTCTGAAGAACGTGAATCCTAAAGCTGGAACACAAAAACACCTGTGGGGTTCAGCAGTGTAATGTAGGGGCCTAAATCATTACCTACACTATTTCGGGGGTCCCTTAGTACAATTATAGCATTATGGGCGCCGAAACCCTATTCTAACTATTAAGGCCCCTATAGCAGGCTGTAGCAAAACCCCAAGCCCAAGCCAAAAGAGACTAGCCGATGGTCCTGGAATGTCTCTTCCTGCGAGGTCATGGGTCGGCTTTGCCCCGGGTCAGTCTGACCCTACCCGGCTCGCAGACCAAACGCTGCGGAAGAATGCTGCTCCAGGGGGCCAGGGGTTTCGGAATGAAGGTTCAGGGCGGCTACAGGCTTAAAGGACATGACGTCTACTGATTGGCCGAAGTTGCTTTGTGTGTGTGTATATATATATATACATAAATATATATATATATATATATATACATATAGATTACTTCAAAAAAGTAAAATGAAACACAATGTATTGAGCTTTCAGGGTATTGAGGTCGACATCCTTCTCTCAGGCCCTAAAACCCGGAACCCTTAAATGGTTGCGAGCTTTCTTCTCCCAGGCACCTCAGGCCGTTTGCATGTGACAGTGCTCGTGACTTTCTGGCCCTGATTGCATGGCTCTGGTATGATCTTTCACTGTTTGGGGATGTCCGCCGGGGATAAACTTGTGCCATTGTGCTGCAATTAGACTAGCAACCACAAGGAACACTTTTCGGCAAATATCCACGCCTCTTTCTAGATTTCTGCAAACGTCCTTGACCAGAATCTCTATGCACTGCTGGTTCGCAGAGCTCCCCGGAAGAGCCCAGAAGGATTAAAATCTAGACCGCTGGTTGACAAACCCACCTTCTGCAAAAAGGCCAAAGAAGGGATCCAAGTTTGGGCAATCATAGAAGCGGGGGAGTGGCAATTTTCACCTAAACCCCGTAGCCAGCAGCCGTAAACCCCAGACTACCTACAACAGGGATTTAGATCACCCTGGGCGGAGAGAGATCTTTCACTGAGGTGGCTGCCCATTCGCCGGTGTAGACGAGGCCGTCTGCAGTTTTGTACCTAGGGCTTTATGAGAGCGGGCTTAGGGCAGGATATTGCAGGGCAGCCTGAGCCTGATGCTGAAGCCCTAAAACCTGAATGCTACATAGTGTTGCTTGCACGTCCTTAATTCTGCCGACTCGTAATATAAGGGCCATAATAATTAGAATAAGGTCTTGGGGCCCATTATGCTAAACATATAATAAGGAACGCTGAAAATAATATTGGTAATTGTTCAGGCTCCTATAGTAATTCATTCTGCCGACTCCTACATATTTCCGTTTTAGGAAGAGGAGCTCGGAGGTTGGTGCTTCGGGTTTGGGGTCTTGAGCCATGTCTTTGGAGCTCAGCACAGCCTTAATATTTCGGCTTAGGTATTGAAGTTTAGGGTTTAGGCTTAGAGGTTGCGGTTTAGTTAGGGCTTGAGGGCCTTCGGCTCCATGAAACTATATGGTACTAAGGAACCCTCTGAAGGAATGTATGCACTACTCTACAAGTCTGATGGCTTCGGGTTTTGCGCTTGCAATTAGGGTCTTTTGGGCTGTCTGAGGCTTGTTGCGACTGGCAGCTCTAAACCCGAAACCTAAAGCCCCACCCTACCTGAACCCACAACAGCCTGACTTGAAAATCTCTAGGGCTCCTTAACTGGATTCCCATAAGGACGTCCTTGGAGAGGCAAAGTCCGTAAAGCCCCCACAACCCTGGGCCACCCGACTTGCCCTTCCCGTGGAACTTGCCACTCTGCCAATGGCCCTCATAGTACGCAACTTGCTTGCCTGTCAGCAAGCTTTGGCTAGCTTGGGGGTCGAGGTTTAAGGGTTTAGGGCTTCGGCCATACTACAGGGGCTTCAAAAATTAGAATATCTGTACGTAGTAAGGACCCCCTCAAAATAGTATAGGTCCAGTAGAGGTAATAATTTAGGCCCCTACATTAGGGTTAAAGTGCATTTAGGCTTTACAAAGTCATGGACTCCGGGCAGACGGTAGTTGCACATAGGGTCCCTTTCTGGATCCTCCCAGGATCACGGCACTTTCAGACTTTGGAGCCTGAAATGGGGTTTCCAAAATAGAGAACCCTAATATAGCACCCTAAATCGTAGGATCCGTATTATAAGGACGCGCCAAAAAATAAGGTCCCCCTAATTTGCGGAAACTCCGAAATGCATACGTAACATGCCGTCTTGAATAAAGCCCTTCCGGCTTCTACAAAAGCTCAAGCACCGAAACTGCAAGCAAACCCGGGCCGGCATGTCCGCAGGGTTTAGGGTTCCGTCCGGACTTTGCTTTCTGGTCTAGCGAAGGATGGCTCCAGCAATGTGGAAAGGTTACTCCTCTGCGATCCGTATGTGGCTGTCGCGAAGACCAAGTTCGAGCTGTGCAGGCCGTACACATCCAAAACAATCAAGTCCCATGATGTCATTTCCTATACCACACTGCACTCTACTTATGCCTATACTGCCATACTGTACCATGCTATACGTTACTGTAGTAGCTTAAGCCTCTTCTCATCATTTGGCGCTCAAGACTCCCTGACGTGCAGAGACCTGATCCCCCAACTTAAACCCTGAAACCACGAACCCGGAGCCCGAAGATTTTTGGAGAATCCCACACCACTATACTCTCATATACCAAGAAGCCTCTCGGGATTGTCATAAAGAGTTGGATGACGGGATTCTGAGTTTAGGAACCCCGGCGTGCACGTCAGGGGCCAGTCTATAGCATTCCGTGGTCCTTTATGCACTCACAAGCCGAAATCCATACATACCAAAGCCGCTGGACCAACTTAATGTAAGACTGAACCAAGACATGCCGAGACACAAGAGTCACTACTACAGGGGGCTAATTAGAATGGGGTTTTGGGGCCCTTAATGCTATATTCATAATAAGGAACCCGCAAACTAGTATTGGTATTTATTTAGTAGCTTGAAGGGCCAGCATTGCAAGGAGGTTTGGTTATGTTTGGTTTAGTTTAGGCTTGAGGGTTGAGGGTTTGGCTGCTGTGAGTTAGGCGAAAGCGCCGCTCGGTGGCTCACGAAAAGCCATGCACCTTGCTCCCTATTGATCGGCATCTAACGGCCGTTCTGTTTGGGAGCAAGAGCGCAGGCCCTGCGTGGCATGGGAGGGCAGGCAACTTCGAGCGTGCTTTCCTCTCATGTGTGAAGCCCGGAGCAGATTGAAATTGCAAGCATGCTCGCAACAACCTTAACCATAAACCCAAATCCTTAGGCCCTAAGCCGCTCCGTCGAAAGCCTGAAACCTGAATTCTGCAAACTGCTGTGCCTTTGTTGCCGCCTTCGTGGTCAAATTGCGTCATCTGCACAGAAGAGGATAATGGTGTCTTTTTGGTATAGGAAGGGCTGAGGCTTATGTTAAGTGCTAGTGTTATGAGTGCTCAATGCAAGTTCATATGGTTCTTACGCATATACAGCCAGTCAATGAGCTGATCACGGATACGCAGGTGGTTGTTGCTGTTGTTGTTGTTGTTGTTGTTGCTGTTGCTGTTACTTCTGCTGTTGCTGCTGCTGCTGCTGCTGCTGCTGCTGCTGCTGCTGCTGCTGCTGGTGCTGCTGCTGCTGCTGCTGGTGCTGCTGCTGCTGCTGCTGCTGCTGCTGCTGCTGCTGCTGCTGCTCTACGGTTGCTCTGCTGCTGCTGCTGCTGCTGCTGCGTCGTCGTCTTATTCTGCGTACCGTGTGTCGTCATGGGCTTACTGCTGTTGCTTTTATCTTGCTATGGTTGCTGAAGTTGTAGTTGCACGTGCAGCAGAAGCAGAAGCAGAAGTAGAGGCAGAGCAAGAAGTGATACACAGAAGTTGAAGCTGAAGCAGCAGCCGTAGAAGTAGTAGTAGTAGTAGTAGTAGTAGTAGTAGTAGTAGTAGTAGTAGTAGTAGTAGTAGTAGTAGTAGTAGTAGTAGTAGTAGTAGTAGTAGTAGTAGTAAGTAGTCGTAGTCGTAGTAGTAGTAGTAGTAGCAGCAGCAGCAGCAGCAGTAGTAAGAGGAGGAGCTGGAGCTGGAGCTGCAGATGGAGCGGGAGCTGGAGCGGCGCCGAGAGTAAGAACAGCAGTGGCAGAGGAGCGGCACTGACAGTAGTAGCTTAGTAGCTGATGCTGCTCCATTTGCTCCCGCTGCTGGTGTTGGTGTTGGCATTGCTGCGTTGGTGGTGCTGCTGCCGCTGTTGGTGCTGGTGCTGCTGTTGCTGTTGCTGCTGCTGTTGTTGCTGATGTCGTTGCAGCAGCACAAGCGCAGAGCAGCAGGAGCAGCAAAGCAAGATAAGTAGTTGTGGTGGCAGGCGTCGTCTTTGCCTTGCCGAAGCCGTCCGGGAAGCCGTTTTTCATCTCGCCTTCATACACCGTGAAATCGGCATACCTGCGCAGCAGAGGACCAAGAACGTGAGCAAACTACATATGGGCTTCTCTTTCATTCGCGGCATAAGCTGGCCTTGAATGATTAGACAAAGGTTTAAGGTATGCTATACACCAAGATATATAACTACAACGGACTACAAGGGGCAGCTTTATAAACTGCTCTTGCCCCTATATCGCAGATCGGCTGGGCTTCGTGCGCTTTGACGCAGCCCTTGGTTCCAGCTCGATGAGTTCGCGTGAAGGATTGAACCTGCCTGAACCCTTTGACCCAGAGCTAAAACGCATGTTAGTTAATTCCGGGCTTACATTGTTGGACCAAAACCAACCCTACTATTCCATGACACACAGAGGCAAAAATGAAAGACACGCAACACCCCTGAACCCTGAACCGAACACCCAGTGAATGAGCCACATCAGGAAAACCCTACCCGAGCCCCCGAGGAGCCAGCGGAAATGGTAACTTGGATTTGGGTTTAGGGGTTTAGGGTTTTAGGGTTTCGCGGAAATTCCGAGCCAATGTAGGAAAAGAATATTTGTCAGATGCACCCGAAACCCTCGTAGCCAAAATTCTCTTTACCGAGACTCACTCTTCCATAATTTTGGCAAAGAGACTTTGCACGATGCGAACTGCAGACGGAAAGGCATCACGTTTGGTTTCTAGCTACTCCATCCTGCTTAAGGGTGTAGACGTTTTTGCTGGTAGCGCCTAGTGTAGCACTGCTCATCGCCCCAACGCCTGCCCCAGGTCCCAAACCGAACGCATATAAGCATAAGCCGGAGAAAGGGCACGTGGCCGTGCCGTTGCTCATGTGCTTTGCGTCACCGGCTTTGGTCTGGTAGAAGGCCTCAGCTGCATGTTTCTCAATAACCCTATACCGTAAACCCCTAAACTGCCCTAAACCCTAAACCCTAAAACCAGAAACCCTAAACCCTAAAACCCTAAAACCCTAAACCCTCAGCCCAAACCCCCAGCCCTGAAGCCGAACCTTAAGACTACATTTCAAAAAACAGGAGCTGTGGTTTTAAGACCTGGTGACAGAAACGCTGATGGGTTCCCCCTTTCTAGTCCGTATGGCCCTACTAGATATTGGAACTCGAATGTGCTCCGAAATCTTTGTCGAATGGCTAAGTCCTGTTAGGGTTTCGTTTGTCGCGGCTCTTCTTTGCAGTTGCTTTGTAACCACATCATGTCACACAACATGGTGTAACTATGATGACAGCGATGAATAAGCGGCTTCCGCAAGTCATGATGAGGCTGATGGACAGAATCCTGCTTTATCCACAAGAAGGAATATACCACCATCCCCATAGTTTAGGGTCCTTGGGGTAATGCAGGATTTTGTCCATCAGCAGTATGGAAACCAAACACCTGGAGCCCTGGCAACCATCGTACCCTTCAACCCCGAAACCTCCGACGACCAACACCTCCATCTGCAACACGGTGCTTGCCAGGGACCCCTACACTCCTAAACCGAACACCCTAATTCTGCATCCTGAACCTGATATTACACCCTGTGCAAACCCTACACTCTAAACGGCCCACGCTTTCAGACACCAGAGCATGCCGGCTTTCTGCAAGGTCCGAGAACTTGGCCTATGGGGGCGGAGGGTTTAGGGTCTCGGTACTTGAGTTTTGTTAAATAGAGCCTAGGGCTAGGGCTTGCAAGCTCAGGGCCTTGCGCTTAGGGGGTTTAGGGTTTGTAGGGTTTGGAGGGTGCATAACCCTGCAACAGCTTTCGAGTTCTCTGAACTGCAGAAATCAAGATCACCCAGCAGCAAGCATCCTTAATCAATGCTTCAAAGTGTCTAGACGTCTAGACTTTACATGTCTTTGTGTCTGCACAGCACTCGATCCACGGTTTGGCTCTGAGATGGAAGAAAGAGGAAACCCTAATCAAATTCTCAAGGATCCAACCTATGTCAAACCTGAACTCAAAACCTCTAAACCCTAAACCCAAAAACTTAAACCCAAAACCCTAAGCTCTTCAGCCCCCAATCTTACACACCCTCCACGCACGGATCCTTGGCTTCGGACCAGAGCCAGATCTGGGAGGGGATCCCCCGCCTTAGTCGCTCTACGGCTTAAGGGTCAAGGCTGACAGGTTTTGTTTCAGGGTTTAGGGCTTATAAGGTTTAGGGCTTACAGGGTTTATAGGGTTTATATGGCTTGTGGAGCTCTACGGCTTATGCACACACACACACAAGTGAGGTTGCAGACATAAATGCAGACGCGGTGACAGATACATATATGGAGATAGAGAATGAGATCGAGGTAGGGATAGATAGTTGAATGTGTGTGCGTGTGTATGTCCATCTGTAGATGTACACTATGCCAACATTTGATTCACATTTATATATGTAAGTTACAGAAATATCTATATACATACATAAACACATACATGCGTTCATGAATACATACATACATACATACATACATACATAAATACATGCATACACACACACACACGTGTGTGTGTGTGTGTGTCTGTGTGTCTCTGTGTCGGTGTGCCTGTGAGGCTGTGTGTCTGTGTTTGTTTTCACGAGAGGTGTTTTTGCCCCGGTCAGCCAGAGCCACAGCAGGCCATTTGGCCCCACCTTGCTATAGCCTCCGCTTAATCGTCAAAGCTTCACAAGCTAATCTCAGGGTGCCCTGTGTGTTGTGTCTTGAGATTTCAGGGTTGCCTTTGGCCTATGCTACCTTGTCTCAGCTGGTGCACGCTGCTTGCGAAAGTACCACAAACATGTATAGAGGCAGACCGATCTCCATGAACGTTTCGAATTTCGGCGACTTGCATGCATCAGCCCAGTAATCGCCATCCAAAAGGAGGGTAACTATTTGTTCGATGGAGTTGGGATGCGAGCTTTTGTGCCCATATCACACCTCTACCTCTCATACCTGTCGCATGCGCAAGCACACTGATATGTACCTGATGCAATTTTTACTCGAAGTCACTATCATCAAATTCAACACAACCCATCATCTATTCTCAAAAGAAGTCCTAGAATTGCTCTTCAAGGCCCTACGACCTATATACACCCTAAAGCCTAAAACCAAAAAGCCCACACGCCTACATCATTTCGACATGAAGGTTTCCGAAAATAGGGGACCCTAATATAGTACCCTAAATAGTAGGATCCTTGTTATAAGGACCCCAAAGCCAGGCGCCCCTAATTTTCGGAAACCCCCATTTCAAAATCGAAGCGAAGTCCTGAGAAAGAGGCGGCTTGTACTCCAAGCGGATCAGGTCCGAAGTACCTGTTGAAGATAAGGACTTAGAGTTTAGGGTTTAGGGCTTATAAGGTTTCAGGCTTATCACGTTTTGTACTCTTGAGCTTCATGTACCGTTTGGAGCTTTGGGGTTTACAGTGTTGTGTATGATTGAGTTTGAGAATTTGGGGTTGTGGGTTTAGGGATGGATGAATTTTAAGGCTCGCGGTGCAGCGTTGACGGTTAAGGCTTTAGTGGTTTAGGGTTTAGGGTTTAGGGCTTTGGGTGCAAGGGGCAGAGGTACCCCTTATTAAAGGCACAGCAGCCCGCGGGCTTCGGCGATGCAAATTCCAGAGAGGAGAAGGGCGTTAGTCTTCAGACTCTCTAACCCTTAGGCTCTAAGGACTCATACTTTAAGGCTTTTGGGTCCAAACACCATACTATATAAGGCTTTTGGGCTGTTTTGAGCATTAGGGTAAGGATTCAGGCCATCAGGGCCCAGTAACTTGGGCTACTACGGCTCAGGTTGCAGCTTAGGGTGCCAGGTTTAGTACACTACGAATACCTCCTCCGCAAAATGGATACACTCTACTCTTATCGAAGCCGGTTCCTGAAGCCATACTGAGGATGGTCTGTTGGGTTAGCTCCATAATGACACAATGGTCGTATACCACCCCAAGTTAAACCCTAGACTCCTAAACCCTGAATGTGGTATATATGGGTGGTTCTTTAAATCAGTGTCCCTTTGATTTAAGGGTCCTTTTTACAGGGGATTTAGGGGACTACCCATACTGGGCTCTCTGGGTATGGACTTCGTGAATACTTCGGTTGATGATACAAACCCTGCATTATCTTAAGGATTTATAAACTATGGGAATTATGGTATATTCCGTTCGGCTGTCTTCGGAGGCAAACTGCTGGTTTGAGACGAGGCACGGAGCAGGCCGAGGCTGTAGGAGGTTGTGGAGTTCAGGGTTAAGGGATTCAGGGTTTCAGGTTAAGTTAAGGGTTAAGGGTTTAAGGGTTTAGGGGTTTAAGGGGCTTCGGGTAGGCAAGACTCCAAGATAGCCCAAATAGGTATCATTTTGAGATTAGCTACTGTATGTATGGTTGGAGTTTCAGGGAAAGGGTACGTTGTGTTCTCAGGCATCCTTTTTGCCAACCTAGGCGAATTAGAAGGGCCTCAATAATTGGAACAGGGTGTTGGGGTGTACTGTGCTTGAAGCGTTTTCATGCGCTCAGGGGATAGTACATGGATTCTTCCGACCCCCTATACTAAAGTCAGGTTGACGTGTTAACCCCACCACAGAAGGACAGCCTACACCCAAAGAGCCTCAATACTAGCGCCAAGAATTCGTAGAGTATAGGGTGTAGAAATTGGGATTTAAAGTTTAAATGTTCAGAATATGAGGGCTACCACCTAGACCCTCCTTCTACCCTCTATTGGACCCTAAATACCTATTAGAGACCCTACATACTTGCGGGCACAAGGAGGGTCCGTTGCCTACGACGGGCGGCTGCTACAGCCTCGAGCTCTGGTGGCCACTTGTGGCCTTGAGTAGACCGAAGCCTTATCGGGTGTTTGGGGTTTAGGCATATTTCGGGTTTGAGGGTTAGGGGTTTGGGGGTTTAGGGGTTTCGGTTTCGGGGTTTAGGGTGATGTAACTTATACACAAGTGCTTGAGCCGTACGAAAATCATCGAAGACACCAGCTGGCAAAGCACTCTTGGAGTTCTTCTGCAAAATCTGAGGCATTCCTGAGCCCCAACACAAAAGGACCCCGCGACGAACCCTGCATGGAACAGCCGACCTCGTGAACTTCTGGTCTTTCTTCTTCATGTGTGCATTGTTCACCTGGCCGGGGGATGTCAGGGGCTGCTGGGGGTTATTCTGGGGTAGAGTTAGGGCAGTTTGGGGCTTCGGGCCAGGGTGTGAAAGGCTGGAGGTGCTCAGGATGCATTCGTCGGCTGATTTCTGAACCACTCCTAAAAGTTAGACGTTTAGCCTCCTTATTCTAACTCATATAGAAGCCCCAAAAGTTAAAGTATAAACAGCCAACCAGAAGAAATTAATGACTTCATCCTTAGCGGAGGATAAAGAAATTTAAGCCCGAGGATTCCTGACTATTCCGCCCCCTAAACTACACTGTCGTACCACCCTTTGCCCCGACGGCTTAGCGGTTCAGAGTTTATAGTGAACTTTGAAATGTCAAACCGTCTTAGCCCGGCGTGCGGATCTCTGATCGCAGGGTAAGTTCAACAACCCTAAACCCGAAACCCTAAACCCTAAACCCGAAACCCTAAACCCTAAACCCTAAACCCTTAATGACCCCAAACGCCCCTAAAGCCTGTTCTGCTTTCAGAGACTCTACCGGGGAAGAAGTCTCGGTGCTAATTACTCCTGGAGCTTGGGACTTAGGCAGAGAGAGGTTCGAGCTGCAAGCTACCTCGATACTCCCCCCCTCAAAAACTACGCCCTGAACACTAGAGCCTAAACCGGGTAGGCTGTAAGATGCATTGAGCTTGAACCACTAAAACCAATGGCACAAGCAACTGTGATCAAGGGACGGGGGCAGTAGGCATAGTCTGACAATAGTTTATATGGGCGAAGAAACAGCCTTCATAAATTTACCTACGGCTTGTGAGCATGGCGGAAATCGTGGCGGTACTTCCTGATGATGCGTCATCTAAACACCAACAACTCGTCAGCAAGAGCCACACTCGGAAACAAGTGTCAGTAACACGGCCCCCCCACCCCCAACACAGGCACTGATTATATATAAGGATCCCAATATGGCATATGGGGCCTCGAACTACAACACTTAAACGCTGACAGTTGTGGGATCGAACCTCGTGAAGTTTCAGGTCACGCTGAGCCCTTCCGTCTCGCAGAGGGTGCCTTATTGCACGGGTTTCTTGAAGTCGTGGCGGGGGCTGTGCCGTACGTGAACGATCCTACTGATTCTGTCTCTGCCCTAGGTGTACAGGGCTATTCTCGCAATTGAAAAACAGCGGTTGTGGGCCATGTGAAATCGAAATGGATTGAAGGAAACTAACGTGGTGGGTTTCAGCAAATTAAGGAACCTTACTCAGCATATAAAATTCCTGATCCACACGGGGTTTGATTTGGTGATAGAATGCTGGCTAGGGTGACCGGCCCGATTCCGACATCCATCCCATGGCGTTGAGGGTGTGAGGGCTACACTTAAGGTGCTTAACCCTCAACTCCAGGTTCCTGAGTAGCACCTTTTTAACAAGGGTACCCTTTTCCCCCTCTTTCTGCGTTAACGAGGAGACCCCCAAATAAAAAAGGGCAAGAGGGTACTACTCGGGAGCCTAGAACCAGATAAGCCCTGGGGATGGACTCCGAGATCTCGAACTCAGCTTCCGGGCTTGGGACCTGGGGCTTTAGGACACGGAATTCTTGAGGGCTTAGGGTTGATCACTACGAATTACAATACACCCCGAACACCTCCGACAGAAATCCAGTCTTGCCGGCCTTCCATAAAACCCTAAACCCTGAACCCTGTACGCAGACATGGGCTGCACATCCTAACTACCCTAAACACTGAACTCTAAACCCAAAGCGCTAACTTCCCAGAAGGAGCCACTTCAGGCAAGCCTTCAGGCCTTGAATTTCTGGAGCTTTTACATGGAAGCAAGTAATCAACTGAATATACCTCTCCAACCCGCCGGAAGAGCAGCTGGGTCCCTGGCAAGTTCTCGTACAGGGGGCTGAACCTTTGTTGCAGCTTGATTTGGGATTTAGGTTGCACGCCAGGGATTACATGCACCTGCAGTACGTCCTGTCTCTGTATGTAGGCTCAAGGAACTAACTGTCGAGAAACATCGCAACGAGCTTAACTTCGAGGGTGCATGGTCCACGGATGACGATCCAGCCACTGGATCGCGTATGCAACTAACAGTGCTGGTAACTTTACTTGTCCAGGACCCTAGGCCCTACAGGGACTAAAGGTTAGCCTTTTTTAGATTGTATAAGGAGTCTACCAAAGCACTCCGCAACTTAACTTTCTGCTGGGGTCCGGAAGAAACATCGCTCGCAAGCTTGGGTATGCATGTCGTGAAACTGTAGCCCTAATTTCAATCCGTAAACCCTAAACCCTGCAATAGGCACGACGGCTATAGGAATCGTAGTTGAAGAATACCCACTCTACTACCAAGTACCCCTCCCTCAACCCTAACCCCTAAACCCTTCTTGTTCGGTCCAGGCACTTTCGAGCTTCCGTGTCTGTCGTGAGCCAGTCCTCAGCTTAGCTCATGAGCCAAAAAATGTACGCGCTGAGCTTTGCAAGGGGGAATTATCATGCAAAAACCCTAAGGCTCTAAGGACTCATATATTGAGGCTTTTGGGCCCAAAGACCATACTATATCAGGCTTTTGGGCCATTTTGAGCCTTAGGGAAAGCATGCACAAAGTGCAAAAGAGACTTAGTTCAAGGCTTTCCGGCTCGAGGGTTCAAGGGCTCAAGGTTTAAGGCTCTAGGGTTGGTTGGGGTGTAAGGTTTAGGGTTGGTGACAGAATTAATCAAGGTTTAGGCTTTTTAGGGTTGAGGGCTTTCGGGTTCAGGGTTCCGTGAAAATCAAAAATAGCCCAAAAGCCTTACGTAGTATCGTCTTTGGGCCCAGCAGCCTTAATATATGAGTCCTTAGATTTCAAGCGGTTGAGCCTCGGGGTGTGGGACCTACCGTAAAGAACTGCGGAAAAAAAAAAAAAACGATTTCTGGGCCTGCCTGTGGTCTTTGATGTCCCGGGCTTTTACATCGTTGAGGGTTGAGCGCTTTGCGATCTTCGAGTTTAGAGTTTGGGATTCAGGGTCTGGGCTCTGAAGATGTTTGGGTCCTCTCTTCGGCTTCTTTGAGGCATAACTTCTAGAGGCGCCTGCATAGTTGCGGAGAGTCTTGCTTAAAACTCCAGGGTGTGTTCATAAGCAAGAAAGACTCACCGAAACCCTAGTCTTATTCGTGAGGCTTGTCTTTGGGCGCCTGGTTCCGAACCTGGCCACTTGGGATGTTGAGATGACCCGCACCTCTTCGGTTTGTGACCCTGGTGTTTAGGATTGCATGGGTTTTCGGTTGCAGCGGTTTCGAGTTTAGGTCCAGGGTGTAGGATTGCAATGCTTTAAGACTCTTGGTAATTCGTTCTGCAGGCCCCCGAGTTGAGCCGGCACTCAAAACCAGCAGCAAGGATAGGCCGAGGTCTGGACGGAATCCCATTCACCCTCGAAGCTGGTGATGTAGAGCCTGGGGGGTTTAGGGCTTAAGGGGTTGGTGCTCAAGGGTTTACCCACAGGCCCCAAAGTAGTTCCTTTTTTTGGTTCATATATAGAATCCTGTAAAGTAGTCCCGAAAAGGACCTACTTTGGGGCCCTAGGGTAGTTGTTACAGGGTTAAGGGTCAGCTTGTGGGTTAACTTAACAGATCAAGTCCCGAATCAGAGTACTGGGAAAGACACCAGGAACGTCCTCAACGCCATGATTCGGCAAATGTCGGGACATGTGCGTGTCTAGGAAACTGAGGTCCTGCTCGTGCGTAAGTTTTTTTCAGGGTTGCTATGCCGAAGAGCCATCGCTAGTCCTTGTCCAGATGCTAAGGGAACCAACTAACCGACTGCAGTCTCTTTTCTGCCCGCCACTGTAAGCTTCTCAGAAGGGGGCTGTCTATGAGGAGACTGGAAGGGCCTCTGTGGGCCATGCGTGGTGGAAAGTCCTCAAACCCCACATTCTGAACCCTAAACTAAATCCCAAACCCCGGGCTCCAAAACCACAGACCACCGGGATCACAAAAGCATCCAACCTGTGAACGTCTCAGAATTCAACTTTCCAACACTCCAAAAAGCCACCGCACATCCTAGAAACACACAGCGCTACCGTCACCCAACATACTGAAAAATAGCCCGCACTCGCCAACTTTCTGGGGGCCCAGTCGGATCGAAGTTCGGGAAGGGAACCTTCCCTGGGCTCAAGTTGGTTCTCTCCAGGGTCCTGGCACGGACTTTTGACATTTGTTGGTTTAGGGTTCAGGATTTAGGCTTGAGGGTGTAGGGTTCACGGTTTGGAGTTAAGAGGGGTGTGGTTTTAGGAACCAAAATGATTGAAACCAAGCTTTGTGAAGTGGCTGCAGCGAGAGAGATAGGAAGCAGCTATGGCTTTACATGGGGCGTGTGAAGCCTTGATCCAGCTTCAAACATTTCTGGACAGATTGTCGAGGTAGGGTTTCAGACTTGTGGTTTGTTGTTTGGGATGTGGGGTGAAGGTGGTCAGGGATATGATAAAGCTAGAATGGACACTGGAGTATATGAAAGTAGTGTACATACAAAAAAGGCTTCAGAATAGCAGTGCCAAATATTCCGACACCTATGTTACAGAGCGATCACGGTTAGGGGTCTAGGATGCGCGGTTTATATGGGTGGTTGTCAAAATTATGGCCCCTTTTTGTGTAACCTAAATATTAGGTGCCGTATTATAATAAGGACCCAAAAAGGGACCATAATTTTGACAACCACCCGTTATTTACATTTACATTTACATTATTAAGGTTGCTTTCCTGTTAAATGTAGTGGCTCCTTCTCCCGCCCACCTCAGTTGAGGTCTACACTTGCTGAAGACACTTACCATCCTCAGGCCAAAGCAGCAAAGCAGGTCAGGGTCAAGGGTGCCTTTTCAGACACCTAAACTGCCCTACATGCCCAACCTACACAAGACACTCTACAGCCTGAACCATACCTGCGATACCTAAAGGTGCTGAATGATCTTGGCCTTGGCATTCAAGGTCAACGCATGCCAATTTCCCGAAGGTCAAACTCCCCTAAACCTTAAATCCCTAACCCCTAAACCCTAACCCCCTAGACCCTAAACCTAAACCCCTAAACCCCTAAACCCCAAACCCCTAAACCCCTAAACCCTAACCCCTAAACTCCCACACCCCTAAACCCTAACCCCTAAACCCCAAACCCCTAAACTCCGACACCCCTAACCCCTAAACCCCTAAACCCTAATTAACCCCTAAACAAACCCTTAAAAACCCTAAGCCCTAAACAAACCCTAAACCCTAAACCCCTAAACAAACCCTTGAAAACCCTAAGCCCTAAACAAACCCTAAACCCTAAACCCCTAAACAAACCGTAAGCCCTAAACAAACCCTAAACCCCTAACCCCTACACAAACCCTAACCCCCAACCCCTACACAAACCCTAAAGCCCAAGCCGTAGAAAAACTGGCCTCAGGGACTGGGCCACGGCCTTCTCCAGGCGCCTCGGGCTTTACTCGGTAGAGGCAGTTTCTTAGGGTCTTAGGGTTTAGGTTTAGGGTTTAGGGTTTGGGGTGTAGGGTTTTAGGGTTAGGGGTTTGGGGGTTTGGGGTTTGGGTTTAGGGTTCAGGGTTTTAGGGTTAGGGGTTTGGGGGTTTAGGGCTTGGGGTTTAGGGTTTTAGGGCTTGGGGTTTAGGGTTTAGGGTTGGGGGTTTGGGGTTTAGGGTTTTAGGGTTAGGGGTTTGGGTTTAGGGTTTTAGGGTTAGGGGTTTGGGGTTTAGGGCTTTAGGGTTTAGGGTTTGGGGTTTAGGGTTTGGGTTTCGGGTTTAGGTTTGGGGTTTAAGGATTAGTTTTGGCGTTTGAGGTTTTTAGGGTTTAGTGGCAAAAGCTCTCCCAGGGCACCCGGACTCATTACCATCCCCCCAAACAAAGGAACAAGCTTCAAACAGTCGGAATGGCCGACATTTTCCGTGCACCCCCCAAAACCAAAACCCTCAACCCTCCCCCCCCCCCCAATCTAAGGGAGGCGCATCACCCCGTAGCCATCGAAGAGGTCATAGCGGAAGTTACCTTCGTAGACCTCGAGGCTTACCGGGGATGATCACTGTGCACCCACGGCCTCCCATGCCATCATCCCGACCCCCTTATAGTAGAAGCCAGAAAGTTGGAACATCAATACCCTCATGCCCTCGAGGAAAGTATAGGGGATCCCAGCACCACTCCTCCTAAACCCATGTTCCAACGTTTTGGGGTTCACTGTAACTATGCAGCATCAACGCATGAAACCATATCCCCACGACTCACGAATTTGGGCTTCGCAGTTCTGAAATCGAGCGTTCTGCTTTGCAACTTTTGGATTCCCGTTTCTTGTGTAAGCCTCATAAGGTCCAAACCTCAACCCTAAGCCCCAACTCCTAAAACCCGACCCCTCAGAACGCATCAACAAATGACGAGCTCCTGAAGCCAAGAACCAGAAAACCTTAGAACTCGAGTGAAGATCAACCCTCGCCAGTGCTGCAAATGAAGACTATCCGACTTCACATCCTTGTCATGGTGATGTCACATCCGGGAGGTACCTTCTTAATGGGGGGTCCTTGACAAGGATCCTACTATTTAGACTACTATACTAAGGTCCCCTATATTGGGAAACCCCGATCTGCTCACGGAGTCTCCAAGCTACACTAACGAAGGGTCATGAAGCTTCCGGACAACAGAAATCAGCCAGAATCGTCACCTAATCCCACAACCCCCAGCCCCTTATCCCTAGTTCGTTGCCATCCTTAACCCTCAAACCCGAACCCCTAACCACACCGTAATCTATACTCAAATTAGACCCCTAGCAAAAATCACAATTTTAGCTGTTTCTTAGGGATTATAATAACCGAAGATTGGAAATTATTTCTAAGTTCCCAGCCGAACCCCCCCCCTGCGTTTTGAACCCAGTGCCTTCGTGACGCCGGAGAACTGACGATCGCCGAAGCCACGACCTGCGCTGAGCGCACTCCCTTCAAAAGCGAGGGAACTGGGAGGGGCGGGGGTGGGGGGGGGGTTAGGGCTTCTAGGGTTTATATGGTTTCGGGCTTTTTTAGTTTGGGGTTTAGGCTCGGAGTTTAGAGGGTTCAGGGTTGGGGACCCGGAGTAGGTGGACCATAGCATTGTAAAGATGTCCAAAATCAGTCTTTATACCCAGGATATGTGAACCTCCGCATTATCGAAGGCACCGTGTGCTTCACTGAATGTTCCATTGTGCTGACGTTGATGCAAAGCACGGCTGCGATCTGCAGGCCTCACATCATGTACTCCAGGGCCCAGTCTACTATAAGTATAAGAAGGAGCCCCCAACATAGTATTGCTGATTATCTCGGCCCCTACAGTACAACAGCCGAAACACGAAGTCCCCGATATGGTTAAACGCTAACGGTTAGCCGGTGGTCCATCATGTCAACCCTTTCCGGCTTACCTTCTTAGATAGTCAGACTCGCGGCAAAAATACATCTTCCGAAGAGACACCTGTCTCGAGAAGATAGTCAGACTCGCGGTAAAATGCCTCTTCCAAAGAGACACCTGGTCTCGAGAAACTTTGAGAGTACACTCTAAACGTAGACCTGCACGAATCGAACGCAATTGCCACAACCCTACACAAATCCATATAAGACGAGCAACGAAGTGCCAAAAGTCTCTGAATATCCCGTTCACGGATTCGGGCTTGAAGTTTGGAGCCTACTTCAGGGTCAGGGATTACGGATTCAAGGGGTTGTGGCTACATAATGGCTCCTCGGGTCTGCGAACGAACTGACAAGTTGATAGTTGCGCACCTATATTCAAGCAATGGCGTCCCCGAACCCCGGGTCTCATCCAAAGTCAGACTGAGATTCCCGGCGTTGACGGTCTGAGTTGTCCTGCTCCTTGGCGTCGGGTTCAAGGCTTGAAGTGTATAGGGGTCCTATATACAGGTTCTAGAAGGGTTTTCCACTACATTATGCCCAAATTGCGAGGCTTGGTGCGAGGGTTTCGCGGCGATATACCTAGCAGAGGCTTTTGAGTGGCTTCGAAGGGATTGGGCGGATCAAAATAGCCCCACAACCTTATATAGTATGGCCTTTGGGCCCAAAAGCCTTAATATATGAGTCCTTAGATCCAGGGAATGCTATCGATCCCTGAACCCTAAACCCTAAACCCTATAAACCCTAAACCGCCTGATAACCTGCTACATAGAAGCTGGCTTATTGGATTTGGGGTTTACGAAAAAATACCTGGGAGGCTCATACCCTACCCTCTTTTTTTGGATACCTAGTTTGAAAGTCAGGATCTGTCATCTTAAAAAGCAGGCGCCCTATAATTGGGCAGGCTATGAGCCTCTAGGTACGAGGTTGTGTACGGCTTATGGAACAGTAACCCACTAAACCACATCGGCAACTGCGCTTCGTTGTGTCTTTATGTTGCTCCTCTTGGGCTTCGATTGTGCAGATTATGCTTGGGGTCTAGACCCTGTAAATCATGGCTAGTCTGGTCTCTTTGCAGTGCTTTAACAGCATCCCTTCACCTAGGGCTTCATAAGGCTTGATGGAACTTAGAAGCATGAACAGGGACTGTGGCGTAGAGCTCAATATCAATGTCCATATCCCATCATCACGGCTTCCTTGCTAAGACTTCGCATTTGACGTTGTGGATATTAACGACCTCCGGCCTGTATAGTGCAAAAGCTGCGAAAGCCCAGAAGCGATCTCATGAATCCATTCTATCGCGCATGGGCGGCCAAGTAGCCCAGCGGAGAGTGCCGTGCCCATGACGCTTGCCATCTGGGTCAGAACGGGGGGCACTCATTTCAGGTCCGAAGGAAGCTTTACTTCGCCTGGGTTTCCAAAAAGCGGATTTGGAGCTTCTTATACGAGAAGGGTCTTGGCAGGAGTCTAAATCAGGGTTTGGTGTTTTCGGGCTTCAGGGTTTCACAGACCGTGGACTCTTCTGGTTCGATCTTTCCATCTCTCCATACCAGTACATACGGTCAGTAAGGCGGGTTCGTTCTGGCCCTGGGGGACCCTGATTTGCAAACGACCCGAACGCCGGCAACAAAAGCTGCAATACCGGAGCATCGATGATTATCTAAAATACTCTTTAAGGGCTCAGGGTTCATGAATATGTGTATGTATAATTAAAAATATAAACAATCATGTCAGTATATACCTATATATATATATATATATATATGTATATCTATATATATATGTATGATGTGTATATATGTATGCATATATACATATATATATATGTATTTATAAATGTGGTACCCCCCCCCCCCAAAGATCCACGCTTTCTGTCTGTTTCGAGCTCTTCGTGTGCCATCCCCGTTTGTTTGTTCTTCATGTCGTCTGTATGTGTGTCTTCCTACGTGAATACCACAACATTTAGCAAACACACACACACACACAGGCGAACTCCGCCCCAAAGATAGTGGGTACAGGCCTTGGCCCCTTAGCCCCGGTACAAACCGGTACAACCGGTATAAGTTGTACCGGGAGAATCCAAGATTCCAAGATTTCAGCGGGGTCTTTTTTGGAATCCTGGAACTGGATGGGCTCCGGTATCCAAGATTCCGAGAAACAGTTCGCAGCAATCTTGGAATCTTGGATTCTCCCGGTACAACTTGTACCGGTGTGTACCGGGGGGACCCTTCCAAGGTTGCAGGAGCAGACTGGTACAATCTGTACCGGTTGTAGCGGTTTGTACCGGGGCTAAGGCCTGCATCCGAGATCCAATACCCGATGTGTTGCCGGCAACAGCCCTTTCCATCCCTCTCCCCTTCCCTCCCGTTCTCTCTTTTCACCTCCCCACCTCCCCCCTCCTTTCTCAACAACCCTGATAAATATTCCTTATTCGAAAATTTGTCTATCCCCTGTGTAGAGACCGTGTCGAGAATCCTAAACCTTTGTAGACCCTTTATAGAAACCTTAAAGATTCCCTTATCGATTTTTTATAGAAAATTACAGATTCCCTATATAAAGACCTTATAGAAATCCTTTATATAGACCTTATCTGGAGCCCGTTTAAAAAAAAACATAGATTCCTCATACAGAAACCTTATACATCCCCTGTATAGAAACCTTCGAGAAACCCCCTATAGATCCCTTGTAGAACTCTCTTGCAGATTCTGTTCCGAAACCGTGTGGGTTCCGAAAACAGCGGCCTTATGAAACACCTTGAAGAATCCCTTGTATGGAAGGGTTTTTTGAAAACCCTTACAGATTCCTCGTAGAAACCATATAGATCCCATATATAACGACCGTATGGAAAACCCTCATACAGCTCTGATATGGAGCCGTTCCAAAAAAACCCTTATAGATTCTCTTTAGAAGCCCTGTGAATACCCTATAGAGACCGTATAGAGATCCCGTATAGATCCCTTATGGAGAATCCATATGGATTCATTATAGAAGTCCTTGCATTGCAGAGCCCCATCGTAGAACCTTATGGGAGCTCCCTATAGATCCCTGATATGGAGCCCTCATAGACATCCTTTTATAGATTCTTGTGGAAACTTTATAGACCCCTTATATAGAGATTTACAGAAGCCTTTTATAGATCCACAAATGGAATTCTTTATAGACAACTTTGAAAGATCCCTTGCACGGAGCCTTCATAGACAACTTTTATATATTCCTTATGAAAATTAATAAATTCCCCTCTATGTGGTTTTTCCCCCCTCTAAAAACTACATAAAAGCCCGGTATAGATCCCCCATGTAGAGCCCATGTAGAAACCCTTACAGATTCCTCATAGAAATCTTATAGATCATCTATGTAGAGACCTTATACAAACCCATGATATAGAAAAACTATAGATCCCTATAGAGAGAGTTTCTAGAAACTCATTATGGATCCCTCATATGGAGCCCTTATAGCAAACCCGTTTATATTCCTTATAGACACCTTGTACATCCATTGCAAAGAAACCCGTTAGAAACCCCGTGTAGATCCCTCATATGGGGCCCTTATCGAAAGTTCTATAGATTCCATACAGAAATTTTGTAGATCCTCTATATAGAAACCTTGCAGAAACCCCTGAAGGATCTGTTATCTTAGTTCTTATCGAGAACCCAGATCTTCGTGGTCGATGTCGATGCCGGAGTATTTGCGTACTTTTTTTTCTCCAGCATGCCATGAAGATGTTACATTTTGGTGTCATATCCATGGACTGCCATATGCAAGACAATATACATGTCAGGCCGGCAGTTATATGCTATGGAGGAGTGGTAACTGTGGTGCACCGTGCCATTAGCTTCACGGATTGGCCTGGTGGCTGTTTGGCCAGAGAACCCCTGTCCTTGACGCATTGCCTCTGGGTAAGGTAAGACTTCATACCTGAGGACCATATCTGATGTACACATGTACAAACTAGCAATCACAACCTTCTGTGTTGCAACATTCATATAGAAAATTATCCTGGGCCGAATGCAAACTGTTGCGTATCATATTGACAGAGGAACAGCATATGATGATGTATGGATGCCATATCCAGTCTTTGACATGAGACTACAAATGCCAGGAATCTTCTTGTGCATTACTTTCCTCATACACCGAGGGATAGTACATTTGTTGCAACCAGTGGCGTAATTGTTTTCATGCACAATGACGACCGATATCAAATGTAAACAGGTGCATAGCAATATCCTGCATGTGAGCGTGCCGGGATGCGTGGACGAACCTGAAATTTGACAATTGCGCATTTAATTCTATGTCTGAATCAGTGCGAAACTTTCTGGGTTTCGGTTTGTAGAATGCGTGATATGGCTACGTAGCATTTAGCTAAGCGTTTGATATTATTGTCTATATAAAAACTAGCTAAATAGACCCTAACGCCACGATCATTGTGCCATCGTTTGTCTCCATCACCGATCACCCGGCGTCAAGACACCACATTGTCGTTGTCTTTTTCGTTTCAGAAGTGCAGTCGTGCTCGTTTGTATTCGTATATTCCTCTCTCGGAAAGTCTACGCTTTATGTCCATCACCCGTGGACCACATGCATAGAGACATACATAAGGGTTTACACATACTGCATATACATGATATTGTAAGTTATGTGGGTACCAAGGGTAATCCGGCAATGCTGTGGAATGGAAGGGTTGTTTCGGATTAATTGAGCTATATTTGAGGGGGTTCTTTCTGAATAAGGCCAAAACGCGCGAATCATATTTGAGGGCGTTCCTTCCGACTAAGAACAAATTGCGATTCATATTGGGGGGACTCCTTCCGAATAAAGCCAAAACGCGCGGATCTTTGGGGGGGGAAGCATGCATATATATATATATATATATATATGGGCGCACCCCTATTTGGGGTCCCCTACGTTTTTCGCTATACCATCTGAGTCGGTTATAACCACCAGACTAGGTTATAACCAGCCGACTAGGTTATAATCAGGTGTACGTCATCGACTACAGTATTATATCCGGTTTGAAAACTAACCCGGGAAGTTGCAACAACCCATGGTTTCAGAAAGCTGAAACCCGCACAACGCTAAGATTTCTATGACACCCTCGTCGAAACCCTGTTACAATGTGCTAAAACCCTTGCCTTGAAGCCGTCGATATATCTTCGTAGTTCATCTTTTTTGACTGTGTCTAAACCGCTGTATTTCAGTTTTTGTCCAACAAGCGCGCTGTAGTCATTAGTCTGGTTCAGTCATTCCTTATCGCGAACTAGATTTTGGAACGTAAAGTTGTCCATCTTTGTACTGTAATGCCGCAACCCCATCAAAGTCTCTGTTGATGGACGCATTGTTATGACGGTTTGGCAAACTGATAGCTGTCAATGACATATCCCTGTGCCCCTATGTGATTGCTTTTAAACACTGGTATATCCGGTATAGGTATATTTGAGTGGTGCATTCCTTAATTCTGTATGACGGCTGCCCCAAGCCAAACTTGAAAACTTGCACTACAATAAGCTTGGCAAACGTTGTATAGTGTTCTTCCTGGGGGACGACATGAAGCATCGCTTCTTAGGCTTGGCTCTGTTTCTATATGTTGAGTGATGAAGCCTGTGCTTTTTGTATCAGCATACCTTAACCGTTAACCGCCTTAACCATCACGTAAAGCCGACTGAAAACCATAAGGCTACATCCAGCTTGTCCGAATTTCTGTTTGTGTTCTTGTGAATATCTACTGAAGGTCGAATAGAAGCCATTGTTCCATGTCCAGAACGTGATCCTCGTGTTAGGAAAAAGTGGTAAACACACACCGAATCGCTCCTCGAAAGAAGTTCATCCATGTAGTTGGAAATAGCATTGCTAGGAATTTTCTACGTACCGAGCGAGGAAACCTAACAGTTTGCAAGTTGCAAATTTTGTTTCGCTCACCGCATATATTCTTATCAGTTTAATGTCTCATCGAAATCCTGCTTCCTTGGAACGATGTTTGAACATAACGTTGCAACCAGTTCGCCTATGTACGAAGTGATGCAAACTGACTACGCTGTAAACTTTGAAATACTGTCTCTCCCTACAATGACGTCGTATCAGTCGTATCTCAACTTTCTGGGTACCGCGATATTCTAATGTTGACAACACTTACTGACCTACTGTAATCCCGATAGACATGTTAGCGGCTATTCTCTCAATGTGTACATAGATCTCATAAACCGATGTACTGGAACGGACAGACCAGTATGTAAAGTCCGCCATATTAATAGCCTTCCCGCTAAAGTTGGGGAATGCGCATATGGTCCCCGGATTTGTTTTTGTTGCAAAGCACTGCATCATGCCTCAACAACCGAATACATGCCAATTACCTCGGACCCTCTATTTTTCTAGTCCTTGTTTAATTTCATTGCGGTTACATTCCCCCTGCAACACCGAAACATTCGAACGTTTGGATTTAGGTGTTGATGAAGTAGCGGTGGCACAGATTTGCTTCGTAAGGTTTACAGTGTGCAACAAACAATCAAGGCACCCCAAGTGTACAAACCACAACCCTGGTATGTAAGCCCCCCGGTGCTTCGACACAGTTTACCAATATTGCAGGTTCACCATCAAGTGTTGGGTTTGTTTGGCTTTTACTGCTTAGGGTCTAGGGTTTGGGGGAGACTTAGACTTAAACCATTATACCGGCTCGCTTGCGCGATACGACACGGAAGACTTAAACCATCAAACCAACAAACCAATCCATTTGGTCTATAGGGCATGCCGGGAGTCTTCAAACTCTGAACGTATTTTGCAGCCTGGTTATAACCTCTGTTCCCGGTTATAACCAGGACACCTGCAAAGTAGGCATCATCACTAAACCATTAAACCATTAACAAACCATTAAATTAGTACACCGTTAAACCAAACCTTTCCCCCAATGGACCCAAACCAATCAACCATTAAACCAATCCTTTTGCCCCATACCACTAAACCATTAAACCAATTTCTTTACCCCATACCACTAAACCACTAAACCATTAAACCATTAAACCAATCCTTTCCCACAATGCACCTAAACCACTAAACCATTAAACCAATGCTTTCGGCCCATACAGGGATGTGTCTCTCTCTATAGGGGGAAATGACTGGTTTAATGGTTTAGTGGTATGGGGCAAAAGGATTGGTTTAATGGTTTAATGGTTTAATGGTTTAGTGGTATAGAGCAAAAGGATTGGTTTAATGGTTTAATGGTTTATTGGTTTGGGTCCATTGGGGAAAGGATTCGTTTAATGGTTTAATGGTTTATGGTTTATTGGTTTCGTGGTATGGGGTAAAGGGATTGGTTTAATGGTTTAACGGTTTAGTGGTATGGGGCAAAAGGATTGGTTTAATGGTTTATTGGTTTGGGTCCATTGGGGAAAGGATTGGTTTAATGGTTTAATGGTTTATTGGTTTGGGTCCATTGGGGGAAAGGATTGGCTTAATGGTTTAATGGTTTAGGTGTGCAAAAACCCAGGGGACCCCATATAGAAGGGTACGCATATATATATATATATATATATATATGTGTACAGAAAATGTGTGTGTGTGTGTAAATATATGTGTATATATATATATATATACATCTTAAGGGGATCGTCCCATATTAAGTTTCCCAGAAAAGGATGCTGGGCCTGGCAGCTCAGACCGTAGGAGCGCATTGACAGTTAGAAATGACACAGCATACTATATACATACATGTAATATATATATATATATATGTCTGTGTATACACGCTCGTAAAAATTAGAAAGGTACTTTACCATGAAAGTATATACGACATTAGACGGATACAGGGATCCGCAAACCCGTACGTTCCGAGCTGTTGTTTTGAATCCGGTCTTCTTATCGTCCTGTTATATAATATCTGTATTTCACTACAAAACATTTGACAGCAGTAGAGATCGGTAAGAGACGTTTTATAGGACCCCAAATAGTAGGATCCTGCTTCTAAGGCCTCCAAACTGAGGTCAAAAGGGCCCTGCCTTGCCAGTTGCCAGTGTAAATCGCTTTGGCCTCTCGAGTTTCCTGGTCCAACTGCGACTCCTTCGCAGTGAGCATTGTTTTAATAGGGGCCTAAATAATTACCAATGCTATTTGGGGGCGGGGGTCCTGACTATGATTATAGTATACATAAATACCAATACTATGATTTTTCTGGGGGGGTCCTTACTTGGTTAGAGTATACATATATCATGGGGCGTAGGGGATTTTAGAGCAATTAGGGTGCAGAGATGCTTTAGGGAACAGGGCTCAGGGATTGTTGCAGCTCAGGGCTATAGGGTTTGGAGGGCTTAGGGAGTTCCGATTTGGGGTACAGGGTGGGGCTTAGCATTTAACGTCCCTACCTCCATCCTGAAATCTTAGACAGTTTCAAGGGTGTACCGCAACCCTGGATAATGGGTGACTCTCCGGTGACCGTACACTTGAGAAGCTGCCCCCACCCTGTAATAGTGACTATAAGGAATATATTAGGGCCCTATTATATTCCTAGTATACCACTATTACAGGGTGGGGGCCCCTTCTAATGTATACTGTTTACAGGCGTGTACATCGCCTGCTAAACCCGAAACCGGGGCCACCTGGTGTTAAGTACCTGGGTGGTTGTCAAAATTAGGGTCCCTTTTTGGGTCCTTAATATAATACGGCACCGATTATTTAGGGTACCCAGAAAGGGACCATAATCTAGACAATTACCCACCTATAGTCTGCATTGTAGTTCCTATTATTGGTTAAACCAAATATATATATATATATATATATATAAAACTCGGATCCTATAAGGTAACCCCAAAGAGGAACTACAATGGAGACTACAGGTAAGACTGAAGCACGAAGCCGAAAACGGGCTGTTTCGCCGATGGGATGCTCTGCAGCTTCAAGACACTGGTCGGGTTTAGGGTTTAGGGTTTAGGCTAAATCCAGAGCGACAGCGAAGCTGCACAAACATGGCTCTACTGGCACCTGTAGACGCCGGCCGGAACCAAGATGGATACAAGAAGCTTGTCTCTGTTCTACAATCCCTGATCTTGGATCCAGGGGACGGGGCAATTTTGGCTGCTAAATTTGTTTGTTGAAACCTTTGGTATTGGGCCTGCCTGGTACACAACGATTGGCCACTTTGGTTTGACAACATGCGTGCACGATGCCCCCATCTCTAAAGTGGGAGCAACATTCCAAGGGTAAAAGGAGGGACCCTTAATAAGGACCCCTAGGTATCTACCCTTAATATAGCTATTATATACCCATTATATAGCCCATTATAGGGTAGGGGTCCCCATTAAGGGTCCCTCCTCTTCCCCTTTGAAACATGAAGTTCCAGAGATTCAATCCGGAGTGAGAATCAAAAAGTCTAGAGGGCTTGGGTACAGCGATTTGAGTTCAGAGGTTTAGGTCTTCGACACGAAACATTCGGGCTTCTGGGTTTGGGAGCTAGAGGCGAAGCCTATTGGTGTAAAGCCACAGCATGCAAAGCCAAGGCCACACCAGTCCTCGAAACTGTTGTACAGGGCTCCAGGTCCGTGGTAGACATGGTTCTCCCTGCCAGAAAGCCGACACCCTACCTAACCCTAAATGCGAGAACCCCAAACCCCAAAACCCTTAAACCCGTGACCCTCAACCCCTAAACCTTAAAAGTTTCAGCTGAGGCTTTTGGGTTTGTGGAGCCAGAAGCCCAAACTGAAAATTTCAGGAATCTGTGCTCGCAGGGTGCGTCGGGGTTCTCAACACCTGCGCTCAGCACAACTTCAGAAAGATCTGAAACCCGGGACATGGGCCTCTCATGTAATTCCTGGCGGGGTTGGGCGGAACAATGTTATACTGTAAGTGCTGCTTCGGAGGAGTATTGTTTCTGAAGATCCTGGCTTTCATGACTATAGAGCATCCTACAACTTGCCTAAAAGTCACAAACTAGTGACCCCTATAAAGCCCGAAACCCTAAACCGTCTCGAAATGCGAAACCCTATAAACTTAAACCTAGACCTTGATAAAACGGTTTGGGGCACACCATACTATAAGTGGCTTAGTCTGGGCTCATCATACGCCAAGTCGCCACTCGCCCACATAGGTCTTGCCATCCGTCCATCGCTGGAGGCCGGTGCCCTGGCGCATGTACCTGCCCAAAGGGCTCCATTTACCTAAGTGTCCATGTACCCAAATAGTATATACCTAGTCTTTCCTAGATAGGTACTTTGGGCCCAAAGTATATACTATTTCAAATAGTATATACTATATTACTTTTGACCCAATTGGTTTGCATGGGCCCTTAGGGTAGAATTTGTCGTCACGTGAACGTTGCATACGGGATTTTGCGGGGTTCCTTTCAGCTTCTAGGGTGCGTGAGCTCGCAGTATGCATGCATGGATGGATGTGTAGAAGTGCATTATCATGTGTGCAGTGTATATAAATGTGTATATATATACATATACATACACACATATATATATATATGTATATATAGAGAGAGATATACATATAAACATTCATGCATACACATATATGATGTATGTACACGTATAAACATTACATGTCATATGTGTGTGTGTGTGTGTGCCACATCCCTGAACCCTGAAACCAAGCCCCGAAAAAAGGAACTCAATATCATGCAGCCCAATGCCGAACCCTAAAAGAAACGCCACGCATGAGTGGGGCAAGGCACACGCCATCCAGCTGTGGATGATCCTCGCAAAGGTGAGTGCTACAAGATTTCCGCACAACAGACAACCGGTACATGTATAAACTCCAGCCCTGAATACTGCTTGCATGGTGCATCACACATGCTCGATAGTAGCACCAGGAGCATCGGCGGCCGTGGCTGCCGGTATTGCGTCTAGGACGACAAGTCTGAAGTGCTGGTACTGGCACTAACGACGATTTTGAATGACAGCCTGATTCCGATTTGGGCGTTTCCGAAAATAGGGGACCCTAATATAGTACCCTAAATAGTTGGATCCTTATTATAGGGACTACAAAATATGGTACCCCTATTTTCGGAAACTCCCATTTGGCAAACCCTTACCATGAGCAGCCTCTCACGACAAGTACCCCTCCTTCCCTTCGTCATCCTAAACCCGAAAGCCTAAAACCCTCCACATGAATGGCAGCGCGACTCATCATTCCACCTTGACCCTTGACCCCAAACCCCAAACACCCCGGAAGCCTGAAACCTGAAAATGTGCCCCACAACGAACATCCGCCCGCCCCGGGTGGGGTCCATGATTCTGCCCTGGTAGAAGCGGACCCACTCTTGCGCCGTGTCCTTGGCACTTCGTCATTGCTTACCCCTACGTGTGCTGTAAAGGTTCACCGTCCGGGGGCTCCTTCAGCGGTTCATTTGTGAGCGTCCGAAAAGAGTACATATGATAAGGACGTCGCGGGAGTTTAGGTTTACGGTCCATGGCCTATGTAGTATGTAACAGTATGTAGCCTCACAAGGCTTACCTATCATAGGTATCGAACAAGGCAAAGTATGTTAGGTCCTGAGTTCTTGGACCCATAATGGGCACACTTAGGGTCAGCTTTTGGGGTTTTCGGAGTCGTATCATGGTTCCAGCATCAAAGCCGCAGTGCCAAAACAAAACACGATGCCTAAGGTCGCCGCCACTACTAGATCTAACAGAAGCATTTGAAACCGTGACCCCCAACCTAAACCCTAAACCCTAAACCCTAAACCCCCCCCCTAGGCCCTGAACCCCAAACCCGGCTTTCCTGAAACAGGAACTCGGAATCGTTCAGGTTTGGATCTGCTTATGAACCTCTGGTGGATTTCGTTTTTTTGGCTCGTAACTATAGGATCCTGTAATCAGGCAACACGAGAAGCTGACGAGGGAACTACAATTAAACCGCTCGACTGTGTATTTTCTTTGGCGAAGGGTGAGTTGGGTATTCTGGGCCAGAACCACATGCCATCGTCTTTCCAGGCGATCACAGGGAGTGAACTGACGGCCTTGCCAAACCCTCTAAACCCTAAATCCTACACCGCTAAACCCTAAACCCCTGAACCTCTAAACCCCTCAACCCCTAAACCCCCAAATTCTAAACCCCATAATGCCGATCATCACAACCACAGGACTAAGGCCCGGGCCATGCCACAGTCTTTGATCACCTCATACAGGCAAGCAGTAGAGGCAGGAAAAGAAGCAGGATCCATAGTAGCAGCCCCTAGAGGCCCAGTTCCTGGTTTGCTAAAATAGCCATGCTTATAGCTAAAACAAGGACAGCAACCGACTACCATTTCGGTAACTGGGCTTCTTGGGAGCCGTCGTCGTGCTGTAGCAGTCCTAGATCTGGCTTTCAGTTTCCTAGATCATTGTTGAGATAGGATTAAAAATGTACATTTTTCTTCCTTATTGGGTTTAAGTACCCATAAAAATGTGAAATGTTACCCAACAATGACAAAGTTTCGGATCTCAGGGACTTTAGTCTCCGGCTTTGGGAAATAGGTTGGAAGGGGCCCCCACCCTGTAAGAGTGGTATAATAGGAGTATAACAGGGCCCTAGTATATTCCTTATAGTCACTATTACAGGGTGGGGGCAGCTTCTAAGCAATAGGCTTATATTCCCGCTGTCCATGAAGTCACAGAAGTCTGAACCTATAGGAACCCTTACAGGAGCCCCTGATCTCAAGCAAACCCTGGAGGAGCCCCCAAAAGTACCCATATCGTACCCTTGAAGGAGCCCTACTTTTGGACCCTAAACCCTAAAAGGGTTCCCTTCAAGAAAGCCTCAAGAACTGTACCCCGGAGACAGCGCCTGCTTCCACATCTCCAAGAACTCCGGAAGCATTGCCACCTGAATGTACCTGGCATTTTCTGGGCGTGGAGCTTAAGGTTGAGAGTTTATAGGCTTTAGGGATTCGAGCTTTGGGGTATATGAAGATATGCATTGAGCTACTGGCAGGCCACACAAAATCTCAATATTCGAAGCCCGAGTCATCGCTCTGCAGACCGCATGGAGGTTATGGCTATGGAACACTAAGCCAGAAGCCCTGAGGCTTTACTAAAAGTATCCCAACTCTGCATCCCTGAGACCCGGATCCCTAAGCCCGAATCCCAAAACCTAAGTATCCCACAGCGGGATTAGGGTTTACGGTTCAGGGTCATAGCAGGAGCTCAGATCCGGAATAAGGGCTCCCCAGCGTCTCATTGCACCAAAGTTGACCCCAAAATGGAAATAGCGAGCAGCTTCCCAAGAGAAGTCGCTGTTCGGAGCTTCGGTCCAAGCGCAAGGTTTAGGGTTGGTCCAAGCGGGTTTAGTTTAGAGCTTGGGCTTTAGTGACCGTTTAGTGGCTGAGGGTTGGGTTATTGGGCTTACGGCTTCTGGTGTCGTGGGGCGTTTCGATGTTGCCACATCTTGGCAAAAACAGTTTGGGCAAGGGCTCAGAGGGTCGACTTCCTTGGGTCAAAGCTCGAACTCCTATAACCAACCCGCATAGTCATACTCCTTCGACCCCAAGTAACCTGGACCGGCTCCCCAAAATCTTACCCTAAAGCCAGCCGAATTCCGGTTTTGCCGTGCATTCCCGGCTTTCTCTTTCCTTTCGCGACACGTTACACCGAACGCGATCCATGACAAACACAAGTCTACACAGGGCGTGATTGTTGGTTTGAAAAATCGTAGAGTTTGGGGCCACCGGCCGGGCTTCAGAAATATGTTTACCAGTTACTATCATGCCATACCGTACGGCTGTGCCATTTCATACCATGCCACGCCATATCATATGATGCGATGTGAGACCATAGACTACAATACAATACAATGCAATGCAACACGGAAACCCCTAGACCCTTGATCCGCGAAAGAGCCATAACCTTATTATTAATATCATTCTCTTTTTCTTAAAACCCTGTAATCTCTCAGATCCCTGCCCAGCATGGACAACCCCGAAGAAACCCTGAACTTCCAAGTGCGGGACTCGAATCCGTGGATGGGCTCCTTTGCTGCAGAGCCGTAGACATGACAGAGGGGCGACAGGGGAGAGAAAGGGCTTCATGTCATGCCATGGTTCCTAACTTCGTGTCTTTTTGTTAGGGGCACAGAAGGAAAGGACCAGTAAGAGGAATCCGAATCTGATAACTTCGTCTGCCTTGGTTTATCACGCGCGAAGGAATCAGTGTGCATTGTCTGACACCCAGACCCTTAATCCTTCACCTCTGCAATTCCTTAGAGATTAAGCTTCAGCGTCCAGGTTTATTTAGGGCCATGATTTAAAGATTATGCTGTAGGGTACTTCACCCCATGATGGTCTGCTGCGGTGCGACACAAAAGGGTATGCAGGCCAGCGCCGTGAAAAAGGTAACAGTCGCCTAATCGTGACCCCCCGCTCGGGCTGTGGCCCGTGGCTGCAAAGTTAGGTGTACAAGAGGAAGAGCACTCCGAGCTCCATACCCGAAACCGGCAATGCTCAATCCTTCACAACACTGCGTCAAAGGCTGAACCCTGATTCTGAACGTGCAAGCATCCCCGCAAACAGCAATAACAACCAGTGAGACGAGATAATAGTCGTCAAGGCAAGCAGCAAGTACATCATGCCGCGTGCCAAGACAATTCACACTAAATCCGAGAAATAAACGTTTAGTAGAAACCTGAAGAAATAAGCTGCCAAGCGACCCAGTCTGGCTGCAGCGCCTTCTTCAGAACCCTCCACTCCTGCGTTTACGGTCAGCATGTGGTTAGGGCCTGTCTATGCATAGAGAGCCGGGACTCCGGATAGGCCGGGCGGGTTTGGGGTATGGGCTTCCAGGGCTACAGTCAGCAAGCTGTGAACTTCTGGTGCTTATAGGCAACATGGAGTGGTTGTCAAAATTCGGATCCCTTTTCAGGTCCTTGATATCATACGGCACCGTACCCAGAGAGGGACCCCAATTTAGCTTCCCCTGCAGGCCAACTCCACCTTCTGCCTAATATAGGGGCCTTAATAATTAGAATAGGGTTTTGGGGCCCACTATACTTTCATCCTACTATAAGAAGGGTTTTGGGGCCCACTATACTAAAATCATAATAAGAAGCCCCCAAAATAGTATTGGTAATTATTTTCGGCCCCTATCGTACAGCTCCTGAGGCACACTCTTGGCTTTGACCTCAGCGGCCCAGGCTTTTTGTGCCTAGCCTGAAAGTCGAGGTGAACCTTCTTGCCTTCTTGCCCCTGACGAACCGCAACACTGCATCAGAAATGGACGCCCGCGCAAAGAGAGGACCATTGAGGAAGGCTACCCAGAGTCCTCATGGTAGTTCCTTTTGATTCTAAACCCTAAACCCTAATCCCCTAAACCCTAATCCCCAAAAGGAACTACTATGCGGCCTGTGGGTAACCGCATGTGCAGGTCAAGGCGACGTTGTGATAAAATTTAGGGCCTTCATGAGTATAACAGAATTTTCGGGTATATCATTTGGGTGGTTGTCAAAATTATGGGCCCTTTTGGGGTCCCTAATATAGTACGGCACCTAATATTTAGGGTACCCAAAAAAGGGACCTAATTTTGACAACCACCCATTTGTACGCTAGCTAGGCTGGCTATAAAAGGCCTCTGAACCCAATCACTCAAAACGCAAAGCTCTCACAAGGTGGGGCATGTGATGTAAAGAGAAATGCCACCGCCCCCAACACCCTTCCCTAAGGGTCCAGGTATCTCTGTAGCAGGGTCCGGAATCTCCTAGGGAGGTGGGGCATCGTGCTCAAGGATTGTCACGAATAAGAACTGTAAATGCGGATCACCCGGACACTGCAGTCATCAACGCCACACCGGGTTTACGGGTTTAGGGGTTGGAAAGGGGTCGTAAGTCGAACCTCGAAGTCTTACCCTGCCCTATACTCCCTGAGCCCGAATCACGACACCCTCTCTTCCTGCAAGGCAACCGAAGATGCACTGAAAATCGAACAGTCGAACCTTCGTTTATTTGAGCCCTTGGCCTAAGAACTAGACGAATCATCTGGCACACGAAACCCCAAGCGGTGCTCAACCCTGCCAACACAGCGCTCCGGCGACATCTCGAATTCAGGTAGCACCTGGCCAGGATGCGGTGCAAGATTTGGGATACCTGGATCCCAACAGTAGAAGAATAGCTTTCCACAGGTCCTGTAGGTTGTGGGTCGTTGTTTTACCTACTTTGGGGATTTAGGATAAGGTCTAAGGTTGTCGGTTTGCGGCTGCCTGGTGCTGGTCGGCACTCCTTCTCGCATAGACTTTTGCATCACTGCCTACCTACAGTTCCTGCCTACCTACACTCATTGGCTCGTCTGCTTAGTTCCCCTACACCTGAAAACCTAAGCCGTAAACGGTGAACCCTACGCCCCAAGCCACAAACCCTATCTAAACCCAATACCCGAAGCTCAGAACCGAAAGCCAAGCCTCAAGCCACAAACCTAAAGCCCTAAACACTAAAGTCACTAAACATGTCTTAGACCCCTCCAACTACTCTCTGATATACCCCAAATACCCACTACTGAGGAGCACAAGGGCTCCATTGAAAGGCCATTTGGGGGCTTCTGTCCTCATGTCGATCTATACCAGCCTGGAAGCGGACTGTCAACCTGTCTTCGCCGCCTCCTGGTTCGGGTTTCGGGGCGCAGGTTTGGGGGTTTAGGGTCCAGGGGTTAGGGTGGGTTTCAGATCTGGAAATAGCTATAATATAAGGACCTTAACGACCAGAATACTGTGTGGGGCTTCGGGGTTATTGTAACTACTGTCACTCTACAGACGCTATACAGGAGACACTAACTACAATTCAGACCGCTATGTCTTGGGAAGGATGGCTTTTTAGAGATGCATTTCTGCTGGTTCCTGGTACAGGGTATAGATAGTTTAGGGTTTGGGCCGGTTTACTTTCATCAGGGATGAGGATGCTCGCGTCTTTCTGGCCGAGTAGGTTCAGCATTGAAAGAGAAGCCTGTGGTTCAACCCTATTATAAACCGTACCGTAAGGTTTGAGGCTTAATGGATGTGGAGGGTTGTATCCAACAAGTTCCTTTTTGGGATTACCATAAGGTAGAAGCCAGAAAGTTGGAATATGATTATCCTGACCCTTCTATGGTAAATTATAGCGTATCCTACCATGAAACCATATTCCAACTTTCTGGAGTTCCCTTTAATTATAGAGTTCCAAATTATGAATCCCAAAAAGGAACTACTATGGGGCCTTACTCTTCGCAGCCCAGGGGCTGAGGCTGAAATCTTCGTATCGGAAAACCCAGAAAAAACCGACAAAAACCTGAGATTCCGTAAGCCAGCTCTGGGTAAATATAGCCTCGGCCCTGCACCCTAAACATTCCGAAACTCAGATATCCCCCCTGCAGCACCGAATGAATCCGACATAGGACATGGGTGGCATTCGCCAAGCCCCTGTAGTATGGATACCCGAGAGGCCCGTGAGTATATAACCTTTGGGAGTATATGAGACTATGTAGGGATAATAATACTCCAACAAGGATACTAGGTATAAGGGAGTTTCCGAAAACAGGGGACCCTAAAATATTACCCCAAATAGTAGGATCGGTATTAGAAGGACCCCCAAAATGAGGTACCCCTGATTTTCGAAAACTCCCATAAGGACGTGCAACACCACCCAAGACCGAATGCCGGTCCAGCACCGGCTTTGGCGGCATCGATCCGAATCTCCTGCGGAAGCCGCAGACATAGACATGTGGGAAGTTCTCTAAAGTGGTGCCCCTTTTCAGGCCCCCCTCAAAAGTACGGCGCACCTTTATACAAAAAACAAACAGTACGGCTTAGTACGGCACTCACAGGGTTCAATCTCGTGGCGGGCTGCGTGACTGAAGGGCGGGGGCGGATTGCTAGGTCAGTCTTTGAGCAGAGTTCAGGTTTTAGAGTTCAGGCCTACCCATCGGCCCCATAGTAGTTCTTTTTGGGATTCATAATTTGGAACTCTATCATTATGGTAATCTCAAAAAGGAACTCCTATGGGGCCTATGGTTAACCCCCAGACATCTGCCCGCAAGCCCAAGTGCCTTGATGAACTTCAAGGGCAGCTTGAACTTCGCCAGGTTCGACTCCGCGTCCTGCCCAAAGGCTCCATGTACCCTTATGGTAGATACTTAGGCCTTAATTAAAGGGTCCCTGTATGGGTACTTTAAGGCTTAAGTATCTACTACATAGGTACATGGAGCCTTAGGGCTGTAAGGTGAAGCCCTGAAAGTTGGAACACGGGTTTTGGATGATTAGTGTTAGGATTCCCTGTAACTTACCTTCAGGGCAGGAGGATTCGGATAAGGATGTCCACACTTTCTGGCTTCTACTGTAAAGCACTGGTACCCGAGAAAGAAGGCCTGAATGATTCGACTAGGGTTTCGCGCATCGCATGGTATAGCTAGGGCAAGGGACCATAAGGAACGGTACTACTACTACAGATTCAAGCTTCGAAGAGTTCTTTAACTTAGATAAACATGAAGAACTTTACGCCCCCAAACCGCTCCATATCACATCGTATCCCAGATCCCTATGCTCCCTGAGATCGTCCCCCATATTACTACGAACCCCTCCCCATAGGTGCTCATAGATCAGCTTCGATGTGCTGAGACTCTCAGCCGGAAAGCTGCACTCCAACCTCTACTGTTGATGATAAGAATCCTGCATTACCCATAATAAGGAATATACCGTAATTCCCATAGTTTAGGGTCCTTAAGGTAATGCAGGATTTATATCATCAACAGTATCTTCAAACCCGAGCAGTAGTGAACCTGTATCAGACCATAGAGCTTAGAGCTTAGGGCGTAGGATGTAGGGTTCAGGGTTTAGAGTTTAGGGGCCCTGAACCCTAAACCCTGAAAGTGACCTGCATGACAGCCCACGGAAAAGCCGAACCCTAAACCCTAAACCCCTAAACCCTAAACCCTAAAAGCCTAAACCCCTAAACCCTAAACCCTAAAACCCTAAACCCTAAACCCCTAAACCCTAAACCCTAAACCCTAAACCCTAAACCCTAAAACCCTAAACCCTAAAACCCTAAACCCTAAAACCCTAAACCCTAAACTCTAAAGCCCACGGAAAAGCCAAGTCCTCAGGCTTGTCACCGGCCATGGGTATGAGCTCATGCAAGCCGATGCCGCCACTCATCTGTGCCTTCTTCCGGGGTGAAGGAAGTCCAAGGTTTAGAGGTTTTATGGGATTTGGGTCTTAGTGCTTTAGGCCTTAGGGAGTCCGTGGTTTAGGGGTTTAGGGCGGCAGGATTTAAGACTCAGGGTGTCCATGGTTTGGGGGACTCTTGAACCACACTTTTGGGCTGAGATCACCTTCGTGGTGTAGGGTTTTAGGGTGACATCGGGCGACAAAGGCATACCGCCGAGAAGAGTCAGGATCAGAAATCGCTGTTGGGGGAATGGGGCTTAGAAATCTGGGCTGGTCGTACGGCATGACACCTTCTTCGTGTTGTCAGGGAAAAGCCCTCACATGTCTCAACCATCCACGCAACATAATCTGTCTTCAATGCATTACCTGCCCGGAAGTGACACAGGCCTCCCCTACAAACGATTCAAGAAACCGTACTATCGGGTCCTAAATAATTACCAATACTATTCTTGGGGGTTCCTCATTATGCATATAGTTGTTACACATAGTGTAGAATCACCAAAAGCCTTCTCCGGATAGTCAGGCCTCTATATTGCGCAAACTCAAGACTCGAAGCAGGCTGTTAAGCATCCAAAGACTCCAAGGAAAGCCTAAACCCCCTAAACCCTAAACCCCCAAGATCCTGGACGCGCACATCCTCCCTACAGCCTCAACCCTTCTAGGCCCTAAACGCCCTACAGCCTAAACCCAAAGCCAGATGCCCCAAACAACTGCTCCATAGTTCATCCCCGAGTCTGGTTATAGTCGTAGTATTCCTTTCCGCAAGATCCTAAGATGTTAGGAGAGTGTCGGCGTGGGGGGGCGCTAAACCGTCTGTTCCACCCGCTCCACTCGCTCCGACCGTTCCACTCGTTCCACTCGCTCCACTCGCTCTACCGATCCACTCGCTCCACTCGTGCCACTCGCTCTACCGTTCCACTCGCTCTATCGTTCCACTCGCTCCACTCGCCCCCCGTACGGTACGTCTATACAGAGTGAGTGGAGCGAGTGGAGTGAGTGGAGCGAGTGGAGCGAGTGGCGCGAGTGGAGCGAGTGGCGCGAGTGGCACGAGTGGAGCGAGTGGAGCAAGTGGCGTGAGTGGCGCGAGTAGCGCGCACGAGGTTTTGGGATTCGATGTTGAGAGTCTAGTCTTTAATTTACGGGCCAGCCACTCCACCGTTCCAAAGGTGCCAGTCGTTCCAGTAGAAGCGTGTTCCACTCGTGCCACTCGCTCCACCACTCTTTCCTTTAGCAGAGCGAGTGGCGAGTGGCGCGAGTGGAGCGAGTGGCGCAAGTGGCGCGGACGACTTTAATTCTCCCCCCCGCGCGGCCGCAATGGATGTTAGGTCTGAAGCCACTGTTTGAGGTATAGTATACTATGATTAAACCCCCCTGGCCCCATATTCATCATAGCCCAACATCCCACTCCAACTATGCAGGCCCCAGACACTCTAAACCCTCAACCCGAAACCCCGCAACCTAAACTTGCCCTTGGTTAGTAGGGAATGGAGGAATGGGATACAATTATAGCTACTATTACTACCATTCTTCCATTCCCTGCTAACCAAAGGTAAGTGAACCCCCCTAAACCCAAACCCTAAACCCTAAACCCCAAACCCTTAAACCTTAACCCTAAACCCAAACCCTAAACCCTAAACCCCAAACCCTTAACCCTAAACCCTAAACCCAAACCCTTAACCCTAAACCCAAACCCCAAACCCTTAACCCTAAACCCTAAACCCTAAACCCCAACCCAAAACCCTTAACCGTAAACCCTAAACCCAAACCCTTAACCCTAAACCCGGAAGCTGAGACTGCAGCATCCAACTTGGAGAAGAGCAGCTCCCCTTTCGCGGCGGTGTCCAGGGTTTCTCCCCCAGCCAGACTGCGAGACTGCTGTTTGAGGGTTGAGGGTTTAGGATTTATGGTTAAAGGTGTAGGGTTACCGGAACGTTTTGAATGTAGGGTATTGAGAGTTTGGGCTCTAGGGTTCAGGGCTGTTTGAGCGGTTGATTGAGGGTTTCAGGTTTAGGGTTTATGGGGTCTAGGCTCTAGGATTTAGTGGTGGTTAGGTTGAGGGCTTTAGGTTTAGGGTTTGTGAGTTTGTGGGGTCTAGGCTCTAGGGTTTGGTGGTGGTTAGATTGAGGGCTTCAGGTTTAGGGTTTATGGGGTCCATAGGGTCTAGGGCTTAGTGGTGGTTTGATCAAGGGCTTCAGGTTGAGGGTTTATAGGGCTTGAGCTTCGGCAGCGACTTTGGCAAAAGCAAACTTGCTGGGGACTGCAGCAGCGACTCTGCATGTGCTTACTGAGTCTGATGAGATATGGGGCCTTAATAATTAGAATAGGGTTTGGAGGTATATTATACCATAACTATAATAAGGAATCCCCAAAATGGTACTGGTAAATATATATTTGGCCCCTATGCTAAACGCTCTCTTCAACCTTCATAGAGTCTTTGGAAAGTCTAAAACCCTAAATACCCCTGCGCACCAAAGCCTTAAACTCGAAGCCCGAGAGCAATATAAACAAAAAACAAAAAGCTAAAAAGCCCTAAACCTTACCTATGGTCTCCATTGTACTTTCTTTTGGGATTACCTTATAGGATCCTTAATATATACTCGGCTAAGCCAAGTAAAACCCGAGAACCCCCCGTCCTCTGCATGGCATTGAACTTGAGAAGCAGAACCTTCGCAGCCTCAACAAACTCCTGGCTCACTTGGTGAGTTCTTTTTGGGGGGTTTGTTTAGGGATTAGGGTTTAGGGTCTAGGGTTTGATTAAGGTTTAGGGATTAAGGTTTGAGGTTTGGGGTTTAGGCTTGGGGTTTGTTCTTTCAAGGGTGCAGGAATCATCATTCTAAAAACAAATATAAACATGTTCTTTGAATGCCCTTTTCCGTCAGCCCGAAGGTCTCTGGAACACTTAGTACAACCATTTAGGGTTTAGGGTTGAGGCATTTGTAGGGCTTGGGGACTACGCATCCTGTAAAGGTCCTATAGAGGGTCTGCTTGGGGGATTAGGTTTAAGGTTCAGGGCTTCGTCGGGACTTGGAGAACACTCCACCCTGAGCTTACTCACCAAAGCCTATAAGCCCCCTAAACCCTAAGTCCTAAACCCTACCCCTATAAACCCTAAACCAATGCTTTTCAAAATTTGACAAGGTCACTCAGAAAGCTGTTGGGATTTTATCTGGAAATGCTGGGCCGCTTATTTCGGGTTGAGGTTTGCAAGGTCGGTGCGGTTTATGCGGATGGGTTTAGGTGGCTTGAAGCGTCAATAAGGTCTTAGAGTTCCATCCCCTAAACCCTATAAACCCCTGAACAACGAAACCCCCAAGCCCTAAAAAAGGCGCTGAACCCCCAGCCTTGGCGTTTTAAGGTTCGGAGCATAGGGCCCTTCATGTGGGTGGTGGTCAACATTAGGGTCCCTTTGTGGGTCCTTAATATAGTACGGCACCTATTTCTTAGGGTACCCAGAAAGGGACCCTAATTTTGACTACTACCCATGTGACTGTCATCTGATTAGCCCAGGACTGAGCTCCTCTTGCCGTATCGACGGTTTAGGGTTTAGGGGAACTTCCGGCCCTTAACCCGCTGCAACAGTAAAACCCAGCAAAACTACACAGTGTGGCAATCAAAGCAACAACAGTGATGCCAAAAAAGTTTCCGATAATAGGGGACCCTCATATATTACCCTGAATAGTAGGATCCTTATTATAAGGACCCCTAAATACGGTACCCCTAATTTCGGAAACTCCCAGATGTCATAAGGCCAATACAGGGGCCTCAATCATCTTCTGGTTCCGGTCTGAAGGCAAAATTTGGTATACTACAACTATAATGATGACCACTAAGCTAGCAATGAAAAGGGCTCCCTTTTTGGTATTGGGTAACTTTAGAAGGAACCTAGGACTACAACAAGGGAATAAGGGTATGACTGGGCATCCTGACTGTAATGATGCCACGCAACGCCTAAGGAATACCATTCTAATCACTAAGGCCCCAAGCCACGGGAAAGCCCGGCTGTGCAGCTGAAATGCCAACTCCCGGAATGGAGCCTGAAATGGGCCTGCTCCTAAATGGGAGTTTCCGAAAACGGGGGACCCTAATATAATACCCTAAGTAGTAGGATCCTTATTTTAGGGACCCCCAAATAAGGTACTCCTAATTTGAGGAAACTCCCAAATCTCAAACCGTGCAGAAGAAGTCTTCTGCAACAGCATGGAGGCCTTTGTACTTCTCAAAAGGGCCTTATTGGGCTGTGTTGGGATGCATCATCCTATAACTATAAACAGGAACCCTAGGCTATTCAATCTTCTCTACACTACCCCTAACACCGAATCCCAAACCTAACACAACGAGAGCCTCTTTCTTGATTTCGAAGCCTTCGCTCAAATCGGCCCACCTTTGAAAGGTTAGGGTTTAGGGCCCATAGCCTTCGTGTTTCCTCCTCTTGGGGTTTGGAGCTGTTGTGCTGTCGAGGAAAGGTAGAATTATGCCAGCAGGTTAAGCCGGGTATTCTGGAAAGTTTGCAGTTGCACGTCAATCCATGTGGATTATGAGGCCCTGAACCTCCTGGAAGGGCTGAGGACTCGGTGTGTCGCCACGTAAAGCGCTGTCAAAGACCAAGGAACACAAGGATCCCCTCCGGCAATAAGAAGCTCATTTCTGCAGGATCGGGACACTTCATGACGAGAACCCGACTTCAAGCCCCAGGTACTCCCCGCCCCTCCAACTAAAGGGCCACACTATTCGGGTTTTGGGTATAGGGGTTTAGGCTAAGCAGTCCATGATGGGTCAATACAAGCCAGCGAACTTGAGACCTACCTATAGTCTCCATAGTAGTTCCTTCTTTTGGTTTAACCAGATATATAACTAGGATCCTATAAAGTAACCCCAAAAAGGAACTGCAATGGAGACTATAGGTGCTGCATTCCGTCAGATTGAAGCGCACTTCGGATGCTCAGGCTGCAGAGAAGGGACCCAAAAGATAGGACCCAGGGGCTTAAGGGTTTTGGGGTACTGAAGCCTGCAGCCCAAACGATCTCAAGTCGTCGGATTTTGAAACTGGCAATAAAGCCAGCTTTGGCTTGTAGTATATTCGAGTAGATCATAGACGACAAGAAACTGTGATGTACCATAATATACTACAATATGCGATAATAGACACATGCAAATACTCTCAAGACTTGACTAAATCAAACCCGAGACTCACAAACACCAAACTCCACAGCCGCAACACTCAAAGAAACCACATGAAGAAAACAACCTAGAATCCCAGAAACCTCAAACCCGACAAGCTCAAATCTGTAGGTCTCTGGCAGCTGTTCTTCGTCCCTGTATTTCGGATGAGCCCTCACGAACTTCACGAACTCCTTCGGGACAGAAACGGCGTTTAGGATTCCGTATACAGGACGTAACGGGCGTCGTTCTGCATCCGAGCTCTCTTTTGTCCGGCACATTCAGAAAGGCGAGGCTAGAGAAGTATTGGGTTTCCCATTTGGTTGAGGGCTTGGGGTTTAGGGTGGAGTGTGTGCGCGAGGGTGTGTGGGTGTGGGTAGGTTAAGGTAGGTGGGTGTGTGTCTTTGTGCACGCTCGTGTGCGAGAGTGTGTCTGTGTGCGTGTCCGTATCTGTTATGTGCTTGCCTCACCCTAAACCCTACAACCCAATACACCCCAAACACAGGCAAACAAACCTTACACGGGCCGTTATCACAGAATGCACAGCCCAAGCCCTGAACAGGACCTTCGGAACAGAAGTTTGAGATTGTGCCTGAGCCCCAAACGGGCAGCCCTGGCCAAAAAACTAAACACTGTATCAACCCCAAACCCTTAGGTCCTTAACCCTCATTGGGCCCTTGGGGGATGTCACAGCCATCCGATCTCCTTGACCTCCTCCGGCATGTCTTTAGGCAGCTGGTCATCCTCGGCTATCAGCATTTGGGTTTAGGGTTTTCAAGGGTTTGGGCTTCGAAGGTGTACACGGTAGGGTTTTGGGGCTGATTCGGGCTTTAGGGCTTAGGTGTTGGGGCTCTGCTGGCGAAGTGTATCGGGGTCAGGCGGCTTTCGATCAACTCCGGATTAGGGTTTAGGGTTTAAGGGTTTAGGATTTAGTTCGGGCACTAGACGGTGAACCATGCGACGACACATGTGCGTCCGCATGTATTTGGCTTCCTGTCCGAATGAGTATTATGTCACCGACGGCCCCGAAACCATTTCCAATCCACTGGAATGCAGCCATGAAGCTAAACCCTGAACCAAACCCCGGTGCCTAAAGTCTCAGAAGTCGAGATCATAAGTCCACTCCCCCGGAGCTAAACACGAAACCCCCACAGTTTTAAAATGTGCCCAAAACCTAATCCCGAAACAAAATATCTCTTAAGATCTTCAATCCCACAAACCCGAACCCTAAACCCCTAAACCCCAGAACCCTAAAGCCTGCAAACTCTTCTCGGAACAACGTGTCGGGTTTCTAAGAGGCTCCATGTACACGACATAATCTGGACCTCGATCCCCAACATCATGATAATAATGGTTTTTTGGGGGGAGTTACTGGTATATAGCATATAACCCTAAACACTCCACCTCTAAACCCCTAAACCTCAAACAAATCCGATAAATTTAGCATACCCTAAACTCCCCTACACCCTACAACCCCGAATGTCTGGACCCTCTGGGTTTGGGTAGTTGCCGGGTCCCCGACCCGCTTCTGAACTAGCTCGGCCACGACGAGGATCTCCTGACGCTCTGCTCTCAATGATGGCTAAACCTAAAAATAACCTAAGACCAAAAAAAAGGTGCCCTTTTTGGTTTAAAGAGGATTATAAGGGAACCCAAGACTTAAAAAGGGAATAAGGGCCTACTTTGGGTCCTCAGATGGGTTTTTCTTGTTTTTCAGCTTTAGGATTTAGGGTTTAGGGTTTCCTCCATGGGTTTTATGTGTAGGCTTTTCGGGTTTCGGCCTTTTCGGTTTATAAAGTTTAGACTAATTTCGGGTTCAGGATTCAGGTGTAGTGGGGTTCTGGGGTCTAGCATGGTTTAGGTTAGGTGCTCCCCCATACAGTAAGAGTCCATAATAGGGCTACTATTAAGGTCCGAATATATCTATATTATGAAATCAACTAGTACTGAGTGGGGGCCGTACCCAAGGTTTAGGGTTGCTTTATGGGCCTCCCGTTTTCCGGTTGGTGTTCTGTGTATGTGTCGCGTTGCGGGGTTTCGGGCTTGCGCTTTGTAGGACTTCGGGTGTAGGATTCAGCTACATGCCGCCATATCCGCGCTACTGGGGACCTCTCCTGCTGTCGAAACCCCAAACCCTCGTATTTTGAGAACAAGGGCCGCAAAAACTACAGGGGCAACATGATATCAACCTCAAAACTCAAAACCCAGCAAAGTACACCCCCCCTCGGAGTACTACAATCACAACAAAGGCCCGCCCGACCACAAGAAACACTGCATCGGTCATTATTTAGGCCCCTATATTACCCGGCCCCGACACCCCTACATTGTGCTTTGCTATATCATACTGTACTTAGAGTCTTAGAGTAAGGAACCCACCCAAAAAAACAGGCCTGTACGTGGAATGACCACGCAAAACCCAAAAAAGACATTGTAATATAGGGGCCTGTATAAAATGTAACAGGGAACCCCCACAACTGTATGGTAATTATTATACGGCCCCTATATTAGCCTGAAGTCTCCCTGCGCCCCGGACATCAACAGTGGCCTGCACTGCGATCTCGCCGTCCTGGCATTTAAGAAAGCTTTAGGACCTCACTGCTACTACTACTACTACTACTACTACTACTACTACTACTACTACTACTACTACTACCGCTACCACTACCACTACCACTACCACAAGCACTAGCACTAGCACTACCACTACCACAAGCACTAGCACTACCACTACCACTACCACTACTACTACTACTACTACTACTACTACTACTACTACTACTACTACGACTACTACTCCTCCTCCTACCGCTCCTACCGCTCCTACCGCTACTACCGCTACTACCGCTACTACCGCTACTACTACTACTACTACTACTACTACTACTACTACTACTACTACTACTACCACCCACTACTACTACCACTACTACTACTACTACTACTACTACTACTACTACTACTACTACTACTACTACTACTGCTACTACTACTACTACTACTACTACTACGACTACGACTACGACTACGACTACGACTACGACTACGACTACTACTACTACTACTGCTACTACTACCACCACCAAAAAATCAAAGCCCTAAGTCCTAACCGAAACCCCCAAACATAAGACACGGTCGTGCTGGACTCGTTCCGAGCACACACACCCCGTGCTCCTAGCAACACGGAGGTGGAGGAGCTCTTCAAGGCTCTGAAGTACTTTAGGGTTTAGTGTTTAGGGTATAGGGTTTTCTTTTCAGTGCAACGGACGTTTGCTGATCTCGCAAGCCCACCCGGTTTGGTGAGGGTATAGGGTATAGGGTTCAGGGTTTCGGGGTCTATTTTGAGTCTCATGGCTGTAGAGTTGTAGGGTGGGGAGGACGATACCGATTTCTGGCGATATCGGCCCCGGGGTCAAAACAAGAGAGACAGAGATGGCTAGATTGAAACTTATGATGAGAATCATAGTCGTCATTACTGATTCAGTAGTGAACTACTTTATTCGTCATAAGACACATAATATATATATATATATATATATGTATATATATATATATATATATATGACCAGTCTTTGCAGTCTGTGAGACTTCAAACTGACTTCAAACTTACTGACGGTGCAACGATCTACCGTGAAGAGAGCATACGTTTCTCCATCCCTGGTTCTTCCTTTGAGGGGAGCATGATCAGATGCCAAAAGGCGGAATGCCGACCCCGAATCACACTTCTGCAGGCATCGATATGACAGTGCCTTCAACCACCAAGCTCATGGGATGGCTCTCGTGCTGAGTTCGCCATGTCGCTTTTTGTTCGCCGTATCGTGTGTCTTAAAGTTGAAAGATCTTTGGGTGCGGGGGTGTAGGAGTTTAGGGTGTAGGGTCTCTACGGCTTAAGGTTCGTACCCCCAGGGATCAAGGGATACTGCACTCTTCGCAGCGCCGAATACTCTTAAATTCTGCCCTTAACCGTCAGACGAAACCTTGCATACAAACCCAAAACCCTAATCCGCTAATTACAGTAGAAGCCCAAAAGTGGGAAACCCAAGAGCCTCAATCCTTGAGAGTCATGTATAGGGAACCCCAGCACTACTTGTCCTTCGTCCGTGTTCTAACTTTTGGGGTGCAACTTAATGTAAGCTAGACTCCTTGACTAAGCGGTGCACGGCTCTCCGAGCCAATGCCCCGGCCCTTAAACCCCTGAGCTCTGCCTAACGACCTGAAGCCCAGAGTTTAGGGTTTAAGGCTTTAGGGTCTGAGGTTTTTGAGGGTTTAAGGTTTCAGGGTTTAGGTTTCAGGGTGAAGAACCTTGAATTCCAAAGCCATTCCACTGAACAAACACCTTACGACCTGAACCTTGCATCCTGAACCCTAACCTTCCAACCCTTGACCCCCGCACCCTTTTGGGCTTCCTACAGTAGTTCTAGTATCACATACCCATCACTTCGGAGCCCCGCGCTCATGCGGGCACCTTATTATGGTTAGATTATATACCACTATACCATTTTGGGTTGCTTTCCCTAAGGCTCCATGTACCCGTACAGTAGGTACTTAGGCCTTAAAGGGGTCCCTATATGGCTACTTTAAGGCCTAGGTACCTACTAAAAGAGTACATGAAGCCTTTGGATTTTGTAGTTATATGGGTAGTTGTCAAAATCAAGGTCCCTTTTTGGGTACCCTAAATATTAGGTGCCGTACTACAATAGGGACCCAAAAAGGGACCCTAATTTTGACAACCACCCATATAGACCCTAGTATACTCTAAACCCTATACCCTAAACCCTAAACCCTAAATAACCCTATACCCTAAACAGACCCCATTATACCCCAGAATCCTTAGGCCCCGCACCTTCTCTTTGTCAAGGAACTCCATGACTTCCGCAGCAACGAGCTCAGTTTTGTCCTCCTGGCAGGGTCGCACGGTGTGGGGCTTAGGGTGTAGGACTTAGGATTCACGGCTTGGGTTCTTTGACCAACGGAAGGTTGGCATTTTTGTTAGCTCTTGAAGCTTTTCAAAACAGGTCTGCAGAGGGGTTTTCGGATCAATGAGTATGGTTGAGAAGGCCTGAAGGATTAAGGGCTTTCGTGCTTAGAGCTTAGGAGAAGAAGCGACCTTTACCAGCACAGTCTAGACGATCCCGGATAATCATCTGTAGGGCCAGCCCTTGAAGCACTGATCTGTATCTGTAGATTCAGGAGCCCACTTTGTCACAAAGTACACCCAAATTCTGGGATCGAAGCCCGGGTTTTCTTCGGGTAGGGTTTGGGTATCGACTGTGTATATTCATTCCTTCCAGATTATCCTAAACCCCAAACCCTAGAGACCCTGAACCCCACACCCCCAAACCCTAACTTTTTCCTTTGATGGGCTGTATGGCTCTAGGCCTCCCCCGAGGGATGCTGATTTCAAGGCTAGGTTTACGGTTGCAGCTAGCAGATGCTATGCGCAATCGGCGAGCACGCCAACATTTTTGCGGGTTTAGGGTTTAGGGGACTATAAAGAATGAATTCTGAAAAAAGTCTGCTGCCATGCTTATCCCGATCCTGTTCTCACTCACATGTTCCTTGCAACCTCGACCTTGAAGCTCATCCAGTAGTCACCAAGCAACATGTGCAACCATCCCTGATGGACGATTCCTTTGAGCTGAGGGGATGCAACTATACTGAACTTAGAACCCTAGCAAAAATTATAATTTTAGCTGTTTCTTAAGGATTATCATAGCCAAAAATAAAAAAAAATCTAAGTACCCCTAAGGCAAGAGGGCAGCAAAACTCCAGTAATAAGGGGTTCCGCGGTATAGTATACTGCACTCATAGAAGGTGGATTAGTACGACTTCTTCCGCCCCTTATGACATTTCTGCCAGTGCTGGCGTTTATCCTCGTCTCTGCTCAGATCAACGTGGCCCTAAACCCTAAGGATCCCAAACCCCAAGGGTCCAAGTACCTAAAAATCATATGGGAGTTTCCGAAAATTAGGGGTGCCGTATTTTGGGGTCCTTACATAAGGGATCCTACTATAATTTAGGGTACGATACTACGGACCCCTATTTTCGGAAACTCCCATATGCTCTCCAAAATCCCAACCTACATAACTACTATCCTAAAACCGAGTATCTGACTACTGGGTCCTTTGGACCCTTGGGGAAAGCTCCAATATAGGGGCCTTAATAATTAGAAAAAGGTTTTGGGGACCATTATACTATACTTATAATGAGGAACCCCAGAATGGTAGGTACTTACTAAGGCCCTAAATCCGTGTACCTAATTCTTGGGTTTAGGGTTTATAGGGTTTAGGACCCTTGGGGAAAGCTCTAAGCCAGTCGCCCGTCCTTGACGCGATCCTTCAGGTAGTCGAGCATGATCTTCTCTTTGTCAGCTTCAATGTCAAGCCTTCGGCGCAGGGTTGAGGGATTAGGGATTTTAGCGTTGTTAGGGTTTTTAGGGTTTTGGTTCAGGGTTCAGGTCTTTGTTTTTAAGCGCCCCTTTTTCGACCAGCACCCCCCAGGGGGATGAGCAGGGTTCAGGGTTTAGGGTTTAGGATTTAGCGGTTTCAGGGTTACAGAGCCTATAGGGTTTCAACTTGCAGTACTTTGCTTTGGGAAGGTCGGAAGTGCTGTGACTTCTCGCTTTGCCAGTGCCTTGTCCCCCAATATCTCAATCGTAAACGACCTGAAACGTGAACCCGCGCCTGATACGATTTGACGACACAACCCGTCGCCTCCCCTAAAGCCTAAACGCTCCAGACGTTAAAACCCCGGTTTAGGTTGAGCTTAGGATTTAGAGTTGATGGTACCATACCCAAAAGTGGCAGTACTTACTACCACGCCCTGGTAGAGGACCTCTCTTACGGGTGCGTTTGCGCGGCTGGTTCCGACTCATAAGGTCAGGCCGAAACCAATCTAGAATGCTGGAGTCAAACCCTATAAATCCTAAACCGTAAACACTGAACCCAAACCCACTCGCGCGCCCATTCTGCCAACCTTGACCTCCCGACACTATCCAAAGCCTAACTCAAGCCCGATCATATCGCTGGGCGCCGAGCGTGGCTAAGGAGGTATCGTGCGGAATCTTCGGCACCCTTGCTTGCTTCGAGTTTTGAGGCTTAGGCTTAGGCGTTTCAGTTGAGGATTCGGGGTAGGCGCAAGTGCCGAATTGTCGTACAGAGTCACACACTCCCCTAGATACTATTGTGCCTTTTCTACTGCTCCAGACCCAAACCTGATTGCCAGGTACCTTGGACCCTTAAGGTCAAAGCTATTAGAGGGTGCCTTTAAGCACCCCGTGCAGTTTACGGTTGACGAGTTTGCGGTGTATAGCCCAGGGCAGAGCTCAGATGAGGATGGCCTTGCCGCTGACTTGAGGCTGTCCTTCTGCATGGAGTCGCTACAACACTGCTCCAGTGTTCAGGCTTTTCTGCCAGAAACCCCTCACCCTGAACCCTTCCCAGGCGAAGAACAAACCCCCTCCCTCCACATCATCCGGCCCCCTGACCCGTTCCACACAGTCTTTCAACACAACCGGAGAGGAACTTAGGCAGGCAGGCGAGCAAGTGTGTCTCATGTATGCAGACTCATGAAATACCGCACTTGTTTCGACACTTCTTCTCTTTGGCCTGGCTTCGCCTTCAAACTATTACGGAAAATCTAGACTCGCTGTTCCGTGCGGTTCCTTCAGAAGTAGCAATACAAGGGCCTCAATAACTAGGCTAATTAGGCGGCTAGGGCTACGGGGTAACGGGGGCTTTTGCAGATACTCCTACTGTACATTCGACCCCGAGCTATCTCTCGCAACCGGGCCCAATGAAAACAGCGGTTTTAGGAGCCACCAGACACGTGCAAACAACACGGAAGTGAAGGCAGTACAAGTTCCGCATAAATCCTTGACCTTTTGCGCCGAACCAGAACCACAAGGTTTAGATCAACAAGGCTTATACGAAAAGAACGCAAAACCTTATTGTTGTTAGTGTTTGGCTTTATTTGTCTTTAAGAAGTTTTGTATTTGTTTAAAGTTGTTTTGTATTTGCAAGTTCTTTTGTCTTTCAAAGTTTTTAACAGTCTTTAAAAGTTTGAAAAGCCAACTGTGTCAAACAAACCCTGTGGATCTAATATAAGAACGGAAGCAACATGCAGCACCCCCCTAAACCCTAAACCCCTAAACCCTGAACCCTAAACCCTTGAGAAACCCGACATCTCCGGACGGGCTGAGGCCACGACGCTTTCGATTCTCCGGGTTTTGCCGCCGTCTTCTGCAGAAAGGGGCGCGGCTGTTCCGAAATCCATCGTTTTGGGGCCTTAAGGATTCGAGAAAGGCTCTGGAGGGTAGTATACTGTTTTTTTCGTTTTGTTTGTGGGCTCATTTCCGATACTACTGTTTAGGGTTTAGGGTTTAGGCGGAACATAAGGGGATAGTTTCATAAGTTGTTCAGACCCCATATTTCTTCTGCGGCTCTCGATTGGGGCTTGTCCTTGGACTACACTTGGCTGCAACTTACTGCCTTCAAGTTACAAAGTGTAATCCAGCGCGCAGTTCGTAAAACGAGCTTAAGTCACCACGACTAGGGTGTATGTATGTCTGTTCACACATGCATTCATCCACCCGTCCGTCCATCCGTGCATAAACACACACTTACATACATACATACATACATACATACATGCACACGCATACATAACTACACACATACATGCCTTACATACATACATACGTACATACATACATACGTACATACATAATTACAAAAATACTTCCATACATCCGTCCTTCCTTCCATCTGTCCTTCGTTCCATCCACCCATCCTTCCATCCATCCTTTCATAAATACATAATATGCTTGTTTATCTAGTTCTTTAGTCAAGTAACAAGTTACTTCATGAACTCGTGCATTCATGCGTATACCCGTCAATACCCATACATTCGTACATGCAGGCATATGTGCCTGCACATGCACGTGTGTGCATACATATATTCAAGCATATCCTTTAAATGTATGCACACATATATGAATGCACATAATTACAGCTGTATGTGAATGTGAATGCATACGTATGCGTATGTGTATATATATATATACACACATATGAAGCATGTAAGCATACATGCAACGACACATGTATATACACATGCGCATGCATGCATGCATGCACACATACGTACATACATACGCACACACACATATATATATATATATGCATATACATAAATACAAACATGCATACATGCATGCGTGTGTGTATGCTTACATACACATGCTTGTATGCACGTATGTATGTATATATGTAGGTACGTATGTATGTATGCCTGTTTCCGTTATAAGAACCATTCTTTGGACATGAGGTGAACGAGCCCTGAAGTCCATGACGCAGCCTTGCCCCAGCCGAACATGCTCCACCTCAGATGTACAGTCTTGCAAAGTCCCTACCCCTAGGCCCCATAGTCGTTCCTTTTTGGGGGTTCATAAAATACCAACCTGAAAAGGAACGACTATGGCGCCAAGGGGTAACAGTATTTCGGACAGGGATATGAGGTCGTTATACTAATTATAATGATCTAAATACAACAAGGACCCGAAGGAGTAGTGTTAGATTGTATGCGGACCCCGATAGTGGGCCGCATGGGATTAACCACCCGCCATGGACTTTCTGGAGCCTGCATCAGTGTCGGGCGGGCACAGAGACAAACAGTATCACCTGGACTTGAGAAAGATAGAAAACAAGGTCGTATTGAAGATTTCTGCGCGTGCGTCACAAAGCCAAGATGTAGGTTGATGGAGATTTTTACCGCAGGCTTGTTCTTATGAGTATCGCAATCGTTATATCGGCTTGCAGCACGGATTCGGATGTCTTCCGTGGTTGGGGCAACACTGAAGCTGCCGTACTGAAGGCTTTTGGGGTTTCGGCAGGGTTTTTACAGCCGAGCGGTCTGGGGGCGCTAGGCCCCCCGGAACTGTAAGGGCCTTAACAATTAGAATAAGGTTGCGGGGCCGATTATTATACTATCATCATGACAAGTCACCCCACCAGATTGTACTGATATTTAGTTCGACGCGTATAGTGTCAAGGTTTCTGGCTAGGGCCCGAAAAAAGAGAACAACACCTTACTTCCCGAATACCCTTAGGGTAAAAAAATCCAACTTTTCCAGAAATAAGCCGACTACCTTATATAAACCCAAAAAGTTGAACAGCCGTTCTGACACAGTAACCAAAACAAGGAACGACAATGTACACGTAAGAAAACGTAGCTGTTGCGCTGTACTGAGGCCAACCCGGTTGGTGCCGGCAAAGCCCCGCATACCCTTGACATTGGAGAAGAGTCTCAGGTTCTACAAGTAGCGCGTTTAGGGCTCAGGGCTTAGGATTCTTCAGGGTTTAGGGCTGATTAGGGTGTAGTGAAGTGTACTGGACTCATCACGGCCTTCACGCCTGAGGTTTTGGGCTTGGGGGCTGGCTGCAAGTTCCTGAGGGTGTAGGGCGAAGTATTCGTAGGGACTTTAGGGGGGTAGTACGGGGCCTTCTTGCGCAGAAAGAGGACCCAATAAGTATAGGCCCCCTACCCCCCTCCCCCTTTCCCCCCCCTCATTGCTCTTTAGCCCTGAATCTGAGGACAACCTTCAAATGCAGGGTTTTGCAGGCTCCCCATAAGCCTCCCAAAAGCCACAACCCGACAGTTCCACCACCAAGTACTACAAACTCTAGATTTCTCTGGGTCCACCAGGGTTTAGGGTTTAGGGGTTTAGGGTTTTGGGGTTTAGGGTTTTGGGGTTTAGGGTTTAGATTTCTCTGGGTCGTCTGCGCTTTCGCTTCCTTCTTCTCCTGGCAAGAGAAAGCTCGGAATCGCAGGAATTGGACTACAAAAGCTGTCAACACTACCCTCAACTGCCACAACTGTCTTCTGTCGTGTCCTGCACGTAAAGGACAAACAGCACATTTAGAGTCAAGAAGAAACACAAAGTCATGTGCCGGAAACTCTGGACCGCGTCAGCTCAATACGGGTCTAGCTTCAGGCATGCAGCGGTCTCTCCGGGATGGTTCAGTGTTTTTGGGTACAGGGCTAAGGGCTTTGTGCCTAGACCTGCTAGAAGTAGGAAGGTTTCGAATCCTCTCGAGATGAATCAATTGAAGCGTTTGACTCAAACGAGGGACACTACTTGTATCGGATGCAAACGTGCGCTTAAGCACATCGCCTGGAATATTGGAATGTCTGCGTGCTCGTCCTTCTCTGATGACAGCCTCTAGTCTGGGTTTTGGCCTACCTGCGCAAAACACGAAATGCCGCCCGAGGTGTAGGGCACATTGGGGGCTGAATTGTGGAAGGCATCATCGGACGGACGCCCCTGTCCATCGGTCCCGCCAGTTAACACACATGGGAGTTTTCGAAGATAGGGGACCCTAATAACCCTAATATAGTACCCTAAACAGTAGGATCCTCATTACAAGGACTCTGCGAACTTTCCCCACCGACAGGGCATTGCTTCACAGGACCACGTGGGCTTGTGGTTGAAGGCGCATGACCAACAAAGCATCTCAGCGATTCTGCGTAAGGAATGCAAGCAAACCAGGATCTTTGTCTCTTGGCGAAGGGTTCCCGACATGCGAAGCCTCAATTCCTAAATAGTCTTGAAGCTTAGGTCCGTGGCCTGAACCCTGTCACAAACCCAAACCCCTCATACCTGTAATAGCCAAGTCTGTGTCTATAATCCCCAACTCCACACTAAACTCCAACAGCCTAAACACCAAACTTATATCCTGGAAACCCAAAGCCCTGAACCCAAAACCATAAGTCCGTAATCCCTGAAACCCAAACCCTGAACCTTCAACCCCAAACCACCCCCCCAATGCATGATTTCAACCCCGATGATAAACTCTAAAACCCTAAACCCTAACCCCAAAATGCACACGTCGAAGCCTGGTCTTTCTTTTGCTTGTCGAGCTGCTCGGGGGTCATCTCTTCCAGTTTCTGACAACGGATTTGGCATCCCTATTTACGGCTTATAGGGCTTAGGGTTCTGGGACTTTGTTAGTACGTTTCAGGTATGTGTTGAGTTGATATACGTACGCGTATGTCCCATGGACAAAGTAAGTGGAAGCTCAATCACAAATGTTGTGCATATTCTAGGAGGGCATCCATAAAATCGGCCCAAAAGCCTTCGGCTCCCGTTTTTGCTCTGTTGAAGTCGCTGTTTTGTTTTCCGAAATTCGACCATAGGACTTTACTGTCTCTCAATGCCCATAGCAACTTGCTCGAAAAAGCACAAGTTCCACAACTGTCCATGTGAGATCCGATGTGCGTGTGTACGCATCGGCGTGTCATAAACAAAAGACGGTCAACGGTGAAGAGGGTGACTGACAATACGAATCAGTCTCTCTCTCTCTCTCTCTCTGTCTCTTCTCTCTCTCTCTCTCTCTCTTCTCTTTTTCTCTCTCTCTCTCTCTCTCTCTCTCTCTCTCTCTTTCTCTCTTCTCTCTCTCTCTATATATATATATATATGCATATATGTATGTATACACGCACACACATACATGTACATATGTATGCACATAGACACATGCACGACATGCACATGATTCTATAGCGACTATGTACGTGCACATTTGGGAATGTATAGATATATAAATATGCACATACATACATACATACATACATACCTGCATACACACGCACACAAAATTCATGCCCCGCCTCCGTCCGAAACCCAAAGCCTGCTTGACTCTGTCTCAAGAGGCAGCCGACCCAAAGAGCTTTATATAGGGGCCGTAATAAGTAGAATAGGGTTTTGGGGCCCATTATACTATGATCATAATAAGGACCCCCCCTCTCAAAAAAGAAAAAAAATATTTGTAATTATTTCGGCCCCTATATCAAACCCTGGGCCCTGGATCATCAACCACAAGCCGTGCTCAACCTTAAGAGCCCTCATCCCCAATCCCTAAAAAGCGCTGCATGATCAGACTACATAGAGTTTAGGTTTTAGGGTGCAGGGTTTAGGGTTTCAATACATGGGTCTGAACAATACTGTATCTCTTATCGCCCCTACCTAGTCATTGTGGAAAACAAGTATCATGTATCCCTTAGAAGCTGCCCCCACCCTGTAATAGTGATATAGTAGGAATATAATAGGGCCCTAATGTATAATCCTATATAATCCTTATAGTCACTATTACAGGGTGGGGGCAGCTTCTAATGTATCCCCCCCAAAACCCTGCTGGAACTGTTCAAGCCCCATTCTCCGAATCCTAAACCCCAAGCATTCAACCCAAAACCCGAAACCTGAAAACCCCGAAGCTTAAACCCTAGAGCCTGGGTACGGCCCCCATACAGTAACACTCTATAATAGGGATTTAATAGGGCTACTATGAAGGGCCTTATATATCTATATTATGAATATTATCCAACTGTTACTGACTGGGGGCCATACCCAACCTAGACCCTAAACCCTAAACCCTAAACTTTAAACCCTAAACCCTAAACCCTAAACCCCTAAACCCCTAAACCCCTAAACCCCTAAACCCTTAAACCCCTAAACCCCTAAAACCTAGAGCCCTAAAAGGGTGGCCTTCGACATGGCTCTTGACATTCCCCTGGTCATCTGCTTTGACATCGCTTTCGTCTGGGCGAAACCCTTCTGCGCTCCAAACCTCAAGACGGCTTCCACGGTCTAGGGCTTACGGTTTTAGGGCTAAGGGTTTCACGAGCTTACCTTGAGGAAGTTTGGACCTCAAGCGCGCTTCCAAAGAGTTTTTAGCAGCTTGCTATTCGGGTTTTAGAGCCTCAAAAGAGCTACAGTTACCTTGGGTTAGCAGGGAGTGAATGGAGGAATGGGGTACAATTATAACTACTATTACTACCATTCTGCCATTGCCTACTAACCAAAGGTAAGTAGTACAACCGTCTAGGGTCGATGGCCCAGCGCGCATTGTTTGCATTGGGTTCTGGACCTCGCAGTGGTTACAACCATCGGAGCATGTCCTGCATGCATTCATAATCTGGGCTTTTAAGTAACCAGGGAGAAAAAAGTATAAACTTTTATTTCATAAGGGTTCCTTTAAGAAAACAAGTATTAAAGTATGGTACTCCAAAGCCCAGTAATGTAGCGGGTCAGCACCTGGAGAACTTCGAAGGCCCATTCACCAGTCTTCGGAGAAGGAGTCGGTAAATTGAATGATAATGTTTATCATCGACAGCATGCCCATGAAGCACCACCAGCAGCTTGGACATCTTAATCATCGTGGTCAGCATCGTCGTCATCATCACAAACAACATAAGCATATTCTTCTTCATCGTCGTCATCATGTTAGAAATCTTCTTCATCTTCAACTTCATCTTCACCATCACCAGAGTCGACATCAGAATTGAGCTGTTCATGGTGCACTAACTAACTTGCCTTTGGCCGTTGCTCGTTGTCACTCATGCAAAGAAGCAGGCTCAACGACAGGAGTAGCCGCCTGTCCTTTCTGGCCAGAAACCTTCAGGTCACTTGGCCCAGTTCTAGCCTTAACACCTCTGAACCCTCGCCCCAAACCCAACGCACCAAACCCTAAAACCCCCTTAACCTTCAAGCCCACCAATGCCAGACCTGAACTTCAATCCTGATCCCGTAAATCCCATACCCAGGATCCCGACTTTGCGTTCTTCGCCTGGAGTGGACATGGATGCAGGGCTGATTATCCTTATATACTTCAATGGGGTCTAAGGATTGGTGTTTTTCGAACGCGGAAGCATCTTCTAAACGAGCCCATCAGCACCGACCTATCCTGAATCAGCTACTGTCTAGGGATCGGTTGTGCCACTATACCCTGGGGACGGTGATTAAGGGGCGATTATCACAGCGCCAATTCTTCAGACCTCTAAACTCGATGACGTTGTAGCAGGAGATCTTGGTGTAGGCGGTCGGTGAATGCCCATGTCTACAGAGCATGATCCATACGGCCCTTCGAAAGGAGCGACATTGCCTTATTATAGGCGTTTTAATAGTTGGAAGAGGGTGTCGGGGTACCATATGTGTATATCTATGGAGGCAAATACACACATGTATAACATATACATATAAATATATATATATATATATATATATATATATATGTTATGTATGTACATGTATATGTAGATGTACATGTACCTGTATGTGTATATGTATGTGTATGTACCTGTATAAGTATATGTATAAGGATATGTATATGCATATGTATATGCATATGTATGTGCATGTATGTATACATATATATATATATATATATGTATATGTATACCGATATAGGGACAAGGGGACAGTATTGCTAGTATTACGTACTAGTTCTTCCGACCCCTACGTCTAGCATGCGTTTAGGGTCTTGGCCTTCAGTACTGTGTGTTTAGACCAGTCAATTCGGATCCAAAGCTTGGACCTAGCAGGACCCCGCGATGGCCCTTTAGTGGAGCTCCTATGGTCCTTCATAGCGGGTATTTAGGGTAGATTAGAGGGTAGCTTGGGGGTCTAAGTAGACTCGTATAAGGCCTAAGTTCTCAAAAACTCGGCTGCAGAACCCAAAATCATAAACACCGAACCCCAAAACCAAAACCCTAAGTCCTGGACTCAAGGCTAGGGCAGGGATGAGAGACGAGAAGGTCAGTTCTTTGCTTTGCCATAGAAGCCATGACATGAAACACCTCTCCGAAGATCCCTTATAATTGCTGCAAGGAATAATGTTACAAAGGCTGTTGTCTTTATCTGTTGTCAAGAATAGTACAAAGTATTATCACCAAAAAATTAGCATTAATTAATATTCGTAGCTGCTATCTCACTACGACTATCAGTAGTATCATTATAGCCCCTTTGCCAAGTTTTTCAAAAGCCATGCTATGGGTATTATATACGTCGGTAAAACTGTGATCGTTTCGCAGTTTCAGGTGGTTCGGCTTAACCCTCAACCCCTCAAAAGCAAAGTCTTGAACTCCACGCTTGACTCAGGGCCTTGCATCCCTAAGCCACAAACCGGTTGTTTCAGTTCAACAGCTTAACCCCAATTGGCCATGCCACACAAATCTACGGCCTCTTCCTCCGGCAATCAATCGCCATCCAGGGTTGGGGGTTGAGGCCCCAGTATTAGAGAGAAGGCTGGCTGGGATAGAAAGAAATAGAGCAAAGATCCGTGGGCGTCAGTTGATCGCAGAAGCAACAAAAGACAGCATCTGCCCCGGGGCCAGAAAGTATCCCTTACAGTAACCCTGATGGACTTGTAGTGTACCTTATAGTATCCCTTACAGACCCTTAAGGGTGAGGGTTCAGGCTCAAACGGTCAGACATCATTTTAGACTTGGTTGTCCTCAGAAAAAACTCGTATCTGCCTTTAGGGCATAATGCTCAGCAGCATTTAGGGTTTACCTGGACCCTAAGGAACCTACCTTTTTAGGGTTTCCTAGTATGATTTCTTTATATGAGTCCTTAAAAAAGTAGGTTACGTGGGCTTAAGGTAGGGCATAGCGTGGGTTGTGCATGGGGCTATGCTGTTGGATCTTGCCCGCATTCGAAAACGGAACAAAGCCGGTCTGGAGCGGTTTAGGTCGTCTTTTCGAAACCGTTGAAGCTGCTATTTACCCTTGAACCCTAAACCCTAATTCGCCCAAAACCCTAAGCATCCCTAAACCCTAATTTGTGTTGTCGGGTTGGTATACCCTGAGGCCCCAAAGTAGATCCTTTTTGGGATGACCTTATAGGATTCTATATATGAACCCCAAAAAGGAACTACTTTGGGGCCTTAGGGTAGTTTCCAGACCTTCCAAAATCCCTTAATTAAGGAATATACCTTAAATTATAATAGGATCCCTAATATGAATTAAGGTATACTCCTTAATTAAGGGATTTTGGAAGGTCTGGGTAGTTTCTAGGTCGGCTCAGGCCAACGGAGCGCTCCTCCTTCTGCTCTTTCTCGCGAATGGCTTTGGCGGCATCCAACTCCTGGTCCCAGCTTCGTTTAGGGTTTAGGGTTTACCGCTTGGGGTTTAAGGTTTAGGGGTTTAGGGGTTTAAGGTTTAGGGATTTAGGGTTTAGGGCCTCCGTGTCGGGTATCACGGGGAACTAAAGGTTATATAAGCTTTTTGGTTATATACAGGGATTAGATAAGGGCTATACTACCCAAACAAGGTTACAGGTTACCTACTCTACTACCAGGGCTTCAACCGGGCAACGGAGGGCTTTGATCTAGGAGGTAGAATAGGGCTGTGGCGGAAGTTCACGCCTGCTGAATGGGTCCTTGGGGCAGAGCCCCTATCCCGAAGGGTCCAAGTACCTAATAATCATATACTCTCCCAAATATTGAGCTACATAACTACTATCCTAATTATTGCGTCCTTTGGGTATGAGCGATGGGCAAATCGAGGACCGCCTGGTCTTTGTCGACTGACAAACTTGAATCAGTGTCACAATCTGGGAGTTTCCGAAACTAGGGGACCCTAATATGGTACCCTGAATAGTAGGATCCTTATTTGAAGGACCCCCAACATAAGGTACCCCTAATTTCCGGAAACTCCCACTCTTGAATCAGTGTCACAATATGACGGGTCTTGTAAAACTCTGCAGGCATTGCAGGACTTCAGAACGGAAGCATTGTGACAGCTCCGAGCTTTGCTATGAGTGCTTGGGAGGGTTCTTGGGTTCATTGGGTGGCTTGATAGTTCACGACAGCACACGGTACGCTGTTCAAGATCTGCACTCGCGAGCCGGTACTCAGGGTTTAGGACTGAGGGTCTGGAGTTCAGGGGGGATTGCGGGCTTCACGGCAGATGAGAGCCGAAGCGTTCACTGCCTCCGACAGCCTGAACTTTTCGAAGGCGACTGAAAAAAGCCTGAACCCTAAACCCAAACCCCTAAACCGATTCCGCAGCCCCCAACACGCCCTCAATCACAATCCTCACGGCACCGCCGGAGCATTCTCGCGAGGTTGCGGATGCAGGTCTGCCTGTGAGGCTTAGGGGTTGTAGGCGGCTAAAAGGTCAGGGTTGGGGGTTGAGGGCTTCGATGTGTAAGCTTTTTTTGTCGTTTGCCTAGGCTGTTGTGAGGATTCGTCATCTGTCAATATTGTCCTGGATGGTCGTTAGGGGTCTCAGCCTAGTGTTTTGTTCGGGTTTCAGGTGCCGGGCTTGGGGCAAGTGTGCACAGAACGGAAAATGCATGTCACTGTCTGCACGCGGGGTGAGATCAACACGATGAACTGCATTCCTGCCTCATTAGCATACATTGCAGGCACGTACTTCTTTCCATTGTTAGTATACACACCTAGGCAGTTACCGGCCCTGATCATTCAGTTGCTTCGTGAGGTCGGCTACATGTCGTCCATGTCGTGTTGCAGCCGTTCTCGCTTTCTCGATTCTCGTATGGGAGGACAGTTCGATTCTCGTATGGGAGGACAATACCCCGGAAGCACGATTCAAACTGCCCAAAACCTGAAGCCCAATACCATGCCGAACAAAGCTAGAGCCTCGTCAGCGTTGCTATCCAGCCAATCCAGCCCGTTTCGCAAGCCCGACAAGCGCTCAACCCGACCCGGCCCGAAAGCCTCGGAATCTGCGTGTTTCGGCACATGTGCACCTGATGCCGGACACAGGTTTAAGATTTGTATAAAGTTTAGGATTTCGGATCAGAAGGCGGATTCCCGCATGCGGGGAGCACTGGGATGTTCAGTTGTCGGACTTGAAGCCTTGATGTCGAGGAGTCTAGGTATTTTTGGTCAGGCTTTCGAGCAGGTCGGGTGCTGGGTTCACTGTCAAACGTAGCATCCGGCTGATGAACATGCATTACCTCTGTAGTTTGCCCTGAGTTTGAGGACTCATTGGGTATTCCTTATGGTCGGAAATGAAGGAATCAGCAGCACGCTCTACTGTTTGAGCTACACCGCGCTTGGCGTTTAGAGGCCCTAAACCCTGAAGCCCTAAACCGGTTACTGTGACGAAGCTCTGCACGTGGCCAAGTACCTCCCTCACCCTAGCCTCATAACCTTGTAACCTTCGGGCATTCAGCCTGCAAATCCTTTGGCCCTGACACACGCTCTAAACACGCAAGCCCAAACTCTATAAACCCCAAACCAAACCCGATGAACCCTGAACCCTGATACTTTACCCCCCTTAGAACCATAAAACAACTAATAGTTCTAACATTCTCTTGGGTTTTACATGAGCAAAAATACATGTAAAAATAATTCCTAAGGACACTATGCCCTCAACCCCAAGGCCCGGACCCAGGCGGCATAGTAGGTTCCGAAACTGTCGACGAGAAACTTTCGGAAGGGTGCGAGCCTCAGAGGGATTAGGGGGGATTAGGGTTGAGGGTTTGGGGTTTACGGCTTAGGGGTTGGGGGTGTGAGGCTCTAGGCCTTCAGCCCTTTGTGGCTTCGAGTGTGAAATTGATCCGGGTCTTCTAAATTCGAAAAACCCTAAAGCCCATCGGGGATTCAGATTTCGGAGTGCGAACTGTGGTGCATCCTGATCGTCAAACCTAAGGCTCTACTCAAGACCCGAGTCTAACTTCGCAACACAGGTGGAGTCTCCGGTCTTTTCCTGTCAAACGGCTTTGGGGTAAGGATGTTTAGGGAAGCAAACCAGAAGGACCCGCAACGGAGCCTATAAGGTCTATGATCCGCAAATCCGCAACCTAGGCTTCAGGGGTTTAGTAGTTTCTGGACTTTGAAGTGGCCAGGGAGAAAAAAGTATAGACTTTTATTTCATAATGGTTCCTTTAAGGAACAGGTACCAAAGCAAGTATGCAAGTATGGTACTCAAAACTCAGGGATTACAGCTTACAGCAAGGAACCTTTGAGGTGATCTTGTGGGTTTAGTCAGTCTTCGATAGCAAACCTAAACTCTGGACCCTTGCACCCGAAACCCAACACACCCCTAAACCCTAAACCCTAACATAGGGGCCTCAACAGAGTAGGGTTTTGGGGCCCATTCTACTATAAGTATAATAAGGAACCTCCACAATAGTATAGGTAATCATTGATTAAGGCTCCTATATTATCTACCCTGAGCCCCAAAACCCTAGACCTTCATGTATAATAAGGAGCCTCCACAATAGCATATGGCATCTATTCAGGCTCCTATATTATCGACTCTCAGTCCCAAAACTAGACTAAATCCTTATAATAGCCCTTATAGACCCCTTCAAAGGGAAACCTAAACCCTGGTAAGGCTCCTATATAATAGAGACCCTAAACCCTAAACCCTAAACCCTAAACCCTAAACCCTAAACCCTAAACCCTAAACCCTAAACCCTAAACCAGCCCCCAAAACTTAAACCCTGAACCCGAAACCTCAGACTTATAACTCCATTTAGAACTACCCATGAACCCTAAACCCTATACCCTTATAGAATCCCTATAGATCCCTTTAAAGGGACCCCTATAGATCCCTTTAAAGGGCCCCCAAAACTTAAACTCTTACTAAATCCTTATAATAGCCCTTATAGTAGCCGAGTATACACCCCTTTAAAGGGTACAGGCTCCTATATAATAGAGACCCTGAGCCCCCAAAACCCTAAACACCAAGACTCTGGGTGCCCGCTCTCGTCCTGGTGAAGATCTTTCCAGGCGACGGTGATCTGAGTCGAGCTTCGGGGTTTGGGGTGGGCTTTAGGGTTTAGGGTTTAGGGTTGAGGGTTTAGGGTTCAGGGTTGAGGGTTTGAGGTTGAGGGTTTACTGTTTCTTTTGGGGTGGTCTTAGTGTTTTTGGGTTTTAGGAGACCGTATTCAAGGTTCAGGAGTTAAAGTTTAGGCTTTCGGGTTTAGGTTTAGGGCGTTAGGGTTTAGAGTTTAGGGCTTGCAGTTCCGGGACTTGGGGGAAAAGGGTCTGTGACGAAGTCGACGTGGATTAAAGACTTTTCCGGATCTCGAAAAGTACCTAGAGTCTCCGTTGTAGTTCCCTTTTTGGGTTAACCAGTTTTATGGCTAGGATCTTACAATGGGGATTTTGGCTAACCAAAACAAGAAACTACAATGGAGACTCGACTCCAGGTAGTAGGCAGAGACAGGACTTCGAATGCACACACAGGTACATCTTAAGGACCCTCAGAAAAATTGGGGGAGGGGGGGGGGGGGGCTTTGAAAATTCTAGTAGTTAAGGACTTACACGAGTCGAATAAGGCTTATTTGAGGATGCATAGTCCCCTACCCCCCTGCACCGCTAAGGGTTCCTATGAGTACATTATGACCCGCCGTCCCCCAGTTAAGACATTGCGTAGGCCTTTATTGCTTGAAACTCGGGTGCTGACACTAGCGACCCCGAAGCCTCAACCCAATCCAAACCGGCACCCCCAGTCGCCGCTAAAAACCCTGAACCTCTGAAACGTCCTCACAACTCCAAGAGCCAGAATAAAAATACGGCCTAAATACCTACACATTCTGTTCCTCGAGCTACATATTACAGTTGTACTACATCATTATGCCCCGCAGCCCTAGTCTAAGTATTGAAAACCCCATGTCCACGCCCTCCAGGACAACGGCGTTTGCTCCCTCCAGACCGAGCAGGCACTCCTTGATCTCTGGCGACATCTTCCTTACGCCGGAACGCTTTCCGTAGGGGTCCATGTACCCGTATAGAGATACATGGGCCCCAAAGTACCTATATATAGGGACTACATTAAGGCCACTGTATATACTATATGAGTACATGGACCCTTAGGGTTTAGGGCTGTTGGGTTCTTTACCCTAAGGCCCCAAAGTAGTTCCTTTTTGGGGTTCGTATATAGAATTCGATAAGGTCATCCCAAAAAGGAACTACTTTGGGGCCTGTGGGTAGGGCTGTTGGGTTCTTGAAGGCCTCTATTCGGACACTACAAGGGTGTTGGGGGGGCCTAGGGCTCGACCTACAGGGTCAGAGCTTTTTGGGTCTACGGCTTATAGCCCCAAGATACATAAAAAAAAAAAAACGAGTTGGGTTTAGGGTTTAGGGTTTAGGGGTATAGGGTTTAGGGCCATGTAGCTGTACTATGCGATTGTATGAACTGGCTGATTGGAATACTTTGCCAGGGTAAGCAACTCATGAACCCTTCCAACGACGAGCTACCGCCTACATTAATCAATCGATGCAACACTCGATACCCCTAGGTTCAACCCTTGCCAGCACACTGTGTTGTATGAATGGTGAACATGATACAAGCTGTTGCTGAAAAAAGGGTAGCACATCCTGGTTCTGGCAGAAGGTTGTTGAACGTCTCTGTGTGTCAGTATGTCGATCTATATTCATATGCAGACATTATGCAGACGTACATACGCGCATGGGCTCTCATGACTTTCTTGACAGCATAATGGTTTAAAGATTCCTGAGGGGTCCAACCACACCAATCCGAGAAAGACCACGCTCACGCAATAGTCATAAGAACGCGGAGCTGGGACAAAGAAGCATGTTACTTGCTGGTAACCTAGTAGCATGCACCTTATGCAGAGGGTGCTACAGCAAACAATCTGCAAGAGATACCCGATCAACCAATGCAGATAGCATGTATGTGTGTATTTACATGTACATGGACACCCATATGTACACACATCCATCCGACTCAGATATTCTCAGATGCTGGCCACTCTTGGCCTTCAGGGATACTTTTTACTGGGGCCACAGCGAGCTGGTCGTCCCGGAGAAGATGTATGAGAAGGCCTTTGCCATCTCACCTTAGTCTAGCCCAGAACTAGGGTTTGGGGCTTAGGGTGCGAGGGTTTAAAGGTTACTGTAGGCAAGTTCGCGACCCTCAAGAGAGACGAGACAAGTGGGGGCATATTAGGCATATTCGTCAATTGCCAAACGCTGCGCCACACTAATCAAGAACAGTTCAGATATGTTCAGACGTCCAGTGGCTATGCGAATAACACGGAACCAGGAAATCTACGTAGAAAGGGCTGCACAAAGTTTATGCCACATCTTAACCTGTTTTTGCGCCGGTGCTGTTGGCTCGATATCCAAACAGAACTCCAGGCTCTAGGAGGTCTAAACTGCAGGGATTCGGCTTTAGGGTGCTAGCTCGATGTATTTCAACAACATACACCCAAACCCCCTCCCAACCTTCCGAACCCTACACCCTTCGTCTCCATACTTCTGATTCCCAAAATCAGATGCCCTTAGCCTTAGCTTTACCCCCCCTAGAACTAATAAAAACAGTATCCTCAATATTCTCTTGGGTTTTATGTGAAGAAAACTAACAAATAATTCCTAAGGAGACTATAGTTAGCCTCATCGTCTCGGATCTCCTCCCTCTTGCAGACGGGCCTTGCTTGCTTTGCTGCCCTGTGCTGGTACAATGGCAGAAATCTACATAGGCCAGGACTCATGCAGCCTTTCTCAAATGCTGAGCTCTAGTCACAGGAGCCCGAAAGCCTAATCCCTAAACCCGAAGCCCTAAACCTTCATCCCCACACCCTCCTTCCCGAGGCCTAAACCAGAAGTACTGACAACCAGAGTGCAAGGAGAGCCACAGTCGAGTCTCGGAGTCAAAAGACTTAATTGGACCCTGGATAACGTATCTGTTTAACATGTTCAAGGACTTATAGAAGGGAAGCATAATCACGAAACAGGATATTAGGCCCTTCACGGCACAGATATGTTCACTGACGAATTCTCGCCAGCCCAAAATATTGAACGCCATGAGTGGCAAGACTTTCTCAGACCGCAGCCGAAGATGCCCGACCCGGACCTTGCCATTGCAAGCTTCCGATTGGCTTGAAGCGATTATAGAACCCACATGTGTATGTATGTATATTGAATATATACATATGTATATGTATACACACACATATACATATTCAACTGTCTGCTGATCTGTGTTTCGGTCTGAGGCCCGAAGTGAAGTTGAATGCGTGGGTTGGGGGTGCATGGTTGCGCCAATCAATGTGTTGCAGACGGGCCTTTAGAATTGGAGTACTAGGGTGGGGGGAGAGGGGCATAATATGTAGTCGGTATGTACACAATATATAATGAATCATGCAATTACCAGCGAGCAGGAACTTCGTTTCTCCTACTTCGGGTTCATCCTGTCGGCAGTGAATGCACGGCGGGCGCCAGTTCTCTAAACCCCCAATACCAGAAGCCTAAATCCCCAAAGACACGCTCACAATATATATATATATATATATATATATATATATCCTACGAGAGCGCACCTCTGGCAGCAATCGCCTCGTCAGGCGTGTGTCGTACGGGCAGAGAATGTAGGTATGTGTATATACATATATATATATATACACATGTGTTGTGAGTAGATGTACACATACACATGTCCAGCCTGATGACCCGTCGTAAGCTTCATAAACCTAATGCGAACTCAAGACCCCTAGAAAACACAAAGCCCGAATCGCCAAACCTCAAAAGCTCAGATAGCTGAGAAGATGTTATAGGGCTTTGGGGGTTACCGCACAGGGTTTAGGGATTAGGAATATAGGGTTTAGGTTGAGGCTCGAATCCTATTAAACGTGATGAGCACCCATAACTCAGCAACCTACTGTGTGTGTTGCTGGACATGTTAATAAAACCAACACATCCCGCCCTGAATCTCTAAATTGTCAAACCATCAACCCCAACATTAATTGCGGAAATGTGGCGATTCCGAGCTCCCTGACCTTGCGTTGGCCTGGGAAGCAGACGTGAAACCCTATTGCTGCGCGGCCTCGAGTACTTGAAGACAGAAGCATGGTAACCCGTAATCCAATCAGGGTATCTGGGCGCGGGGCGTCTTCTCACAAACAACAGGCTTTGTGCCCGGAGGCGTAAATGCTGTTTTTGACGGCAGAGTTTTTATACAATCATCCCCTGACCTTGCGCTTGCTCCTACCCGGAGGCTCTAAACAGCAGATCCCCCAAGTCTTGGCAGTCTTTACGAAGAAGCGATACTTCATTCTAGGAGCTCCCTTTAAGGATGGAGCTTGGATCTTCGGATTAAACAGTGCCGAGGCATTCCGCTGAAGGCGTCCCAAATCCGCACCGACTCATCCTGCGTAAGCACCAAAACTTCAACCATAAAACAGTTCACTCAAGGTTTCGTAGTACGAAGAAGTAAGTAGTTCTGGAACCTGCGCTCAAGCCCTAAATGCCCGTAGCTTGAAAATGTCAGCTCTAAAGCCTTCAGGGCATTAGACCCTAAACCACCCTAAATCTAGACTCGGCAAATAGAAAGCTTCTTGCTGAAAGAGGGCCAAAATGAGGGGAACGCAGAAGGGGGCAACGGTCTGTCAGGCAAAGGTTGACCCTTCGACGAAGTTCGTTTTTTCAAAAACCCTTCGGCGAACTTCTGCGAACGTTTTGGGGGTTCGTGAGGGGTTCGTGGGTTGTTCGGTTACAAGATAAAGTTCTGATATGTTGTTAAAATTCCCAAGTATATTAAAAGCTTCAATAAGAATTTACGACACTACACCCCGGATAGTCTGTGAAGTTTATATGTCAGCGAGATGAAATGATGATGATTTGCCACGCCTTTTTCTCTGCATCTTGCAGGGATTTCCTGCGAATGTCTTTCCAAAAATACGGAGTTTCTTGCGTTACTCTGGCTCATTAGCAAAAATTCTTGCCAGGGCCCGACAGTCGTTCAGTGCAGGTCCAGGAAGTGCAGAATCCTGGCGGGCGGGAGTGTAAAATCACAAATGAGGTGCGTCAAAAGGCTTGTTGCTCTGGCAACCCGTTTTCTCTCTTGCGACTTCTGCGGCCAGTGACTAAGGCAGCGTTTTATCGCAAACGGCCCGGCAAGGCGGTTGATCGCCAAAACTTGCCAGGTTCAGCGGCCGAGGACTCGATTAAAATTTCTTGCCTTCAGAAACAGCGGCAGCGGAATTCGGCAGAGTCAGGCCGGGGCGCTCTTGAAATACTTCCCTGCTCTCTGACCTACAGTCTCGGAAGACTCAGAAGCAGGGGTAACCCGAGAACACAAAAGCATGTGACACCAACTTTCAGCGATGCATTTTTTATGTTAAAAATAATAATGCTTCTTCTGTGTTCTTGCCCCTGAAACAATCTCAGTCAAGCTTACTTTGGCGATCCTCGCCCTCCTGATGCTGGCGACTTGATCGAGCTGACGGGCGATCCGGCGAGGGTCTTCGGACTCTTGCTAGGCGACGACTTGGAATTGATCTTGCGCTTCGGCGTCCGCGGGGGAGTGTTCTTGCCGTTCCCAGCTGCCGGTTGAAGCGCAGTCTCCGATTTCGCCTGCCACGATTTCGTCTTCTTGCCATCACCAGAACCGGCTTCGGGGGAGGAACCCGTCGGGCACTCCTTCAGAAAGAACGGGCTCTCGGGCAAGGTCTTGCCCTCGTTGATGTCGGAATTCAGGATCTTGCACACCGAGATGTCCACCAACCCAGCACCTGACGGAATTGCTATGCAACGAACAACTGAGTTGGAAGAAGTGGTTTCAACATGTTCTGAATAGACGAGAGAACTAGAGAAGCGCGTGCTTAGATAACTTGATCTGAAAGATTCGCACATTGCAGCTGAGAAACTCAAGGATGTGTTGAAGTTTCTTGCGCACATGACCTTGATGTTGTCGATGTTCTGCATCTCCGGCGGAAGCTTAAACATCAAGTCGGTCTGCATGTACCGCAACTGACTCTTGCCGTCGTCCTGCTTCTCCAGCCTCCAGTAGCTGCAGGAGGGATCGTCACAGAACTCCTTGAGAACGCGGACTCTTGGGCTTGGGTGAATTTAAGGCCAACCGATCCGACAAACAAGGCAACGGTTAAACCGAATTCATTCAACTTGAATTTTCACTGACTTGGACTCACGACCCCAGCCGCATGTTGGGCCTAAGAGGCTGAGCAATGAACAGGCGGCGGAAAATCACGATGTTGCCGCAGGATGCCTTACTTAGGCGGGTTAAACGAGTAGGTCCTGGAAGGTCGTCTCTGGCCCCCGTGGCTCCCAGGTTTCTAGCCGGCTGCCGTAGTCTGTGAAGCGCTTCATCATGAAGTCCTCAAGCGCGACCATGCTCTTGCTCGGCAACGCGCTGTTGACGTCGCAGTGAGTGATGAACCTACGGCGAGTGAGGTGTTTTGCACTTTTCTTGCTTCGGCAGAGGCAAAGAAGATTTGAATGAAAGATTGTTTTACATGTACTACTGATTCACAGCCAAGCTACGCGAGCAGGGTCGCCAGGAAAGCACGCTCTATCTTGCACCTGAAGTTCTTCTGCTGTTTGTCCAAGAACGACATCACTTTGGGAATCATCTTGCAAAGCAGCGGTCGCGTTTGCTCTTGCCCAAGCAATCGGAACTTGTTCATGTAGGGCTTCAGCTTCTGCTCCGACGAGTCGTCGTCGCCCACGATCTTGCCGGAGTCCAGCGAATCAAAGCTTCCCATACCTTTATGCCACGTGCGCTCTAAAGACAATGAATCACAGTCAGTCATTTCACTCAAGTTCAACTGAATTTAAAGAACCTAGCTCGCTAAAGCTTCACAGTACTATTTTTCTTTCCCAAACATACCCAAAAAAACGAAGAACTAAAATTCTCAGCGACTGAAGCCCCGATGGATGTGTTCCAGTGCTTTCGGCCGTAGGGCAAACCACGCATCGAGCTCCTGCCTCATCGTGACCAGTCTGTTCTCTTGCGCTTCAAGATTCGCTTTCTGCTCTTTGCGCAAGGCTTCCTCCGCCTTGTCCTCAGTTCACGAATATTCGGACATGTGATTAGCTTGATTGATGGGATCATATGTTTAAAGTTAAGGGGGGTCGGAAGGTTGAAGTGTAGACGCCTTGCTTGCAGACAAAACACTTTCAGCTTCTTCTCCTTCGAAAGCGCCTTCTCTTGCACTGCCTTGGTTTTTGACTGGATGCAGCTCTTCTTCGGGGCCATGGCTGCGCAAGCTCGGCCAGCAGGAAACAAAATTATCCAAGACTGAGATGCTTCAAGGCTTCTCTTACTTGCTATCGAGCCGGACATGTCACCGGCAGTGATGACGGCTGGGCCGGTGCAATTTCTCATCTCTCACAACCTCATCGCAGACAAACAGGCTTCCCTGCAGTGTCGTTTCTGAATCTGGCCGAAACAATCCAACAGGAGGCGGGCAGACCTTGCAAGCGACGTAGGTCTCTTGCAGGATAGACCGGTGGAACCGGCACCTGTTAGTGTCTGACTGTGTCTGATTGGATTGGTTTGGCTTACTATACATCAGAATGTGGAAACCAAGGACAATCGCAAAAGCTGCGAGCATCGATCCAGCGCAGGTGAGTTAATCATTTCAACTATTGACTTGAATAAGCATCCGCACACCGTCTCTATGCTCGCAGATGCGTACAGGCGCAAGCGTGCATGTATGTTTACGTTTGCGTATGTGGGTGGGCGCTACTATACAACTTAATAGTTTATTAATAAATTGTGCGTGCATGCGGTTGTGACCGGTCGCACTCTGGGTTCGCGGCAGGAGGACTCTGGCCAGACCAGTGTAATCAGCAGGGCAGGAAACTCTCGCAGGAGTCTCCGCCTGCAAGCGTGGTGATATGCAAGACCCGGAAGCTTACTGTATTAAAAATTGTTATTATGAAATATGCATTCATTCGTTACTTCAAGACAGTCAGGAGTAGTAGTCGTCGTCGTAGTAGTAGCACTAGTTATTAAGTACTAGTAGTAATAATAATCGTCGTTTACTAGCTAGTTTAGGGTTTGCTTTTGTGCTGAATCTGGGCAGAGGAACTTACGGAAGGTCTGGCTACGAGGGTGCCACTCCTTTACTTCCAAAGACTCAGATTTGCAGATTTGAGCAAAGAAGGAGAATCTTAACTGAGTCTTACTGGCCTTGTTTCGGTTGCAACTTTCGAGTAAATTACATTTATTACATTATGCCTGCAATTATTGCTTGGATGCATCTTGCGGATCTTATGGGTCTTGCGAGTGGGCGACTTAGGGGGGAGTGCCCATACCCTAAACCCTAAACCCTAAACCGGAATTATTATTAAATTACTGAAACAGAGCTTCAAGATCAGTCCCAAAGACCCCGAAACCAAACTTGAAAGCCCGGGAAAGAAGCCCAGCCCCTGAACGAACTATTGTAAGTGCATTGTATTAATGATGTTTGCGCTCTTGCTTCTTACTTATGCTAATATTAATAGGGTTTAGGGTTCAGGGGTGTAGGATAAGAGAGAGAGAGAGAGAGAGAGAGAGTGAGAGTGAGAGTGAGAGTGAGAGAGAGAGAGAGAGAGAGAGAGAGAGAGAGAGAGATCTCCGCCGGGTCGATGTCGATGTGGAGTCCGCCAGTCCCAGCCGAACACTCGGAATTGGTGTCGGCAGCTGCTAAGTAGACGAAGTCTCGCAGCCCGGCAGCCAGCAGATTACAAGGATCCACGAACGGATCCATGGAGGCCTTCTGCCAAGGGCATCCTCCAGCGAGACGCGAACCAGGTCCAATGTGAGGAGAAAGCCTTTTTGCCTGGGCGTCTTCTGGTAGCGGAAGTCAAACTTCCCGACCATGCGGTTGCACCAGGTCCGGTGGTCAAAACCGTTCTCCACGATGGAATTGGCATTGTACCCTCCAGTGCTTTCGGAGTGGGGCTAACTACGGTGTTCCCCTGGGCGGACAACCCTAGTATGTCTAGAGAAGAAAGGCCCGCCTAAGAAACCTTCCTCCGCCAAAGGGACCACCCCTATTTTAA